GCGTCAAACCCAACTGCTTGTTGTCGTATAAATTACACACAAAAAGCAGTTTTTTTAATGTATCATAGTGACGTTTTCACTCTTTAACAAAGTGAAACTGACCAATGAGGCTCTATCAGCAGATCTGGGACCAGATCTCGTGTCTCAGGTGCTTCCAGGGCTTCTTTTCAGGGACAGTTAAGTTCTGCTGAGAAGGAACGTCAGCCGGTCTGTGCTTCCACTCGGCCCTCGTGTGGAGGAGTCGTGTGACCCCAAACCCCCCCCCACCAACCACCAGCCTAAACATAGAGACCTCAGACCACATGGCGGGCTGCAGAGCCGGAGCGCTGCCTCCGCGTCGGAGAGATTAGCAGCGAGGCTACGCAGGCGTGACCAACAAAACCACTACTACCATGTTTTGGTGAGGTTTTTTCTTCTTCTCTGCTCCCGAGTCACCCGTCTGCCAGCAAGGGAGGGGCGGGGCCGGGGGCGGGGGGCGGGTTACTCAATACGGTAGAACCGGACCAGGACAAAAACACAAACCTTGTTTTCACAATGGGCTTTAAATGATCACATTAATGTAAAGTAAAGTCTGGGGAGGTTGAAGCCTCCGTGACGTATCGACACAACGGTTCCCACGGCGACGGGATAAACCACGGTGGCTGAGGAGCAGCAAACCCGCCGTCCACAGAAGCCGAGACCACGAGGAGCCGACCACGTGTCCTCTGAGGGCCGGCCAGGGAGGAGGAAGTGGGAGGAGCCAACGTGGTGAGTAAGTTCATCCGTCAAACTACATGCAGCTCCATGGACTCTGATGGTGACGGTGACGACCAGCTGTGATGTCATCAGGAGGGCAGAGCTTTGTTTATAAAGCCGCTCCAACCTTCACGACAGAGTGAAGAGATCTTCTCTCCAGAGGAGAGGTCGCCGTGGAAACCGGAGGAGGCGTCTGTTGTCTTCAGAGGATTCATTCAAGTCAGGAGAAGACCAGGAGCTCTGATACAGGTGGGTCATTCATTCATTCATTTATTCATTCATTGGGTCATTCATTCATTCCTTCATTCATTCATTCATTCCTTCATTGGGTCATTCATTCATTCATTGGGTTATTCATTCATTCATTGGGATATTCATTCATTCCTTCATTCATTCATTGGGTCATTCATTCATTCCTTCATTCATTCATTCCTTCATTCATTCATTGGGTCAGTCATTCATTCATTCATTGTGTGCATGAAACCAGACCGTATCATAGTTCAAATCTGGACCCGGTGGAAATAAAATGTAAATGTTTCTGTTCAAATTGTAATTTTATCCTAAATACATATTTTATCAAAGATCTTTAACCTCATCGAAATATATTTAAATATTTAAAATATTCAGACCTTTTCGTTTACATCTTATTTGTATTGAAAGTTTATATTTTAATGGAAATTTAAGTACTTTTTTAAAATGTATTCTAAATATGAAGAACTCGTATCTCCCGACATCGTTGTTGATGAACCAAGTCTTTGTTTCCTGTGGGATCGACGTCTAAATGTTAAATATTAGTCTTCATCAGCGGCTCCTCGTCCTCAGACTGAACATCATCACACTCAATCTGGCAAACTGGACGAAGCCCTATATAATATAATATTATATATATATATATCATTATAATGTTGTGATGTTTCAATAATCTTGATGCTCGTCCACTTTGCTTTTTTCTCTCTACAAAAAAAGACAGAAACTATTTCAAAATATGAATGTCTGATAAGATTTTACATTTTAGATTTTCTTTTAATTAAATGTGATTAAACATTTCTCTGGTGATTAAACACCATCAGGATTAAAGATAATTTATTACAATACATTTCTACATTTGGAGGTTTAGCAGTCAAGTAAAACATGTAAATCTGCTCTGCTAGCTGCTGTTAGCATGAGAGCTACATTAGCGCAGCAGAAAGAGTAGTTGTTTCATATTGTTAGTATTTCTGAAGGAATCGTGGTCGTCTTTTAGCTTTGGGTTCTTTCCCAGTGATAAAAAATACTTGGAAAGAGTATTTGAAAGATGCTGCGATTCAAAACCAAATCTGACGGATGCCTCGATAGGTGTGTGTGTGTGTGTGCGCGTGCGTGTGTGTACGTGTGTGTACGTGCGTGTGTGCCTGTGCGTGTGTGTGCGTGTGTGTGTGCGTGTGTGTGCGTGCGTGCGTGTGTGTACGTGTGTGTGTGTGTGCGTGCGTGCGTGCGTGTGTGTGCGTGTGTGTGCGTGTGTGCGTGCGTGCGTGTGTGTGTGTGCGTGTGCGTGCGTGCGCGTGTGTACGTGTGTGCGTGCGTGTGTGTGCGTGTGCGTGCGTGTGTGTTAATCTTCACCCTAATGAGGAAGCCATGTTCTCCTCTTCTGTCTGGAATATGTTGTAAAATCAATAAAAAAGATTCATATAAAAACAGTGAAAACACGTCGTCTTAGAAGTCTCTGGCTTGTGGTCTGTGGACGAGACGGCCCCCCATGGGGTCCCAACCCTCAGGGTGAGCAACATCAGCCTCCCACTTTCCCATCATGCCTCAGTGCGTGATTCACTTTCTTCCCTTAAAGGACCCTGAAGCTGGAAACAATCAACTTGAACTCATCCAGGAGCTTCATTTGGTTCTAGAACCTGTGATTCTGTAAAAACAGAAGTTGTGAAGTCGTTTTCTGTCAATCTCTCCATCTTTATATATATATATATATATATATATATATATATATATATATATATACATTAATATGGTCCGTCTGTTTTTTAACAGAGTGATTGTTCAGATTGAGGGAGGACCAGGACCCCTGATGGAGGGGGTCTTTCTAACAGAACCAGCCTTTGTGAGGAGGATTGTTTTTAGGTGGGGGGGACATTTGTTTTGTGTTTGTCGGTTTCTGCCAACGAGCTGCAATTTACTGTGAATGTGAAACAGCTTTTGGCTCCAACGCCGCCTCGCTGCCAGGAAAACAGGCCTTTCTTCTCCCCGTTCTCTTCCTGCTCCCTCTCCTCCATCTCCTTCTCCTTCCTTCTGCTTCTTCTTCTACCTGATTGCGAGCGGCACTCTCCCATGGGACGCCTCTTCTCCTTTAGTTCTGGCGTCTAGGAGGAACTTTGTGTTCCTAAATCTGCCCTCGCCGGAGGAGCTCGTATGCTGGTGCTCATTTGCAGACACCCAGGGGGGGTTGGGGGGCTCCTGTGCTTCTCCATCGAAAGGTTCCGCTCACTGAGAAAGCTCCGTTGCATCACGTTGGCAGCCGGCGTGTTAAGCGAATAATGCGTCCATTGTGCTACTGGCGACCTCCAGAGCCGTGACCTTCAGATCAATAGACCTCATGGCCCCGCCCCCCAAGGTCTGAGATCATTAAAAACAGGGTGTGACTCTGCTGGTGGACTTGAGTCGGTTTGCTGAAGTCCTGATAAAAGTCTGTATCCCCTCCACTCAGGTCAGCCTGTCAGAAACCGCCCACAACCCCCCCGCGGTGCCCTTTCATGAACATGGGAGGGACGTGTGGGGGGGTCGTTGTTGTTAAGCCGATTCAAGTTGTTCCAGCAATAATATCTACCAGCCCCCCCGAGGTGTTGAGCCTTTTAAGCAGCAGGACATTTTATTCAGTTGATTTAAACACTATGAGAGCAGCAAGAGTCAAAGGACCAAAGGACTGTGTGTCTTTAAAGACAGAGCTGCATTCTGTGCAGTGACCAGCAGGGGGCGACTCCTCTGCTCCCATAGACGTCTATGAGGAAATGACTCTACTTCTCTGTAGTGACCAGCAGGGGGCGACTCCTCTGCTCCCATAGACGTCTATGAGGAAATGACTCTACTTCTCTGTAGTGACCAGCAGGGGGCGACTCCTCTGCTCCCATAGACGTCTATGAGGAAATGACTCTACTTCTCTGTAGTGACCAGCAGGGGGCGACTCCTCTGCTCCCATAGACGTCTATGAGGAAATGACTCTACTTCTCTGTAGTGACCAGCAGGGGGCGACTCCTCTGCTCCCATAGACGTCTATGAGGAAATGACTCTACTTCTGTGTAGTGACCAGCAGGGGGCGACTCCTCTGCTCCCATAGACGTCTATGAGGAAATGACTCTACTTCTCTGTAGTGACCAGCAGGGGGCGACTCCTCTGCTCCCATAGACGTCTATGAGGAAATGACTCTACTTCTCTGTAGTGACCAGCAGGGGGCGACTCCTCTGCTCCCATAGACGTCTATGAGGAAATGACTCTACTTCTCTGTAGTGACCAGCAGGGGGCGACTCCTCTGCTCCCATAGACGTCTATGAGGAAGTGACTCTACTTCTCTGTAGTGACCAGCAGGGGGCGACTCCCTCTGCTCCCATAGACGTCTATGAGGAATTCACTCACTTATCGTTGTAAACACAATGTCCATTTAGAGCCAAACAGACCAAAAGCAGCTTTAGGGCGGGCCTTACTGTGTATTGACAGGTCTCTACATCCTTCTTGAGGTCACTTCCTGTTTACTGGTTGCAGAAAGAACAAGAAGATGTCGGTGAACTCAATTAGCGACACATGGCTGGTTTGCTCTGTGTTTATGTTAGAAGCTGTGTCATGGCTCTCATTGGACGGAGCGATGACAGACGGACGTGAGTGACATCAATGTGGGTGTTTCTCAGTTTCTCATCAACATTTCTCGCCCAAACGCGGTCCGAGACGCTCCGAGCCGCCGGGTTCTTGTTGTTCAGAGACGCGCTTCTGATCGTTTCAGAGGCAACAGCTGGAGCGTATTTGTCGATGTCTCATCACGCTGTTTGTGGTGCGAGGAGGCCGACCCAGAAGCCCCGGCCCTCTGCTCGGGGTCTTTGACCTTTGGTCCTCACGCTGGCTTCCTGCGATGCCGTCGTCCTACCAGCAGGTCCCCGGGGACGCATCATAGCTGGGCGTGGGTGGCGAGGGGACACAGGCGGGGACGTGGGGACAACGAGGAGACGTCATTGGGACGTTACAATGTTAAAACATGAACCATCCTTGTAGTTTTTCTTTAAAGTGTCCATGCTGCTGAGCTTCAGGGCCTCCTACGTCTCCCGCCTGTGACCTGTGACCTGTGACCTCAGGACATGAGTCACATGGTCCTTTGCTCTCGTCTTCGCCGTCCCTGAAGCTCGATTCAACCATCGAACCCTCGGCCCGCTCCCTGTGCTGCTCCAGTTCCACCTTTCTGCCGTTTCTTCTTCCCTCCTCCTCCTCTTCTCTCCCTGAGTGGGTGGGCAGGGAGGCGTGATGGAGGCCCCTCCTCCCCGGGATGACTCCTCCCCCTCCCCTTCGCCTCTGACCTCCTCAGGCAGCGAGCGTTCCCATCAGATCGACCTGCAGCAGAGCAGCAGAGCGGCTGCCTCACCTTTAACCCGAGGACTTCTTCTTCTGCTCTCCCCGAGGACCGTAGGGAACGGCCTGCAGCTGCTGGATGACGTTTATTTAACCCTGCGAGGTGTGATCACCTGGATCCCGTCTTTACTCTGAGACGGTTTGAGGGAAACAAAGTGAAACAGGACTTTTTTCAGACTGGGTGAGACGCGGCGGTGGGAAAGTAAGTTCCTCTCCTGCTCCACCCTCCTGTGGAGCTCCAGCGTGGTTGTGCTCACAGAGGAGCTCCATGCTGATGTTGTGCCCCCCCCCTGTCTCTCTGCAGGACCATGTTCTCCTCCAGGAGGCTCCTCCAGCGCTGGTGCTTCTCCGTCTTCCTGCTCTGCTCCCCGGTTCCTCACTTCGGACGACCCATCGACGCCCTGAGCCGAACGTGAGCCCCCCTCCTCCAGATGATTCTCCATGAGCGCTCTGTTCTTCTGCACGTGTTTCCAGCACACACACACACACAGACAGACACACACACACACACACACACACACACACACACACACACAGACACACACACACAGACAGACACACACACACAGAGTGGGCGAGCTGAGGCTGGAAAAAAAGTGTTGACTCGTGGAAGTGTTTGAACGCCTCTCTGTCAGAGGAGATGAAGTCCCTCTGAGACCAGGGCTGGGTTCTGGTTCTGGTCCTGGTTCTGGTCTTGGTTCCTGACGCCTCTCCTCCTTGGACTGCTGCTGTCTGCAGGCTTTCAGAGGTTCTTGTTGGCTAGAATCAGGTTGGGAATGGTACATGTGGATTCATCAGAAGATTGAAATGTTTCAGGTTTTCTCTCAGAGAAGCTTCTTGCCCTCCAGATGTTTCTAGCTCGGGAACTTTAACAGAACGCAACAGAAGTGTCAATAAACAGAAAGACATTTCTCTAGTATCGTTCTTCTCTCCAGATATTTGTGATGTTCGATCATCAGAAGCACACATCACGTGTCGTATCGTATCGTATCGTGTCGTATCGTGTCGTATCGTGTCGTATCGTGTCGTATCGTATCGTGTCGTATCGTATCGTGTCGTATCGTATCGTGTCGTATCGTGTCGTGTCGTATCGTATCGTGTCGTATCGTATCGTGTCGTATCGTATCGTGTCGTATCGTATCGTATCGTATCGTGTCGTATCGTATCGTATCGTATCGTATCGTGTCGTATCGTATCGTATCGTATCGTGTCGTATCGTATCGTATCGTATCGTATCGTGTCGTATCGTATCGTATCGTGTCGTATCGTATCGTATCGTGTCGTATCGTATCGTGTCGTATCGTATCGTGTCGTATCGTATCGTATCGTATCGTATCGTATCGTATCGTGTCGTATCGTATCGTATCGTATCGTGCAGACACAGAGAGACATCTAACGTCCCTCTTGGAGGTAGAATCAGAAACAGATTGACTTCAAAGGCCTCACAGGAAATATCTGTATGCACATAAACACCAGCTGCCTTCTGGCTGTTATCACGACTCAGCAGAAACTCACACCTTCACCCCGGTGAGGAGCAATGCATCCTGGGAAACTCCATCAGAGCCCTGTTGTTGTAGGATAAAGGAAACACAAAGATGCCATTTAAAGACAGCTGAACATTTTCTGAGCAAAACAGATTCTGATCCTGATTTCCGGTGTTTCCATGAGCACAACGTTCCAATATCTTCATTCCGTTGGTGCATGTTGCGCGCTTCTTGAACGAGCATGGAGGTGCATGAGGTCTGCTGGTCTTCTTCAACGAGTAGGAACCGGCGCTCTGCTGGTCTTCTCTTCGCTCGGCGGATCAGAACAAACAATGTTTTGTTGAAGGCGAATTCCGAATGTTGGACACATGGGTGACGTTTGGTGAGGGGGCGCCCCCGTGTGGACGGGTCATCGAGTGGTTAAACCAGCAGATCATTTGTAAAGCATGTGAGCGATGCATGATAAATAATATCAAGCTGTTATCTGTGTGTAATAATATACACATACATACATTTGAACCTGTGGGCGTCTAACAGGTACATGATGATAACAATAAGGTGTATTGTGGCCCTGCAGGCGCCGCTCCGTCACTCACGCCCAGCTGATGCACGATAAAGGCCGGACGCTGCAGGACTTCAAGCGCCGCATGTGGCTGCAGGAGCTCCTGGACGAGGTCCACACGGCCGCGGTCAGGGACCTCCCGGGCCGGGCCGGGGGGGCGGTGGGGGGAGGAGGCGGCAGTAGCGTCGGGCTGCCGGGTGGGACGGCCGTCAACCCCAGCACCACCGGCAGCACCCTGCACTCTAAACCCCCCGGCGCCACCAAGCACCTCCCCGCGGGCTTTGGACTGGAGGAGGAGGTCGGGGGTGGGGGCACCAACCTCCCGCAGGAGACCAACAAGTCCCAGGCCTACAAGGACGGAGCCCCGAGAGCCCCCGGCAAGAAGAAGAAGAAAGGGAGGTCCGGCAGGAGGAGGGAGGGGGACAAGAGGAAGAGGAGGGCGCGCTCGCTGGGCCAGAGGGAGGAGGAGGAGGAGGAGGAGGAGGATGGAGGGAGCGGAGGCCTCCACCCGGAGAGGAGGGCTCCGCTCTAAGACGCTGTCAGTCTCTGACGCAGGTGAGTCGCCCTTCCTTTGTAGCAGGTATTGATGATTTATATCAAGATAAACGCATTAATCTATGCGATTAATGTGGGAGATTCTTGGAACTTCAAACACGTCAAATGATGGACAGCAGGAAGACTCGTAGTTCAACATGTTCCACCTCCACCACCTTACTCCTTACTTGTAACATTTAGAAGAAAAACAAACATTCAACAACAACAACAACGTTCATTAATCGCCATTAATGGATTTCAAAATGTGCGATTAATTTGTTCTTTTTTTGAATTGATGATTATTGAGCCGTCTGTCTCTGTGTTACAGGACTCTGTGGAGGCTCGGAGGCGACTCCTGAACTCACACGTCGTGATTGTTTGGAAAGAAATTGGAAAATATTTATTGCCTGGAAATATTCTAAATATAGCAGAATAGATACGATAAAAACAAAAAACTCCTCTGACGCTCTGTGAGGCGACAGATTTGAATCGTTTGTGGGTCCTCGCGTTTTTATTTCCATTTGTTTTGCAATAATTTATTTTGTCTGAATAGTGTATTTATTTTGTAAATGTACCGAGGTGCTGCTGACCTTCTATATTTTTGTACCATAATGCACTTTAGATATATAAATATATATAAATATATACCATCGATTTAGTTTTGTTGACTTGTTTTTTGTGGTGGTTTGGAATGAAGAAGGAAAAGAAGATGTGGTCTCCTTTGGTTTGTTCGGGACGTCTCGTCTCCCGGTTCCTCTGCTGCTGCTCCACTCCGGTTGAAGCTTTTGGTCCTGTCCCCCTGTGCTGTGTTCAGGGTCCTGTCCCCCCGTGCTGCCTTCAGGGTCCGCTCCTCGTCTGAGCAGAAACAGGCTTGCTGGTGTTTGTGGGCCTTGTGCACTGAGATGAACTCGCTGCTCTGAACGGATTAAACGTTGGACAGAATCCTGCTGCTCGTGTCCCTTTGTCTTCATTTCACAAACACGTACCAATATTCATAGATTGATTGATACTTTATTGATCCCTCAAGAGGGACATTTTGGTATCACAGCAGCATGTACAGGGAAGACAATAGAATAAAAAGATACACATTATTTACAATATAATAAGATAGAAATATTAAATTATTAAATTAAATTAAATGAACTAAACTGAAACAAAAGAATAACCTTCCAAAAGAGACAATAATAATAATTTGTAGAAGAGGAAGAGGAAGAGGAAGAGGGTTATTATTGTCATTATTTAGCCTGGGATGGTTTATTGTAGAGTGTTATTGCACTGGGCAGGAATGATCTCCTGTATCGGCCCTTGTGACAGCGGAGCTGTAGGAGTCTGATGGAGGACGTGCTCCGCTGTCCCTGGTGGAGGGGGGGTCAGGATTATCCAACATGGATAACAGTTTCTTCAGTGACCTCCCCTCCAACACCTTCTCCAAGCCGTCCTGTTTGCAGCCAATGATGGAGCCGGCCTTCTTAACACGTTAGTTAAGTCTGTTGGTGTCACCGGCTCCAACGCTGCTCCCCCAGCAGACCACGGCAAGTACAAAGCACAGACTGATAGAACATCTCCAACATCTGGCTGCACACATGGAAGGATCGAAGCTTCCTCAGTCGACTCGTCCGCTTCCTGTAGACACCGTTGATGTTGGTCTTCCAGTTCAGGCTGTTGTCGATGGAGACATCCAGGTACTTGTGGTCCTCGACCATGGCCACCTCCTCTCCCAGAACCCTCAGCGGTAGCCGAGCCGCTGTCTTCCTCCCGAAGTCGACCACCATCTCTGTGGTCTGGTCTGATTCCTGCCCGCCAACACCGCAAAGTCCTCCACTACTACTAATACTTTATATACTTAAGTCGTATTTATACTTCTTTATATACTTTTATGTACTTATAAGACTTATTAATATACTTATAGAACATATTTACATTCCTGTATGTATTCATAGGATGTATACTCAGAACTTCTTTATATATTTATAGGACTTATTCATATACTTAAAGGACTTATTTATGGACAAATGGACCAGTAATTTATATACTTAACATATACGTTTTCATACTTATTTGTATATAAATACTTATTTATTTCAATTAAAATATGGTAATAAGAGTAAAACGGCCAAAAATACATCGCATGTGTAAAATAAAACTAGAAAATGCATTTCCTGCAGAAAATGCGTTCCAGAATGCTGAAAGCTAAAATGAATTGGAAAAAAATGTTGGAAAAACAGACATGATGCTATTAGTCATAGTAGTATGTGTAGTACAATTGGTGGTGGTTGTAGTATTAATAGCAGCATAAATACTACTACTTTTTGTTATAGTAGTGTGATATTCTACGCACAAGAGCCAGAATAAACTGGAGCCAGAGACTACCGACTACCAAACGCACAACTCTGCAGACGATGTTCAAAATCAAAGTTTATTAACAAAAAGGCAGCAACTGAAAATCCCTCTTGGCAGAGGAAAAAGGCCCTATGATAAAACTAGGAACAAAAGGATCAAGAAAATAAACACTAGGCTACACTAAAGTTCACTAAACTTAAAACACTAAAGTTCAAATGGTGTCTGTAGCTAAAAGATTGGCGAGGCAGAAAAATGTGAAAGTTGATGAAGTTCAAGAGGATTTGAAAATCAACTCCCATTGGGAAAACCATGTTAAAAATGGTTGAGGCAACAAATAGCGACGTGTAGGTTTACAAAGGGCTTTGAGCCAGCGGGCTGCAGGTAGTGCGCGGACTCACCCGAGGGGGCAGACAGGAGCTTCCGGTCCAGAGGTCTGACCGTCATTGAAGCAGCAGAAGAAGAAGCTGGACTCTTCCACGTGAGAGGAGACATGCCGCCGCCCGGAGGGAAAATAAACAGACCGAAGACTGTAAGAAACTTCTATTGAATCTCTTAATAGCATCTACGAGAGCGTTCAGAATATATGTCACGTTTTATACGAGACGGAGTTTGAGAGGAAGACGAATGAGACTCAACCCGCTACGCGCTAATGCATAGCAGCTAATACAGAGCTAGCAGCTAAGCGCTAATGCATAGCAGCTAATACAGAGCTAGCAGCTAAGCGCTAATGCATAGCAGCTAATACAGAGCTAGCAGCTAGCATACACATACAACACTGCAAGCTTCTAGCTTTCCCAGCGACCTACTCTACTTTTTACTACATTTATTTATTTAGTTACCGTACTTGTAGAAAAACAAGTGATGACTCAATACTATACTTAGTAAAATACTAAGACACTAACCGGTTACTTATGTAATATGAGTAATATATATTTTATTTACGATATAGCTATATTGATTATTATATATATTTATTGATCGTCCTTTAAATACTAAATCTTTATATTAATAATATATATTTAAAAAACACTATGCATTTGCATTCATCTTTGGGACATTTCACTGAATAAACTTTTGGCTCTTTGCCGGATGTCCCAGTTTATTCATATAATCTGATGGACGTGGTTTGACGTAAGTCACATGGTCTCTGTTTTCCTCTTCGTCCTCCAGGAACTCGCCAAGAACCTCTTCAAACGGCGGCGCGTGCTTGGCCGGGAGAAGAGGAAGAGGCACCTGATCGTGGGCGCCGTGGTGGACCGGGGTCTCATCACCGTGCACCACCTGAAGAAGAGGACGTGGGTCCCTCGTCCTCGTCTGATCTTCGTCTGGTCGGGTCCTCGTCTCCTCTGACCACGTGTCTGTTGTGTGTTGCAGGGCGAGCCAGCGTGCGAACATCACGCTGTCCGGGAAGAAGAAGCGAAAGCTGATCAAGCAGCTGCAGCACATGCAGCGGGATAAGGCGTCTGCAGGAGGTCAGAGGTCGCATGTCTCTGAGGCCCCATGTGTTCTAGATATAAATAAATATCCAGCCAGACTCTCCTCTGCTCTGCACACTTCCTGAAGTTTAGTCACATCTTCTTTGATTTGTGGTCACATGACTGCTGGCTTCAGAGGAATCAATGTTTTTCTGTGTTGTGTATGCGTGATGTGTTCAGGGACTGTAGGAAAACATGAAACTCTCCTGAGAATTCAGATTTTGGAGGCTATTGCTAGTTTGAAGGAAGTTAACAGCTGATTGTTACATAAATACATGTGTCATGATGAGAAGCTCATTATTGATCTTTATTCAGTTATTAAACAGGGAGTTGTGTAAATGTCCCGTTGTTGTTCTTCCTCAGCCGAAGAAGCACCAACAAAGAAGCAGGCTGCGTCATCTGATCTGACGGAGAAGAAGAAGAAGAAGAAGAAGGGAGCAGCTGGATCTGTGGCCGATGTGGAGATGGCCGACACAGAATAAACACAGAGAACCCGATGGAGAGAGAAGGTCCTCGGGCTGAAGACCAAAGACAATTGTACAGAAGTTTGTTTGTCAAGGCTGAACCCGTTTCTGATAAATATTGTGACTTTTGATCTTTTGGGGTCAAACTGAGAAAGTGAATCTGTTTGTGTTGACGTTAACAGGAAGCAGCAGTAGGTTTAACAAACTGAGTCAAACCGTAAACTCAAGTTTCTGGTTTCAGAGCAGCTGTTTAGAGTTGGTTCCATCAACTCCAGCAGGTTGACTCAGAGGTGAGCGCGTGCACCAGAGCATGGATGGATCGGGCCGACTTTTTCTGTCTGAGCCCGACAGAGTCAATGCCTCAACTGTTCATAATAATGACACATTCACGAAGGTTTTTATAAATAGCGTGCCTTTATTAAACCGATAAATATACTCGCTCAAACAAACCAGCGCTGTTAAACGTATCCACCCTCTAGCGAGCAGCATCACAGTATGAAGGCAGCATGAACGGAGCCACGATACTACGAGTCACCATGACAACCACCACCAACAGTATATTCACCCCTATTGAGCTGCAAATATTAATGCAAGCGTACGAGTATGAACCCGTAATTAGAAAGAAAAGACAAACGGCGTGGGAGAAAATCGCTGCTCAGCTGCACGCGTAACTTCCAATATAGTGTCATTTAATGTTTAATGTACACACTGATCATAATACACACGCTTTACTAATTCCTAGTGTTTTACACTGTTAGAATGCACTACACACAGGCTGGAAATACACACCCATCTTCATATTTAATCACAAGAACAATATCGCTGGTGTAAACTGGTTCGATGGTGTTGGACCTGTAATGTGTCCTTCAGGTGCGTCCTGTGGGACTCCTCTTTAACGTCTCACTGGTTTGTGTCCAACAAAAAGGTTTAAAAGACGTTTCTCACGGCTCTGCATGCAGCAGCTTTACTGATATTATAATGTAAAGGAAAACACGTGATACTACACAAAGAATGTGAGAGCACGTCCACCATGGGGGACGTTACGTCTATGAGGACGGGTGAAGTCATGGACATATTTGATGTGAAGTGTGAAGAAAAAAGATACCATTCAAATTCATTTCATTTTATTTTGTAGCCCAAAATTACAAATTAGCCTCAGAGGGCTTTACAGTCTGTACACATACGACATCCTCTGTCCCGAAACCTTCACATCGGCACAGAAACACTCCCCAACAATGAAAGAACCCTTCCAAGAGGAAAAAAAGGGAAGAAACCTTAAGGAGAACGTCAGAGGAGGATCCGTCTCCTGATGGACAGACTACAATGATGTCATGAGGACAGAATGAACAATGTATAATACATGAGACTATATGACAGAAATGATTCAAGTAACTGTGAGTAGTAAACCAGACGCACAGCAGGACCACTGCAGGGACCACCACCATCACATAGAACCACCATCACATAGAACCACCATCAGATAGAACCACCATCACATAGAACCACCATCACATAGATCCACCATCAGATAGAACCACCATCACATAGAACCACCATCACATAGAACCACCATCACATAGAACCACCATCACATAGAACCACCGTCACATAGAACCACCATCACATAGAACCACCATCACATAGAACCACCATCACATAGAACCACCATTAGATAGAACCACCATCACATAGAACCACCATCGGATAGAACCACCATCACATAGAACCACCATCACATAGAACCACCATCACATAGAACCACCATCACATAGAACCACCGTCAGATAGAACCACCATCACATAGAGCCACCATCACATAGAACCACCATCAGATAGAACCACCATCAGATAGAACCACCATCACATAGAACCACCATCAGATAGAACCACCATCACATAGAACCCCCATCAGATAGAACCACCATCACATAGAACCACCATCACATAGAACCACCATCAGATAGAACCACCATCACATAGAACCACCATCAGATAGAACCACCATCACATAGATCCACCATCAGATAGAACCACCATCACATAGAACCACCATCACATAGAACCACCATCACATAGAACCACCATCACATAGAACCACCGTCACATAGAACCACCATCACATAGAACCACCATCACATAGAACCACCATTAGATAGAACCACCATCACATAGAACCACCATCGGATAGAACCACCATCACATAGAACCACCATCACATAGAACCACCATCACATAGAACCACCATCACATAGAACCACCGTCAGATAGAACCACCATCACATAGAGCCACCATCACATAGAACCACATCAGATAGAACCACCATCAGATAGAACCACCATCACATAGAACCACCATCAGATAGAACCACCATCACATAGAACCCCCATCAGATAGAACCACCATCACATAGAACCACCATCACATAGAACCACCTTCAGACAGAACCACCATCACATAGAACCACCATCACATAGAACCACCATCAGATAGAACCACCATCAGACAGAACCACCTTCAGACAGAACCACCATCAGATACAACCACCATCAGATACAACCACCATCACATAGAACCACCATCAGATAGAACCACCATCACATAGAACCACCATCAGATAGAACCACCATCACAAAGAAACACCATCACATAGAACCACCATCACATAGAACCACCATCAGATAGAACCACCATCACATAGAACTACATTGAATCTGTATATTTTACTTATTTTGTTCATTAAAGTTGTTTCTGACAACTTTTAACATTCTCTGTTTCATTCTGCTTGTGTATATTTACACATATACAATGTATGTATATTCATTTGTACATTGGTCGGTTTTCCTTCCTTGGCTGCAACATGAAATCAGAACTTTTATTTAGAATAATTTTATTTAATTAAATTGCATTTTAATATTTCATCATGACAAAACTATTTCACTCCTTTTGATTCAAAGTTATTTCCCACTTTGACGTGGTGACGGTTTTCTATCTTCGTGACGTCATGGATCGTTTCTTAATAAACAGACTGATCACGTGATCATTTCCCACCTCGTGTTTGTTTTTGTTGATTTTACTGCTTCTTTTTGATTATTACAGATGTCGTTCCTGATGCTCATCGTTTAATGATGGATGAGCTGTCCACATGCACCGTGTTTTAACGGGATTATTGAACTTGTATTCCGGTGGATCCCGTGATGCGTGATGATGATGAGCGCCCCCCCCCCCCCCTCTCCTCCCTCTCCTCCCCCCTCCTCCCCCCTCCCGAGGACAAAGACTAAAATGGGTCACACTCCGGAGAGGAGCAGCATCTTCTCCTCCATCATGTGATGTAGTTCATCCTCCTGCAGACTCCAACCGGCTGCTGCTCACCGGACCCGGTAACGACGACAATCTGGACACAACAACAGCCGTCGGTCGGTGCCGGTTCGCCTTTTAACGAACAAAGGTTCGTTCCTCCGGGATGGTGACGCGTCTTGCCGGGGCTCGCCTGCATTGATTCGGGGATCTTCACCGGACTCGCCGCCGACGGATGGACGATGGACGCGCCGAGTTAACCGGAGGCCTCGCCGGTAAACGCAGGTAGGACCGCATCGCGAGCCGGTGACGTCATCACGGGGAAAAGCCCCCATTGTGTCACACGGAGTGGAACAATTACCCCTAAAATCCGGTTATTGTTACAGAGACGAACTCTACTGAAACATGAGTCCAAATACAGTGTAAAAGACGCAAGTCTCGCGAGAACTCCTGAGGCGGACGGAGTCTGGTGCTTCCGTCCAAAGGTGAAGGTGTATGTGGTCTCCTTCAAGCCCTGGTCTCCATGACAACCACACACGTCATAACCACATCTGTGACTCTGCTTTCAGAGGTTTGTGGAAACAAATGTTATTGTGAAAGGTAATTAGTAATGATCTAGTTTTTAAGGTTAAAATATATAGTTGACATTCTGAATGTGTCTGTTCAGTACAGGAGACGACCTTTAGTCCTTCTCTGGACTCCTCTGCTCCCATAGACGTCTATGAGGAAATGACTCTACTTCTCTGTAGTGACCAGCAGGGGGCGACTCCTCTGCTCCCATAGACGTCTATGAGGAAATGACTCTACTTCTCTGTAGTGACCAGCAGGGGGCGACTCCTCTGCTCCCATAGACGTCTATGAGGAAATGACTCTACTTCTCTGTAGTGACCAGCAGGGGGCGACTCCTCTGCTCCCATAGACGTCTATGAGGAAATGACTCTACTTCTCTCTTGATTTATTCCCTCAGTAAACATTGTAAACATCAGTTTATGGTCTCAGTTTCTAGTTTCAAGTCTTCTTCAACACAACATGATGCTCATTTAGTGATTTATGGTCCATTCAGAGTCAAACAGACCATGAAGCAGGAGATGCTTTAGGGCAGGGCTACACGCTGATTGACAGGTCGACACCAGAGGTCTCTACGTCTTCCCCAGTCGGGATGAGGTCTGGTCCTGTTCACTGGTTTCAAAAAACACAAACATATGACTTACTAAATGAGGAAACTCAAGGGCCGTTACTAGGGCAGGTTCTGAGGTATTTAAAAAGTATTTAACATTTATTCATCGATGTGGTTTCACAGCGCTTCTTCTTTTTAAATGTCTGAGTTTCTATCTCATGTCAGATGTTTTGTACTTTAGAAACCTCTTATTTTTGTAACATTAGTATTCAGGGACCTGAGATATGATTGAACATGTGGCCTGTGCGGTGCGTTCAGGGACTCCTGGAGATACGCTGACGTCATGTTCTCTGCTCCTCTCAGGACTTGGGCTGAAGTCCAGCTCGGAGGACTCTGGACTCTGGCATCCACGGAGCCTCGGGTGCAGGAAGGTGAGTTTCTTTTATCCCTGTAAATCTCCCGAGTGAACTCGTCCGCTTTCACAAGATCTAAAATTAGAAGATTCTTTTTCCGTCTCAAGGTTCATTTTTAGATTTCTGTTTTCTTCTCTGCGAATGATGTTCTTTCATGTTCTAATTTGGTTCTGCGTTTGTTCTTGGGCTGAAACACATCTGGAACATCCGAACGGAGAAAGAGTCGCCTTAAAGATCCACAGCTGAGGAAGTTTATAACGTTTAAGCTCAAATAATAACAGACCTTGCTTTAGTTTCGCTTTAGTCTCTATTTAATCAACAAATAAAACTAATGTGTCCAATTATTTGGACGTCACATGAATGCAGCGCCATATTGCTGTTTTTTCTATTTTATATACCGGTACTCATGTTTTATAATAATATATATTCATGATTATAATCCGTCTAGCTCCTTTTTATCCAGAACATCTTGTTTGTGTCAGCGATGACTCAGCAGATTCCTCCCCACAGACTCCAGATCAGCCATGACTCCTCCAGCACGCCCGCTGCTGCTGCTGCTGATGGTGATGATGACGTCACTTCCTGCGTCCGCCGTGGAGCCGGAGACCTGTTTCTCCAGACAGCACCAGAGCGCCATCGTGAATGTGCGGCAGGCGCGTCCATCCTCGGCCATGAGCGCCCGCAAGCTCCAATCAGAGCGAGACTGCGTCCTCGCATGCTGCTCCGAGGACGTGAAGCCAGGTGAGAGCCACAGCCCCGCCCCTCTGCCTCTCACCCATACACCTGTATGCACACATGAGTAGGATGGAAATGAACCGATTCCCTTTCTGTGTCTCTGGAGGCGCTAAATGCAACATGGCCGTGTTCAACGGCAACAAAGACGCCGGAGAAGAAAACTGCTTCCTGTTCCACTGCAAGGCGGAGCAGGACTGTCCTCTGATGAAGGCCGAGGGCGGAGTCAACACCTACGACATCTATAAAGGTGAGCCACCTGCTCAGGTACTCTGTGTTCCACCTGTTCAGGTACTCTGTGTACTACCTGCTCAGGTACTCTGTGTTCCACCTGTTCAGGTACTCTGTGTACTACCTGCTCAGGTACTCTGTGTTCTACCTGCTCAGGTACTCTGTGTTCTACCTGCTCAGGTTCTCTGTGTTCTACCTGCTCAGGTACTCTGTGTTCCACCTGCTCAGGTACTCTGGGTACTACCTGCTCAGGTACTCTGTGTTCTACCTGCTCAGGTACTCTGGGTACTACCTGCTCAGGTACTCTGTGTACTACCTGCTCAGGTACTCTGTGTTCCACCTGCTCAGGTTCTCTGTGTTCTACCTGCTCAGGTACTCTGTGTTCTACCTGCTCAGGTACTCTGTGTTCCACCTGCTCAGGTACTCTGTGTACTACCTGCTCAGGTACTCTGTGTTCCACCTGCTCAGGTACTCTGTGTTCCACCTGCTCAGGTACTCTGTGTTCTACCTGCTCAGGTACTCTATGTTCTACCTGCTTGGGTACTCTGTGTTCCACCTGCTCAGGTACTCTGTGTACTACCTGCTCAGGTACTCTGTGTTCCACCTGCTCAGGTACTCTGTGTTCCACCTGCTCAGGTACTCTGTGTTCTACCTGCTCAGGTACTCTATGTTCTACCTGCTTGGGTACTCTGTGTTCACCTGCTCAGGTACTCTGTGTTCTACCTGCTCAGGTACTCTGTGTACTACCTGCTCAGGTACATTTGAGGAGGTAACGTTCTTGCGTCTTCACATCTTACTTTGTCTTCTTCAGGTTTGATTCATCCGACCACGGTGAGACCTGTTACCATGACGACTACCACGGAACAAACACCACCACCTCCACCACACTGGCCCCGACTACACTCTCAACCACAGCAACCACAATAACCACCACCCAGAGTACAACAACAACACCACCAACCACAACAACTACAACCGCAGCTCCAACCACCACGCAGACTCCCGCCACCACAACACCATCTCCACCCATCATCATCATTGCCACAATGGCTCCAATAACTCCAGCACCCAGCCCCTCCACCATCTCCACCACCACCGCAGTTTCTACTACAACTTCTCCACCCACCACCACTGTCATTGTGAAGAAGCCAAACAAAACCAGTAAAAAGCAAAACAAAACATCAAAGAAGGTGAATCCTCATCCTGCTGGCACCGCAACCTCCGCCCGGCTGACACAGAGCTCCACTGTGACCTCACTTCCTGTTGTCACAGCCAATGGGGAGGCTGCACCAAGAACCACTAACAAACCACAGCCCAAAACAGAAACTACCACGACTACTTCTACTACTTCTACTACTCCAACTACTACTACTACCACTACCACTACAACTCCGGCTCCAACCACCACTACTACCACCACTACTAGTACTACTACTACTACTACTTCTACTAGTACTACTAGTACTACCACCACTATGACTCCTCCTCCTGCTGCGACCTGGTCCGCCTCGAGGTCAGCTCCGGAGGAGAGTCCGGTCATCGTCCCAAAGGTTGCCCTCCAATCAGACCACACCCTCCAATCAGACCACACCCTCCAACCAGACCACGCCCTCCAACGAGACCACACCCCCCAACCAGACCACACACCCCACACCCTCCAACCAGACCACACCCTCCAACCAGACCACACCCTCCAACCAGACCACGCCCTCCAACCAGACCACACCCCCCAACCAGACCACACACCCCAACCAGACCACACCCTCCAACCAGACCACACCCTCCAACCAGACCACACACCCCAACCAGACCATGCCCTCCAACCAGACCACGCCCTCCAACCAGACCACGCCCTAGAATCAGACCACACCCTCCAATCAGACCACGCCCTCCAGCCCAATCAGGCCTCTCAGAACTCTAGCGCAGGCCGGGCAAAGGCGGCGGCTTCAGCAACCCGCGGGGTGCTGAAGAGCGGCGCGGTGGCGTTCATGGTGCTCGGGCTGGCGGCGCTCACGCTGGCGCTTGCCGTTTGCGGCCGCAAAGCGATGGAGTCCTTTGATCGGCGCCACTACACCCGGCTGGAGCTCAACGACCTCCACTACGAGGTGTGAGGCTGCCGTCTTTGTCCATGGTCGCGGTCGCGGGACGTCCCCTGCGCAGAGAGCCGAGGGGCCGTGCGTTATGTCCCGTTACCGCCAGGCGGCGTCCTCGCTTTGTTTATTGCCGCGGTAACGTGTAACCAGGACAACGGGAGCGGTTGGGTTCTGGGAGATAATGATGAAGGACTCCATATGAATACGTTCCATATTGAGACACAGCGCCGGGCGCAGATATTTTAACGTATTTAGTTATTACAAAAAAAATTAAATAAAAATGCCACTTGGCAAATCAAGAAAAAAAATATGACAAATTTCAATATCACTATAAATTTGTGTCTTTAATCATATTTGTCTTCACAATGTTTGAGCTTTTCTCACTTTGTAAGAGTTTCCACAAAGTGTGATTATTGTCACGCGCTGTGACATCACCTGTTTTTTGACCTTTATTTGACGACGTGGCGTCACTTTGTCGACGTTATCTCACAAAAGATCATTTCTTATAATGAATGTTCTCCTGAATGAACTGAGCAGCTTCTCTGTGGAACAGGAAGTGACTGATGGACGAACTCCTGATCAGCTGATCGATTGAATTCAAACTACAAACAGCAATATTTATATTCCCTGAATCTCAGGATGTGTGTGAGGAGGCTCCTCTTCTTCATCATCTCCTCTTCATCGTCTCCTTCTCTTCCCCCTCCTCCTGCTTTTATTCTCCATCTTCCCCTCCTCCTTCTGTCCAGGTCCTCTCCATCCTGCATGTCCTCTCACGTCCTCGTTGATGCTTCTTCCCACTGTGCTGTTTTTTCCCACAATGATGAAGATGTAACTGGATGATGATGACGATGATGACGATTTAAATCAATGAGGAAGATGTAAATCGATGATGAAACCCTCCAAAGTTGATGCACTATTCATTTCTGGGTGTTTTTGATAAATATGATCTTCTTTTTGAATATTGGATTGTTTTTGCACTATTTTCCTATGACGAGTGTGTTTGTACCTGATGCGTCCAGCAGGGGCAGCAGCCCCCCCCCCCCCCCATTATTGGTTATTGATTACTATTATTAGTATTAACGATGGTGACAGTCTGGTCCTGTTTTGTGAAGTGATACTTTTGCATATGTTTGCAACTTTGATGTTTTGTTTTAGTAAGGATTAAAAAACTGTGATTTTTGAAGATGTTGTTGTTGTTTTACTGACGGAACCGACCGGAAGTGCCAATCATTGATCTCCAGATGTGAACACAGCTGTTGTCTTAAAGGGAAGTTATTGTTTGTGGGTCAGAAGTAAAAAAAGAAGAAACAAATGTTTAATTCAAATTAAACATAAGAACATCACATATTAAACATAACACTGTTTTTAGGATTTAAATATTTATTTTCTTCATTCATTGATAATCACATCTGATTATCTGAGTTTTACTTCATTTGGAGTTTATTCTTTCCTTATTATTTATGTAGTCTCCTTTCATTTATTGTTTTCAGGAAAGTATGCCGACAGTAATTAGCTGCGATAATAATTTTGACTTTTCTTTCAGAATTAGGATGTTTAGGTCTTAACCTTAAAAGTCAAAACCTTAATGATAATAACCAAAGGCAAGTTAAAGACTATTTGTCTGATTATTTCTTTTTGTCATCGTCACTTGTTCAGTATTCAGCTTTTTACATCAGATTCAGAGCTGCAAACCAGATCCATATTTAAAATTGAACTGTTTCATGAAAATGAGGGATTTGAAGTCAAAGGGGGGATTTTTCTGGACTTTAACAGAACCACGTAATTTATAAAGCAGTTTGTCTTCATTCCTCGTTTGACCTCCGAGTTCTTCTGTTGGTCCAACTGACTCCAAACTGTCGGTAAACGGGAGAAAGCTGAAGCCCGTCGGAGCGCGTCCATGGAAATGGTGTAAATGGTGTAAATGGTGTAAATGGTGTAAATGGTGTATTCGTACTTCGCCTACTGTACTTATACTCGCTGTATTCTGATACTTTCGTGTTCTTTTGGGTTTGTATCATTATGGTTGAAATGCACTTATTGTAAGTTGCTTTGGATAAAAGCGTCGTGTGATGTAACGTGTATTCTGATGTACTTTCCCCGGTGTGAGCGGTGTATTCTCGTGTACTTGGTGTACTTTGTGTACCATCGGCCTCGCTGCGGAGCGTGACATGGGAACAACAATAGGAGCTGCTGGAGGAGGAGAGGGGGGGCGGCGGCTTCCTCACAGCGGAAGGAGACGACGGATCTCCGGCAGGACAATGTGAGGCACCGAGAGTTGGTCGGACGCATTCCGGGGAACAGCCGCGATGGACGCGGGGACGTTTTAACGCGTTTCGCGGGTTCGACAACGAGCCGATTATTCAGCGGAAGTCCGCGTGTTTGGATCCCGCGGCAGCGATGGGAGCGACCCGCTGAAGGGGCCGCGGCGGCTGGGCCCACAACCGGGAGAAAGATGGGTGTCGCGCTGCGGAGCCTGTTGTTGTGTAGTTTTTGTTTGCTCGTACGAGGTGAGTCTCCTCCCGCTTCGGTTGCTTATTTGCGCTGTGGTTCCAGTTTGTGTGTCGATTAACCGCCGGGAGAAGTGTCTCTGAACGCGGCGTGTGAGTGCAGCTGAGTCCGGGGATCCGGGGCCCTCTCCGGGGGTCGGAGCTAGCTGTTAGCCCGCATGCTATGCGTGCTGGTCAGCCTGGAGGAGCCGGAACAAACGCCAGCTCGCTTCGGTTAACACACGTGCGATCCCCGGTAAACCGTCCACGCAGCCGGTGACCGGTGACCCGCACGTTACGCGCGGTTCTCTCGCAGTTAGCATGCTAGCCGCTGTGTGAGTAACTTGGATTAGCACAGCTAGCAGCAGCTAGCACAACAAATACTACGCCAGCGCTTAGTTCGATAAACGCCAGGCAGTAATAACAGAGCTCTTCATGGTGTTTAAACCCTCTAATTACACGTATCCATCTGCGCACATAGTTCACATGTCCTGGTGTTATGCTAACAAGCTAACTGAGGTCATTTCTCCACAGCAATACTGTTATTGTCGTTAATAGAGTTATTGTTATTGTGATTAATACAAACTTAATAGATTTAGATGTATTGTGTAAGTGTAACGTGATGTTAGTATTTGTTACAAGATTTATTCTGCATATTTATATTATTATTTCTCCATTTTTTAGGACTTGTGTTTTTTCACTTGAACGTTACCAACACAATTCATCTAAAAATAACAGCTTTAATATCTCCTTTTATAACTGAGTGACCACGAGAAAAAATAGTCTTTGCATGTAAATGAAAACGAGCAACAATATACAGCATTTTTTAAATTCTCTTAATATTGTAAATAAAAACACAAAGTTAAAAGCTTTATACAAACTATAAAAATGACCATAAATAGGAAATGATCCACAACCTTTGATTATCAACCTGCTGAAGCTTGTCTGTTATTTACAAAGCCCGTTGTTAAAAAGAGGGTCCATTTGGTCTGGACCTCATGGTCTCTGAGAGGACCTGGTCCCTCCGGGGTTCTGAGGTCCTCTCAGAGTCCAGCCCCGTCCTCAGGCCTCCCACGTGAGTTGGTGGTCTGGATCAGCCGAGCTCCTCTTCCTCCTCCTCTTCATCACCGTCAGAGAAGAAGAACTCAGAAGCTCTGCTCATTTTGGTTCCCCAGCTTAAATGTGGATTGTTCCAGCTGTTCCATGTCCCCTGTTGTGTGTCCCCGAGCGAGACACTGCCCGCACTGTGTGGACGGGTTAAATGCAATGAGTCGCTTTGGAGGACTTGTAATGTAGGACGGTGGATTGTTGTGTACTTTATGTTTGTATGTTTACCTCTTTCAGGCGTGCCGCTGCTGCTCTATGCGAACCGACGGGACCTTCGGCTCGTGGACGCGGCACACGAGAAGACCAACGCTACAGTGGTGGTGGGCGGGCTGGAGGACGCCGCCGCCGTGGACTACGTCTACTCCCAGGGCCTCATCTACTGGAGCGACGTCAGCGAGGAGGCCATCAAACGCACCGTCTTTAACCAGTCAGGGGCCAGCGCCGTCCAGACCGTGGTCCCCGGTCTGGCCTCCCCTGACGGATTGGCCTGTGATTGGTTGGGGAGTAAGCTCTACTGGACGGACTCGGAGACCAATCGGATCGAGGTGGCCGAGCTGGACGGCTCCTCGAGGAAGGTTTTGTTCTGGCAGGAGCTGGACCAGCCGAGGGCCATCGCTCTGGATCCGGAACGAGGGTGAGTCTGAGAGGGGTGGTCTCCTGGGGCAGGTCCTGGTTCAGGGGGTCAAGGTTCTAGGTCTCTTTGGGCTGGTCGAAGATCAGTGGGAATCTTTCACACTGGATCACTGGTTATTTATGCGGCATCCTCGGGCTTTTATTTTGAAGTAAAGAAACTTGATGGTTGGTGGCCAACCGTGATCAGAGGAGTGACTCCTCGCCTGTAACTGCTATGCTAAGCTAGCTGCTAGGCTACTTCCAGCTCAACATCTACCTGCAGAGGACCACCACCGTGTCCCTAAAAGACAGTGGTTTGAAATCGTCCTGCTAAATGTGGGACACTGTTGGCCCTTGAAACACGTCAAATGATGGAGAGTTGAGAGCAAAGTGCACGAGGACGAGTCGTAGTTCAACATGTTCCACCTCCAACACCATCACATGTGATCATTTGTTTAGAATACAATTAAACAGCGTCTAAAATACACGCTTTCTAAAGTCATTACTCGTTCATTTATAAGATTTAGTCTTTAGAAGGTAAACTTTTATTCATGATTAAGGCTGTCACCGTATCACATCTTTGTTGTGCGATTATTGCACATTTATTGCGATATTATTGCAATGTTCAGACCATTTCATGCCACTGACCCCATAATGACAATATAATAGCATAGTAATAAAGTACGCTATTTCAAATAACGTATTTGTCAGAATAGTTCGACATTAGAATCTGAGTGTGAAAAAATATCCTGATTAAAACAACAAATAACAAGTGTGAGGGACACGGAGCGGCGGAGCATCGGGTTTGGTGCGATGCGGTCGGGTTCCAGACAATGTGTCCGGCTGAAAGGCGCCGCGGCTCCCGGCACGTTTACCGGGGCTTCGCCCGCCCAAAGGGGCGGAGGAGCAGTCCGGAGGAACCGACAGTGGTTCAGGTTAAAGACGGCCGGGTGGTTGTTGTTTGGGTGAGATGTTAGCGTAGTTAGCTTAGTTGGGTTAGTTAGCTTAGTTGGGTTAGTTAGCTTAGTTAGCGTAGTTGGGTTCACTGCTTCTCTTCACGTGTCCGTGTCGCTTATAAGCTCCGCCCCCTTTTCCACAAGCAAAATGGACAGATCAACTTAAATGTTGGTGACGTTCATTCACAGAACCAGCGTCACACAGAACCAGCGTCACACAGAACCAGCGTCACACAGAACCAGCGTCACACAGAACCAGCGTCACACAGAACTTTAGGAAACAGCCCCAATATATATTATATAATGTCAAATTAGTGTTAAATACAAATTAACTCGATAAGAGACGTTGTTACTTCAAACCCAAAGATTTAAATGTAGAAAAGAGAAGTAACTAAGTCCAATCTTTAAAAAGTGATATTTCATCACTTGTTTTTATTATTTTTACATTATTTAAGCCGAATTCTGTTAAATAAATGAATCCATTCTGCGCTCCTTGGCTGTGGTGTGTAACGTGATCATTGAGTCTGAGATCAGAAGACAATAAATCGGGGACGCACCGCGGAGACGACGTTAATATTTCATCAGTCAAATACTGAACATGTGCAGCTGAAAGCATTTAGATATAAAGAGTCTTTTCTTGTGAGGGTGCTGTTTGCATACAGGTGCAGGACTTAATTACATGGTGGTGGGGCCGTGCAGTCCGGCCCTAAATCCACACCACGGGATTTAGAAGGAGTCTGACGGCAGCCTGGTATGTGGCGGTAGTACATAAGACCCCAAAAAGGACCGCTGTTAAAAACCCGTGTCTGAGATGCTGGAGGGCAGAGCAGGACACGTTCAGGTAGCAAACACAGAGCTCATTAAGCCCCGCCCCCTCTGACACACAGGTACATGTACTGGACGGACTGGGGCGAGGTCCCTAAGATCGAGCGGGCGGGGATGGACGGGACCAACCGCTCGGTGATCGTGGACCAGGAGATCTACTGGCCCAACGGCCTGACGCTGGACTACGGGCCGGGGAAGCTCTACTGGGCCGACGCCAAGCACAACTTCATCCACCGGGCCGACCTGGACGGCTCCTCCAGGGAGTCCGTGGTCAAGGGGGAGCTGCCCCACCCCTTCGCCCTCACCCTCTACGAGGACACCCTCTTCTGGACCGACTGGAGCACCCACTCCATCCACTCCTGCAGGAAGCAGACCGGGGACGAGCAGCGCGTGGTTCACTCCCACATCCTGTCCCCCATGGACATCCACGTCTTCAGCGCCAAGAGACAGGCCACGGGTGAGTTAGGGCTGACCTCCTCCCTCCGCCCACAGCAGTAAGTTCCTGACCTCCTCTCCCCCCACAGTGGTGAGCAGCCACTGCTCGGTGAACAATGGAGGATGTTCCCACCTCTGTCTCCTGTCCCCGATGAAGCCCTTCTATCTGTGTGCTTGTCCCACCGGAGTCCAGCTGCTGGAGGACGGGAAGACCTGCAGAGACGGTGAGGACATACGTGCCACATATACACACGCAACAAGAACAAGAAACCTCCAGGGCTTTATGTTGTATAGTGTCACCACGACAACTCCTCCGTGTAACATACGTGGCAATACATGACTTGTATGTGTCTACATATACAACATACATGACTTGTATGTGTCTACATATACGACATGTATGTGTCTACATATACGACATATATGACATGTACATACTTCACATGTGGAACTAGATCAGCTGCCAGGTTAGCTGGTTATTAGCTGCACCGTGCCGGCGGCTAACGGCTAACAGCTAACGTTACCACTCTTTTTTTTTTTTTAAGCGTTCATGCTCATTTGCATATGTTGACTGAATATTAATGTCAGTTTATTTCATCATAAAACCGTGTGGTGACCTCTGACCTCGCCCCTCAGGTGCGACCCGGATGCTGCTGCTGGCCCGGAGGACCGACCTGCGGCACATCTCTCTGGACACGCCGGACTTCACCGACGTGGTCCTGCAGGTGGAGGACATCCGGCACGCCATCGCGGTGGACTACGACCCGGTGGAGGGCTACGTCTACTGGACGGACGACGAGGTGAAGGCCATCCGCCGCTCGCGGCTGGATGGCGCCGACGCCCAGTTTTTGGTCACGTCCCAGGTCAACCACCCGGACGGCATCGCCGTGGACTGGATTGCCCGGAACCTGTACTGGACCGACACCGGCACGGACCGCATCGAGGTGACCCGGCTCAACGGGACCATGAGGAAGATCCTGATCTCCGAAGACCTCGACGAGCCCAGGGCCATCGTGCTGGACCCCGTGGCCGGGTGAGTCCTCAACGAGTCCCGACCCGATCCAGCGGTTCTCCCAGCACGTTGATGTTGATTAGCTACGTCCTGCTTGTGCTCCTATTAACAGTAACGCTAACACGCTACTTCCTGTCTGGGTCCACAGCTACATGTACTGGACCGACTGGGGGGAGGTGCCTAAGATTGAGCGGGCCAACCTGGACGGGACGGAGCGCCTGGTGATGGTCAACACGTCTCTGGGTTGGCCCAATGGACTCGCCCTCGACTACGAGGAACGCAAGCTGTACTGGGGGGACGCCAAGACCGACAAGATCGAGGTGGGGCTCATTTCCTGTCGGGGCTGGTTGTGGTTTCATGTTCTAATCCGACCTGCAGCTGTAGAATATGTTCTGTTAAAGGCGGCTGCAGTTCTGTCTTCGTCTTCTGTGTTTCTGTCCTCATGCGTCTCTCTGTAGTCTTTGTTTCTATTTCTATTTCTGACCGCCTCTCCGGAGCCTCGAGGTGGTGGTGGTTCTGGTCTCGCACGGTGGGGAACGGGCCTCCTCCTGTTTCTGCAGTGGGATCTCACATCTGGTTCCCATTGGGGGCGGCCCTCCAGCTGTGGTCGGGTCTGTTTAGAATAGACCAGAACCAGTGCAGAAACTCTGTCTGTGTCTCTGTGTCCAGAGGACCAGTAACGCTTCTCTTACTTTGATCCTTTTCAACGTCTCTTTGTGTTCCGTGTGCTGTCGGGTCACGGATGCTCAGCGTGTGTCCCCTTTGTCTGTCAGGTGATGGACATGGACGGGACGGGTCGGCGGGTGCTGGTGGAGGACATGCTTCCCCACATCTTTGGCTTCAGTCTGCTGGGAGACTTCATCTACTGGACGGACTGGCAGCGCCGCAGCATCGAGCGCGTCCACAAGCGCACGGCCGAGAGGGAGGTCATCATCGACCAGCTGCCCGACCTCATGGGCCTCAAGGCCACCCACGTGCACGAGTCCTCGGGTGGGTCCCGCGCCGAGCGTTAGGCTGAACATGGTTAGCGTAGCATGGCGCAATAACCCGGAAACAAACACTGGAATGATGGGAAAACAGACAAAGCTCACTTAGTTCAGACTTCAGGCAGCTATTTTAGCTTAGCATCGAGGCTGTAATCGGAGGTTAAGAGGTCAAACAGACAGCTGGTTGGGACTCACCTGTGGCCCCGCCCCTCTGCAGGTACCAACCCGTGTGCAGAGAGCAACGGCGGCTGCAGCCACCTGTGCCTGTACAAGCCGCAGGCCGTGCAGTGCGGCTGCCCCATCGGCCTGGAGCTCATCGCCGACATGCGCACCTGCATCGTGCCCGAGGCCTTCCTGCTCTTCTCCCGCCACACCGACATCCGCCGCATCTCCCTGGAGACCAACAACAACAACGTGGCCATCCCGCTCACCGGCGTCAAGGAGGCCTCGGCGCTGGACTTCGACGTCACCGACAACCGGATCTACTGGACAGACATCACCCTGAAGGTAGGGCGGCTGCTCTATTCACCTTCACTCTTTGTCTGCGTGTGGCGCTGAACCCTGCGCGCCGCCTTGCAGACCATCAGCCGGGCCTTCATGAACGGCAGCGCCCTGGAGCACGTGGTGGAGTTCGGCCTGGACTACCCGGAGGGGATGGCCGTGGACTGGCTGGGGAAGAACCTGTACTGGGCCGACACCGGTACCAACCGCATCGAGGTGGCCAAGCTGGACGGGCAGCACCGGCAGGTCCTGGTCTGGAAGGATCTGGACAGTCCGCGAGCGCTGGCTCTGGACCCGGCTGAGGGGTGAGAACCCAAAACCAGAATCCGAGCAGGAAGTTTAAATCCGTGGTTTCATCCCTTAATCTAAGAATATTAGTTTCTTTAAGTTCTTTTAGATCTTCAATCTCGACCTTCTGACCCGCTGTCCACAGGTACATGTACTGGACCGAGTGGGGGGGGAAGCCCAAGATCGACCGGGCCGCCATGGACGGGACGGGCCGCATCACCCTGGTGGCCGACGTGGGCCGGGCCAACGGGCTCACCATCGACTACGCCGAGCGGCGCCTCTACTGGACCGACCTGGACACCACGCTCATCGAGTCGTCCAACATGCTGGGTGAGCGCCGCCGGGGGCCACGGGGGGCGACTGCAGAACCGCCACGTTGGTGATGAACATATTCTATGTTTCTGTGATGACTCCAGGTCAGGACCGCGAGGTCATAGCCGACGACCTGCCCCACCCCTTCGGACTCACCCAGTACCAGGACTACATCTACTGGACGGACTGGAGCCAGCGCAGCATCGAGCGCGCCAACAAGACCAGCGGGCAGAACCGCACCGTGATCCAGGGCCACCTGGACTACGTCATGGACATCCTGGTGTTCCACTCCTCCCGGCAGGGGGGCTGGAACGCCTGCGCCTCCACCAACGGCCACTGCTCCCACCTCTGCCTCGCCGTGCCCGTCAGCGGCTTCGTCTGCGGATGCCCCGCCCACTTCTCCCTCAACTACGACAACAAGACGTGCAGCGGTGAGGACGCCGGGACCTGTCCTCCGTGTCCCCTCCTGCCATCGGCTCCTCTAACCCCGCCCTCTGTCCCCTCCCCAGCTCCCACCTCCTTCCTGCTGTTCAGCCAGAAGACGGCCATCAACCGCATGGTGATGGACGAGCAGCAGAGTCCCGACATCATCCTGCCCATCCACAGCCTGAGGAACGTCCGCGCCATCGACTACGACCCGCTGGACAAACACCTGTACTGGATCGACTCCAAGCAGGGCGTCATCCGCCGCGCCCTGGAGGACGGCAACCAGGTGAGGAACCCGGGGGGGCCAGATGTTTTTGGTGGTGTCCGGGAGCCCGTCTCTCACCCCGTGTCTCTGGTCTCGTCTCCTCAGAGCAGCACGGTGGTCTCCAGCGCCGCCCCGGGACCCGGCCCGGGCCTCCAGCTGTACGACCTGAGCATCGACATCTACAGCCGCTTCATCTACTGGACCAGCGAGGTCACCAACGTCATCAACGTGACCCGGACCGACGGGGGCCGGGTGGGCGTGGTGCTGAGAGGGGAGCAGGACAAGCCCAGGGCCATCGTGGTCAACCCCGAGAGAGGGTCAGTGTCCTCACATTGCTGTCCTTAGTGTCCTCGTCTTGAGTCTGTGTGAGGAGACCTAATCCCCCCCCCCCCCAGGTACATGTACTTCACCAACCTGCTGGATCGCTCCCCCAAGATCGAGCGGGCGGCCCTGGACGGGACGGAGCGAGAGGTCCTGTTCTTCAGCGGCCTGGGGAAGCCCGTGGCGCTGGCCGTGGACAACGAGGTGGGGAGGCTCTTCTGGGTGGACTCGGACCTGCGGCGCATCGAGAGCAGCGACCTCTCCGGTGAGTCGGGGGTTCTGATCCACATCGTACCTCCACATTCAGATTCATCCTCCCTCTCTGCTCGTCGGACGGATGACGCTTAGCTTAGCTTATCTTAGCTTAGCTTAGCACAAATAGCGACCCTGTCCACAGATGACATCATCCACCGACCGGCTGATTTACTCTTTGTCTCATCCGGACAAAAAGCGTCAACCAGTTTCATTATTTATTATTATTATTTGTTTGTGGGCCAGATGTGTCCCTCTGTCTCTCTACCGTCTGTCTCTCTACCCGTCTGTCTCTCTGTCTCCTCCTCTGTCTGTCTCTCTACCCGTCTGTCTCTCTGTCTCCTCTGTCTGTCCGTCCCGCTGTCAACCTGTGTGCAGCGTGAGCAGCAGACTGAAGACACTTAGTTTTGTTTCGGATCCCAGAACATTCCTTAGATTCTCAGAGCTCCACGCAGGAATGTGAAGCATCTGTGGGAGAGGGTTCAGAAGAGGGGGACCCCTCCCCCCGCACCCCCAGACCAGATAACCGCCTGGCACCAATACCATGAGCACCATGTCTTTGTGTTTATTGTCTCTGTGTATCTGACTGGTACATCATTGCCCCCCCCCGTCCCCCTTCCTCACCCCTCAGTTTCTCACCCGTTTTTGTTGCCTCTGATCCGGATCCTTTGTCCCTACAACCTTTTGTTTTCTCCTCCAGGAGCCAATCGGATCGTGATCGCCGACTCCAACATCCTGCAGCCGGTGGGCCTGACGGTGTTCGGGGAGCATCTCTACTGGATCGACAAGCAGCAGCAGATGATCGAACGCATCGACAAGACCACCAGGGAGGGGCGCACCAAGATCCAGGCCCGCATCGCCTACCTGAGCGACATCCACGCCGTGCACGAGCTGGACATGAGGGAGTACGGTGCGTGGAGGGTGGACACGTGAAGGACCTTACGGATGTCATAGACCCGCACCCGAAGGACGATGAGGACCGTAAACCTGCGCTGTCTCCGTCTCACCTGTCCTCTCCGTCCCTGCAGGTAAACACCCGTGTACGTGGGACAACGGCGGCTGCTCCCACATCTGCATCGTGAAGGGAGACGGGACCACCCGCTGCTCGTGTCCCGTCCACCTGGTGCTGCTGCAGAACGAGCTGTCCTGTGGAGGTGAGACACAAGCTCCGCCCCCTTCCTCTCGCACGGCCTCGTTAACCCCGCCCCCTTCTGAACCGCTCCCTGTCTCCGCCCGTCTGCAGAGCCGCCCACCTGCTCCCCGGAGCAGTTCTCCTGCACCTCCGGCGAGGTGGACTGCATCCCGCAGGCCTGGAGGTGCGACGGCTACCCCGAGTGTGACGACGGCAGCGACGAGGAGGACTGTCCCGTCTGCTCCGAGGACGAGTTCCAGTGCGACAGCCGGCAGTGCGTTGACCTCCGCCTGCGCTGCAACGGGGAGGTCAACTGCCAGGACCGGTCCGACGAGAGCAAGTGTGAAGGTGGGACGGGTCCTCTGAGACGCGTGTGCCACATACGTGTATTCATAACCGGATCTATATATAGATCTGTCACAATATCAAATTTGTGTTGTGCGATTATTTGCAATAAACAATATTATCGCTATTTTCACAGCATTTCCTGATATAACATAATGACAATATAATAGCGTAGTAATACACACATTATTAATGATGTTAACACAATCATTAAAAAGGCATTTTAACCATTTATTAGACAAAAATAATGGAAAATAAAGTCTGTTATTAGACCGTGTACATATGTCCACCCTCCTCCTTAAACTCGTCTGCTGATCTCAGATGAATCCACGATAAGTTCATAATGATGTTTTTTATAGAATCGGAGGATTAAATGTTTTTATTAAGTAGCAATTTCAACTATTTTTTTTCTGACTTATTTGTCACAAATGTTGTGTTCAAGGACCGTTGTGAAGATGTAAGTCTGGCCGTGGCGTCTGATAACGCTGTACGTGTCGTCCCCAGTGCGCTGTCCTCCGGACCAGTTCTCCTGCTCCAGCGGTCAGTGCATCGGGAAGCACAAGAAGTGCGACCACAACACCGACTGTGCCGACAACTCTGACGAGATCGGCTGCTGTGAGTTAAATAATAAGACCAGAAATAACCAGATGTGTTTATACACCTCGAGGATTCAAGCTTAAGGAATAGAAAACATTTAGTCTAAACTTACTGTCAATAAAAATAGTGTTCAGCTATGAAAAGATATAAGACTGCTGCCTTTGAATTGTTTTTAAAGATGGTAATAAAAGTAGTTTAATGTTTATGATACTATAGTACTACTATGTATGCGTGTTATGTATCATCAGTTAGAGGAGCCACATTGTTACGGTGTCTAAAGTCTTATTGTGGTAACGATCAGTTAGATGGTTATTGAACTAAATCACAAGGTTTCATTTAATGATTTCTGCTGCTTTATTTACTACTAATTTTGTTCAAATGTATAATGATTGTTTACAAATGTTTTATTCTAATAACATTGATTTATAATGAGCAATGAGCTATATTATATCGTAATATTTGACAAACCTCATGACACGTCTCTTCTGTGGTTGTCAGACCCCACCGAGGAGCCCCCCCCTCCCTCCAACAACACCATCGGCTCCATCGTGGGAGTGGTCATGGCGCTGTTCGTGGTAGGCGCCGTGTACTTTGCGTGCCAGCGCGTCCTCTGTCCACAGATGAAGGACGACGGCGAGACGGTCACCAATGACTTTGTGGTGCACGGGCCGTCCTCGGTGCCGCTGGGCTACGTGCCGCACCCCGCCTCGCTGTCCAGCTCGCTGCCAGGTGGGACGCCACGCCGCACTTAGGCTTGAGACACTGAGCGAGCGCCACGATGACGCCTTGTTTTGTTCCACCCAGCAGGGATGTCCAGGGGGAAGTCCGTGATTGGCTCCCTCAGCATTATGGGCGGGAGCAGCGGGCCGCCCTACGACCGCGCCCACGTGACCGGAGCTTCGTCCAGCAGCTCGTCCAGCACCAAGGGAGCCTACTTCCCCCCGGTGAGGCCTCAGCATCGACCCCCGGGGAGACGACGCACATCCTTCGCTTCATGTGTTTAATGCTCTTTCATTTCTACTTCCAGATCCTGAATCCTCCTCCGTCTCCTGCTACTGTCCGCTCTCAGTACACCATGGAGTTCGGTTACTCCTCCAACAGTCCCTCAACTCACCGGTCCTACAGGTGTCTCTCACTTTACGTCTCGTTACGTCTCGTTACGTCTCGTTACGTCTCGTTACGTCGCGTTACGTCTCGTTTTGGGGGTTTCTTACTCTGTGGTGTTTTCTCCTGTCCAGCTACCGGCCCTACACCTACCGTCACTTCGCCCCCCCCACCACCCCGTGCAGCACGGACGTGTGTGACAGCGACTACACTCCGGGCCGCCGGGCGCCGCTGAGGTCGGCCGGCATTGCTAAGGGTTACGCCAGCGACCTGAACTACGACTCGGAGCCGTTCCCCCCCCCGCCGACCCCCCGCAGCCAGTACCTGTCAGCGGAGGAGAACTGTGAGAGCTGCCCTCCGTCGCCGTACACCGAGCGCAGCTACTCGCACCACCTCTACCCGCCCCCCCCCTCGCCCTGCACGGACTCCTCGTGAGCCCCCCTCACTGTAAATAGCAATTGTCCATATATGAGGTTAAAGACGGGAGCGCGGCAACGAGGAAACAAACAGGAGGACATTTGTACATTGAAAAAGAGAAAAGCATATTTATATATTTTCTATACAGTGTTTACTGATGATCACATAGAGGTTTGTATTGAGACATTTGTACAGTTTTTAACAAAAGGTTTTATTAAAATCATCACAGCTATAAGTTGCCTTAAACCAGAAGAAAGAGGCTGAAGGACTAAAAGCTCACGGCGGGACGTCTTAACTTATCTGATGCCAAATATGAAAAACATCAGCAGGAGGCCCAGCGGTGTCTGTAGTTACCATGTCAACTGGAGAAAAGGGCCATGTGACCTCGCGATACTTTGATTTACCTTTTACCTCCTCACTGATGTGAGTCATGTGATCAGTCATGAAGCAATAAGACTTATTTATTAAACCAGCTGCAGGGGGAGGCCCTGATGTATGGACGCTTTCTAAATGCTCATCATTTAGAGTCCAAGTCATCGACGGCGTCTCCTTTCAGCTTCTATGGAAGACAATCGGCCTCTTTTGGTACTTTCTGTTTTTTGCTATTGAAACTCCCTCTTGTACCTCCTGGGCCTCCGTACTCCAACGGTCACGTGTCACATGACTCTAAAGATACCAAAACGTTGCTTCTCGTTGATTTTCCCTCCCTCGTGCCCTATGACCTTCATGACCCCTTGTTCCTTCAGAGACCCAGTGCCCACTAAATGCTTTATATAGTATTTTTGTACCACATATTGTGTAGATATCGTATTTATAAGCTATATAAGAGATTGTTGTAAATCGACATTGAACTCTCGCAGTACTTTTCATTCCGTCTTTTTTTTATATCAACTCGTTATATTTTTCTACAAAGTTTCGCTCCAAATGTTCGGCGACAATCTCAGATCGAAAATAAACGGAATGCAGGTTTTTAGCATCTGTGCCAGAATGAACCCGAGTGGAGGCAGATATTTGGACCAGATGTCAGACAGGAAGTCAAATGAGTATCAGCTGTTTTTGTGTTTTTTGGTTAATCGGCTGCCGTGTTTTTGTTTCTAGTAAAGACGGAATATATTTTTTTGAAGACGACTTTGTTTCGTCAAGTCTTCGTCAAAATGTAAAAGAACACCAGCGTGAATCTGACAATCTTTGTGCACATTCATTCACTACATGGAAACGTCTGCTGTCTCAAAGACACTTTATTTTCTGTTATAAAATAATTTCTTTCATTTTAGGGCCTTTTTAGAATGTATTAAATTTACTGAAATATGTAATTTATTACAGGGATAAATTACTAAATCAAATTCAAGTCTGTCTTTCTGAATAAAAAGAGCCGGTTATTGTTATAAATGTTAAAAACTCATGATTATAACAATAAACCACTTCTGGTAATCGTGTTCTCGTGTTCAGGAAACATGAGAACGAGCTCTAACATCTTTATTCTTCTTAAAAGTGTTGAAATGATTCTAAAAAACCTGAATGTTTGAAACCAACAAAATCCTAAAGATGTTTTTGTCTTTTTAATTGTTTATAACCAGAATAAATCCAAAACAAGTTATTGATTTGTTTGTGGAGAGCGACGGACCGACAGGAACACGTCACAGACCTGTAGATTCACTCTGGACCGCATTTGAATTTTTTACGACATTTTTTTTACTTTTTTGAGGCTAAAACCAGAAAAGTCTCAATAATCTCGACAAGAAATCAAACCGACTCGTTGCGCCAAACACCGACTGGAAGACGCTGTGTGGTCGGCGCCGCTGTCGTGGACAGATGTGGACACTTGAGGACATTTATTCATTAGAACATGTGGAACCATAGCTGCACTTTACGGGACTTTTGCTTCAAACCTTCAGAGTGAAGTTTTTAATTTCTTTTGTTCAGAAGAACAAAAATAAATTGTTTCGTCACGTTATTCCTTTTTTAAACATCTTCAACAGAATGTCAAAGAAAGCGGTTTGATTCACACTAACCATGAATCTGATAAATGTGAAAGGAATCAACATTTTAATTCAAAAGCTTGAATTCTTTTTTTTTAAAGTACTAATTCACATTTTAAGAGGAACCAATAAGATTCATGATCATCATATAAGTTTCAGGGTGTTCACGAGTAAAAGCATGTCTTATTGTCGGCTTGTTTCATGTCTTCTTTATATGGAATATTTGACATAATCTGATTGAATCTCATTTTATAATCGACGTCGGTCGCTACGGAGGCTCGGCAGTTTCACTCCCAAAATGCGAAGCTGAAAAAAGTCTCTGGTTTCCGTCATTTCTACAGTTCGAAAAGGTCAAAGAAAAGTACAAATGTCGTTTTATATATTTTTTTAAGCACCTTTGTCTCCAAGTGTTCTGGGTTTGTTGTGACGTCACAGCTGGGATTCTTGTTCTTGTACAATCGAGCAGAAGCTGAAACCCATCTTGTCTTAAAAATAATACCATTTATAAACTAAATATGCATCATCATCTTGACTTTTTAAAGTCAGTAATATGGACATTTTAAGGCAGCAATATAACATTATAGTCTACTTTCTTTTTAAAAGTTTGAATTGTTAACTCTAAAAGTAGTGCTATAGTAAATTATTGTCTAGAGATTTAATGCTGAATCCAAACAGCTTTGGACAAATGTTTCTATCCTTAAAATTCAGTGTTGTATAACCGGCCTGTTTACCTGGAGACAGGTAGGTTACCGTAGTAACCGCTCTCAGTACCGTTTTTATCTGCTGCTCCTTTTCTGTGTTCTTTTGTCCTTAATGTTTATATTCATATTAATGCTTATATTAATACTTTCTGTTGCGACGCGGATGATTGGAGTATAAAATACATTTTGATCCCTAATGATGAATTATTTACTCGTAGCATAAAGAAGTGCACGTGTATTGCGGCCGTTACGGTAATGGAGCCACGCCCCCTTTGTGTTCCTTCGTGCGCGGATTGGAGTGCTGCCGTCACGTGGGGAGAGACAGCGGAAGCAGAGGACTCCGCAGCAGAGAATAAGGGTGAGGAAATAAACACCACGAAAAACGAATCATTTTAACGCCTATAACGCGTGAAAATAAGTCAGCACAGTTTCCGGTACGTCGCGCGACGTGTTCCCGGGGGAAATGGTTAGCTTGTTAGCACGTTTCAAATGTCGTGTAGTTTTTGTGCATTTCCGCAAAGAGAAAGTGAAGACATAAAACAGATTTGAGACATACACACCGACGATTAAAACAACATAAATGAGATATTCATCTGTATCTGCGCTGTGTTATCGATTAGCTAGTTAACCTTCATTATTGGCTCGTGATTAACAGTTAATGACGTGTTTATACGGTAATCAAAGATCGCTTCTCGTTAATCAGCAGCAGGTTCAGTCTCATTCAACATAAACTCATCATAATTATCATTATTATCATCTGAAGACGGTATTTATTTGACCGACATGAAGGTTTTTGTTTTTGTTGTTTCGGGCCTTTGAAACGGGAATTTCCCACTGCCGCGTCACGATTACGTGATGACGTCAGTACGCTTTACGTGGCGAGATTAGGAGTAGGAAGAGGCAAAATACAAGTTTAGCAAGGCGGTGAGAGATGCTAAACGACTGTACTCTGAGAAACTCCAACAACAGTGACTCTGCTTCGGTCTGGAGACAAACACCTCACCAACTACTGACTACTAAACCAAACCCCCCCTCCATGAAAGACCTCCGCCTGCAGACGAGCTCAATGAGGTCTACTGCAGATTTGAAAGACAATGTCCTGATCCAATCCCCCACAGCTCCACCAACCTGCTGCAGTCCCCCTGCCCTCCCTCCCCTCCCTCCCCCAGCCCATCAGGTGCTCACGCCTCTTCATCTATATCACCTCCCCCCCCCCACCAGCAACGACCCTCTCTATTCTGGAGAGAGACGTTAACCGGCTCTTTAGAAGACTAAATCCCCGTAAGGCAGCCGGCCCGGACTCCGTCTCCCCTCACACCCTGAAGCATTGTGAAGACCAGCTGTCTCCGGTGTTCACTGACATCTTCAACACCTCCCTGGAGACATGCCACGTACCAGCCTGCTTCAAGGCCTCCACCATCATCCCTGTCCCCAAGAAGCCCAGGATCACAGGACTCAATGACTACAGGCCCGTCGCCCTGACCTCTGTAGTCATGAAGTCTTTTGAACGGCTAGTCCTGACCCACCTGAAGTCCCTCACCGACCCCCTCCTGGACCCCCTGCAGTTCGCCTACAGAGCCAACAGGTCTGTGGACGATGCTGTCAACATGGTCCTCCACTACATCCTCCAGCATCTGGACTCCCCAGGAACCTACGCCAGGATCCTGTTTGTGGACTTCAGCTCTGCTTTCAACACCATCATCCCGTCTCTGCTGCAGGACAAACTCTCCCAGCTGCACGTGCCCGACTCCACCTGCAAGTGGATCACAGACTTCCTGTCTGACAGGAAGCAGCACGTGAAGCTGGGGAAACATGTCTCAGCCTCTCGGACCATCAGCACCGGTTCCCCCCAAGGCTGCGTTCTCTCCCCTCTGCTCTTCTCCCTGTACACCAACAGCTGCACCTCCAGCCACCAGTCCGTCAAGCTCCTGAAGTTTGCGGATGACACCACCCTCATTGGACTGATCTCTGGTGGGGACGAGTCCGCCTACAGGTGGAGTCTCACCATCTGGTGTCGTGGTGCAGTCAGAACAACCTGGAGCTCAACGCTCTAAAGACAGTGGAGATGGTTGTGGACTTCAGGAGGAACAGAGCCCCACCCTCCCCCATCACCCTGTGTGACTCCCCCGTCACCATTGCGGATTCCTTCTGTTTCCTGGGCTTTATTTATTTTGTTACTTGTGCACTGCTGTCTTGTTGTCTATTGTCACACTGTCTACCGTCACGCACTAATCGCCAAGACAAATTCCTTGTATGTTTGACATATTTTGTCAATAAATGTTTCCTGATTCCTGATCATGCTCGCGTCCTGTGTGAGACGATATCCGATAGGCATCGCATGGGAAAGTATTGATCGATGGACGTCTCTGTCGTCAGGATCGATTCCAGCCGTCACGATGCAGAGCACCACCAACTACCTGTGGCTGATCTCAGACCTGCTGGGTCAGGGAGCCACGGCCAACGTGTACCGCGGCCGACACAAGGTAGGGTCACCTGACTCACCTGGCCCCGACGGCCAATCAGTGAGCGGGAAACTGTCCCCCGCCCCCCCTGTCTGTCTCATCCCAACCAGCTGTCAGCATAAACGTGTTTGTGGTCGGACAGAAAACCGGAGACCTCTACGCCGTGAAGGTCTTCAACAACCTGAGCTTCTTGAGGCCGCTGGACGTCCAGATGAGAGAGTTTGAGGTCCTGAAGAAGCTCAACCACAAGAACATCGTCAAGCTCTTCGCCGTGGAGGAGGAGGTGGGTGGCCTGTCCTCGTTACCGTGGTGACAGTGTTTGGTTTGTGTAGCTTGCAAGTATGTTTTGGATTTGCAGAGTCAGCATGAATAATGAACCTTTAACCCTCTAGAGCCCATAAGATGCTTCTCTCTGTTATCCTCTGCTAAGTACCCCTTTATGTTAGAGCTCCTCTGATGCTGCATGGTCTCCATGGTAACCGCTTTGCTCGCTGATTTCATGAGAAGCATCTCTGCTCTGATTGGCTGTCTGGGCTTGGTGCTTGAACCTCTTCAGCTTCGTCATCAGCAGGCTGCAATGCTAATGCTAACTATGCTAACATGAGTCCCTTCCAGGTGAATGAAGGTGTGTCTCATCTCGTCCCCTCCTCTCAGTCCAACACTCGTCACAAGGTGCTGGTGATGGAGTACTGTCCCTGCGGGAGCCTCTACACCGTCCTGGAGGAGTCCTCCAACGCCTACGGGCTCCCCGAGGACGAGTTCCTCCTGGTGCTGCACGACGTGGGTCAGTACGGCCTTTGACCTCACGTTAGCCCGCGCGTATCCCGCCCTCTGATTGGCTGTGTGTGTCTCTCCTCAGTGGCGGGCATGAACCACCTGAGGGAGTACGGCATCGTCCACCGGGACATCAAACCGGGGAACATCATGCGCGTGATCGGGGAGGACGGGCGCTCCGTCTACAAGCTCACCGACTTCGGAGCCGCCCGAGAGCTGGAGGACGACGAGCAGTTTGTGTCGCTGTACGGCACCGAGGAGTACCTGGTGAGGGGGGCACGCCGGGCGGGGGGGCATGGGTCAGGTAGAACGCCTCAGTAGAACCTAGTGTCCCCCGTCCTCCTCGGGCATGTCCCTGTCCAGCTGAGGTCCTCTTCACCTGCTCCTCTTGCTGTGTTTCCAGCACCCCGACATGTACGAGCGCGCCGTGCTGAGGAAGGACCACCAGAAGAAGTACGGGGCCACGGTGGACCTGTGGAGCATCGGCGTCACCTTCTACCACGCCGCCACCGGCAGCCTGCCCTTCCGGCCCTTCGAGGGGCCGCGCAGGAACAAGGAAGTCATGTGAGGGTCCCGCGGCGCCGCTCCTCCAGCCGCAGCAGATGAAACAGGAAACTGACCCGGCGGTTTGTCCCGCAGGTATAAAATCATCACGGAGAAACCGTCCGGTACGATCTCCGGACACCAGAAGTGTGAGAACGGGAAGATCGAGTGGAGCACCGAGATGCCGGTGTCCTGCAGTCTGTCCAAGTAATAAGACACATCATTGTCCCTTTGATCCATTTACTCACACGCTGCTTACAGACGTTCCACTGCAGAGGAATGATGTTCGTACTGCTGCACAGTATCATGTATGCGTGTCCCTCGCGTGTCCCTCGCGTGTCCCTCGCATGTCTTTTCACACCTCCTTGCGTCCTTGCGTGCGTCGACCCATTTTTCTAGACCAGCGTGTAAAGCTTTGCAGCCTCCTGTAGCACCAGGCTGTGATTGGTCTCTGACTACGTCCTTTAGAGTCTCACGTCTCCGTTTTCACAGCACAATACGGCCGTTATTAAAAGGAAGAACGTTTACGAGAGAACGGATCAGATTGAAGAGCTTTTGTCTGAAGAAATGCGTAAATATGACGCTTGTACAAGCCGTCGTTGGCGGGTTTAGAAGCGGGTTGGATTCACGGAGGGAGATCGCCGCAAACGCCGGTTTGCCGGTCGAAAGGAACAAAGTCGTGGAGGAAAATACGGGACAAATGTGTCCTTGATGAAAAGCAGCAGTGTGGATGCACGGGGCAATAAAGTCTATGGTACATAAATAAAGCAACCAACGACTTCCACACACAAAGACGTGACTCTCCAGGTCGTCTTCAACAAAACACGTGACTCCACCTGTTGTTCTGGAGGTGAATCGAAGACTTTACAACCAGGAAGTGAAACCAGTGCGTCGACGCGTAAAGACGCAGAAACACGCGGCGGCCTTTAGTTAGACGAAGGGGGGAGACAGTCCCACATAGAAGACGCTGTCCCTCATCAGAGGACAGATCGTGAATGGTTTAAGATATATTCCCTGCTCTCCTGGACTCTGGTCTTTCAGGGGTCTCCAGAGCCTCCTCACTCCGGTCCTGGCCAACATCCTGGAGGCGGACCAGGAGAAGTGTTGGGGCTTCGACCAGTTCTTCGCCGAGACCAACGACATCCTCCACCGGACGGTGGTCTACGTGTTCAGTCTGCAGCAGGCGACGCTGCACCACATCTACATCCACGAGTACAACACGTGAGCGTGACTTTGACACCAGGTTTAACACAGGAAATAAGATCCTATTCACCAGGATGTCATTAACTCTTTTACTGCATTCTCAGAAATATTTTTGATTTATTTAGTATTTTTATTTTTTCTCAATATATTTTTACTCTTATACTAGAGTTATATTTTTAATCTCAAAATATTTTTACTTTATCCCATAAATATATGTTTTTTTTAATTGTAATTGTTCTTGTCTATTCTAAAAATGTTAATTAATTTGTTAGGGTTCAGCGTCTGATAAGAACTGTTCCTCATGTGTCCAACAGGGCGGCGCTGTTCCAGGAGCTGCTGTCCCGCCGGACCAGCATCCCGCTGCACAACCAGGAGCTCCTGTACGAGGGCCGCCGCCTGGTCCTGGACCCGAACCGCCAAGCCAAGATGTTCCCCAAGTCCTCTAGAGATAATCCCATCATGCTCGTCAGCCGCGAGTCCGTCGCCACCGTGGGACTCATCTTCGAAGACCGTACGTTTGATTCCACGATGCTTCAGACGCTTTTCGCTTCCTTTTGAAACGGAATGTGTTTCTGCCTCTGCTTCATTGTATCATACATACATCTATTTTTATATTATTTACAATGCGGAAAATATAAAGTACGTACTAAAGTGCTCAGTCTCCAGATTTTAACACCAACAAAGAAGAAGAGAAGCGTAATGTCTCGTGTCTCCACAGCGAGTCCTCCCAAAGTGCAGCCGCGCTACGACCTGGACCTGGACGCCAGCTACGCAAAGGTCAGGCCTCAAACACACGCGTTGTTCTCCACACGAGAACCATGGCGGTCCTGACCTTGTCCTCCTTGTCCTCCTTGTCCTCCTTGTCCTTGTTGTCCTCGTTGCTGTTCAGACGTTCGCGGGCGACGTCGGACACTTGTGGAAGACCTCAGAGTCTCTGCTGGTGTATCAGGAGCTGGTTCGCAAAGGAGTTCGAGGTTTAATGTGAGCTCACTTCCTGTTTACGTTCAGGTCACTTCCTTTGAAACGTCTTTTTCTTCTTCTGTTTGATTACGGAACAATCGTTGACCGTTTCAGTGAAAAATCTTTCTTTATTCTATCTTTCTATTCTATTCTATCTTTATTCGCAACAGATGTTCTAAGAATATATTCATTTTTTTAGTAGCATTTACAACGTATTTCTAAAGTAATACTAACAATAAAATCATTTTCTAGTAATTATAACATTATTCTAATTTAATTCCTAAAATATTTAAAAGTTAATCAATATTCCCTTTTTTTTTACTTGATATACATATATACATATATGTACATATATATACGTATATGTACATATATACATATATGTATATATATATATATAATGAGTGTGTGTGTGTGCAGAGAGCTGATGAAGGAGGACTACAGCGAGATTCTACATAAGAAGTCGGAGGTTTTCCACCTGTGTAACTTCTGCACTCAGATCCTTGAGAAGACGGAGCAGCTGTGAGTGAGCTCCGCCAGTTACACCACCAATACCAGTTACACCACCAATACCAGTTACACCACCAATACCAGTTTCGCCTCCAATACCAGTTGCACCCCAATACCAGTTACACCCCAATACCAGTTACACCCCAATATCAGTTACACCCCAATACCAGTTACACCGCCAATACCAGTTACACCACCAATACCAGTTACACCACCAATACCAGTTACACTGCCAATACCAGTTACACCCCAATATCAGTTACACCCCAATACCAGTTACACCACCAATACCAGTTACACCGCCAATACCAGTTACACCACCAATACCAGTTACACTGCCAATACCAGTTACACCCCAATATCAGTTACACCCCAATATCAGTTACACCGCCAATACCAGTTACACCGCCAATACCAGTTACACCGCCAACACCAGTTACACCGCCAACACCAGTTACACCGCCAACACCAGTAACACCGTTAATACCAGTTACACCACCAACACCAGTCACACCACCAACACCAGTTACACCGCCAACACCAGTTACACTGCCAATACCAGTTACACCGTTAACACCAGTTACACCGCCAATACCAGTTACACCGCCAATACCAGTTACACCGCCAACACCAGTAACACCGCCAATACCAGTTACACCGCCAATACCAGTTACACCGCCAACACCAGTAACACCGCCAACACCAGTAACACCGTTAATACCAGTTACACCGTTAATACCAGTTACACCACCAACACCAGTCACACCACCAACACCAGTTACACCGTTAATACCAGTTACACCGTTAATACCAGTTACACCACCAATACCAGTTACACCACCAATACCAGTCACACCACCAGCACCAGTTGACTGACTTCCCGTCTCTGAGCAGGTTCGAGGCGCTGATGCAGGCCAACGTGATGTCGTCAGAGTATGATGAGATATGCGACATGCACAAGAAGGTCCTCAGGGTGAGCGCTCGCCTCGTGTACGCATCACATCCTGTGTAGTAAAGGAAACAGGAAGTGAGGTCAGTGACCCCCGGGCCGATACTTGCTTCCTCCCTGGTGGATCACCGTGGTAACGGATGCTGAATACCTGGAGGGTGTCTGCTGACATCCGACGGGTCCTTGTCTGGGATTGGTCGGATGCTGCTAAACCCGCCCCCGTTTATGTGAAGTTCTCATAACATTCACATGTTTCATTGATGAGCCGCTCGGGTTGTTTTATGTTGAAGTCTCTTTGTAGTAAATAACTACTTAGTATTTAGTGACATATGATTACATTGTATTATATGACATACATGCTGCATATTGTCTCCAGATCTCTGGATCTCTGGAGCCAATCGAACGAACAACACAAGACATCAAGAGTAAATTCACCTCAGGGGGGCTGCTGACCGACGGCTGGACTCAGCAAGTGGGAACGCACCCCGAGGACAGGAAGTGAGGATAGATGTGTATATACATACTGTACATATATATGTGTATATACACACTGTACATATATATATGTGTATATACACACTGTACATATATAGATGTGTATATATACATGTACATATATAGATGTGTATATATACATGTACATATATAGATGTGTATATACACACTGTACATATATAGATGTGTATATACACACTGTACATATAGATGTGTATATACACACTGTACATATAGATGTGTATATACACACTGTACATATATAGATGTGTATATACACACTGTACATATATAGATGTGTATATACACACTGTACATATATAGATGTGTATATGCACACTGTACATATATAGATGTGTATATACACACTGTACATATATAGATGTGTATATACACACTGTACATATAGATGTGTATATACACACTGTACATATATAGATGTGTATATACACACTGTACATATATATGTGTACATACACAAGTATGGGTCCTGTGTTCGATGTGTGACGCTGAGGTTGTCTCGACAGCGTGGAGAAGATCAAAGTGCTGCTGGACGCCATCACGGCCATCTACCAACAGTTCAAGAAGGACAAAGCTGAGAGACGTGAGTTTCATCATCATCTTATTATTGCACTTAAAAAATAAATGATTGTAATAACAATCATTATTATTAGTTTATATCAAATAAATGGGATAGTAAATAATAATAATATAAGATATATAGAGAATATTATTACAATAATAAAAAACATAAATATCTAGTAATAATAATTAATAAACGTTAGAACTATGATGATGAATAATACATTTATATTTCGTAGTATAAGTAGTATTGTTATCATTATTATAGTTTGTATTATGATTAATATAAGGTACTAGGTATAAGTAGTATTATAATAAATACCATATTAACGTAATTCAAAAGATGATTTTTATAGTAGTGGTATTAATAAAAAGTATAATAAGTAATTTACGAGAAATATGATCTCTATGTTTGAATTATTACACTGCTTCATACTGCTTTTTGTTCTTAGGTCTGCCGTACAACGAAGAACAGATCCATAAGTTTGATAAGTATGTTCATTGATCTGTACGATGTCATAGTGATGATTATTTCCTTTTATTAGGGCTTCATGTGATGTCGTTACGTTACATTTTAAATGTGTTAAACCAGCGGTTCCCAAACTCCAGAATGCCGCGGCCCGCCAAACCTTTAATCACAACTCTGATCAAAACATAAACTAGGGATGACCTTAAGAATTTAACCGACTAAAAATGTATTAACCGACAAAGTATGTTTTGTAAACCATTTTCTCCGGCGCTCATGTGCCGTGTTTTCTGCACAATAAGACGCACCGTCAATGAACGACCTATTTTAGAACATTTTTCATATATACGGCACATCGGATTATAAAGCGCATAAGATGCTGCAGTCAAACGTTTGGCTTCGGGGCGGGTGGATGGGGGTGGATGGGGGTGGATGGGGGTGGATGGGGGTGGATGTGGGGGTGTGGGGAGGTGGAGACGGTGCTTTCAGGCTTGTCGATGCTGCGAGGTGCGTCCGCTCCCGCCGCCCCCCTCGCCATCCACGCCTTAAATCTTCGGGCCCACCAGGGGCCCGCGGCCCACACTTTGGGAATCGCTGTGTTAAACAATCAAATGCATTATAATCAGTAATGTGCATCTAAGAACCACAAGCAACCTTCATGTACAGTTTGACGGAAGCTTTTTCCTGGAGAGGGCAGTCTGGAGCTCTTCCTGTGAGCTCTTATTTTGAAGTCCTGACCTGTGTGTGTGTGTGTGTGTGTGTGTGTGTGTGTGCTCCTTGTCTCTCACAGGCAGAAGTTGGTGCTTCATGCCACTAAAGCCAGATCCCTGTTTACAGAGGAGTGCGCCATGAAATATCGCCTCTTCATCTCAAAGAGTGAAGAGTGGTTGAAGTAAATCATCCTTTCATCGTTCATGTCACATCATCAGACAGCGCCCCCCCCGCCCCCGTTGCCTAGCAACAGTGAGGAGAGTTAACAGTATTTTGCCTCTTGTGTTTTAAGGAAGGTTCATCACGTGAAGAAGCAGCTGCTCGGTCTGTCCGGTCAGCTGATCAGCATCGAGAAGGAGGTGACCATGTTGATGGAGCGAGCCATCAAGGTAAACCACACCCACCTGGTCAATTCAATTCATTCTATTTTATATCGCCCAAAATCTGAATGAAAAAGGAACCTGTGAGGGGAGAAAGGCCATGAACTCTGAAGTAGAATTTAATTAGTGATGTGCATTAATGAGATGTGAATTACTATAGAAAGAGAGAGGAGCTCGGTGTGTCCTAAGAAGTCCTATAGCATAGTTAAGCCTATAGCAGCTTAACTAAGGGCTGGTCCGGGCTGACCTGAGCCAGCCCTAACTATAGGCACAATCAAAGAGGAACGTTTTAAGTTTTACTTTAAAAGAGCTGACCGAATCTGCCCCCTGGACTGAAAGTGGAACCTGGTTCCACAAAAGAGGAGCTTGATAACTGAAGGCTCTGGCCCCAGCCTACTTTTTAAAACCATAGGAACCACAAGTAACCAGCATCTATGGAGCGCAGCTCCTTGTAGGGCAATAAGGTGTTACAAGTAGTCCTGTCTCTTGATCCGATAGATTGACTTATCGCACACTATCTGTGTGTATTAGTGTGGCCACCTTTAGTACAGAGAAACGGGGGCCGCCGCCCTGCGTTCCCCCCGGCCCGCCGCCCTAATACATTACATGACATGACATGACATGACATTACAGGTCATTTAGCAGACGCTTTTATCCAAAGCGACTTACATTACACTTTAAACCCACGGCTTTATCACATTTTGGCCCGGGGAGCAATTAGGGGTCAGGTGTCTTGCTCAGGGACACTTCGACATGGAACATGGGGCAGCCTGGACTCAAACCAACAACCTTGTGCTTCCCAGCACACCTTCTCTAACCCCTGCGCCACAGCGACCCCAATCTAGTCTAGAAGTAAAATACTTTGAGACAGGAAGTGCCTGATTTTCAATATATTAGTTATGAGTTAAAGCAGTGATTCTGGTGGGACCCGTTTTTAGTGGGTCGCTGGTCTTTGCCTGGGCAAATAAGAATTAGAATTAAGAGCTGGCTGTTTTGTTTTTTCATTAAACTTGTTTTGTGTTGGCATACGTATTCTGTCTCCGTTCTCAGGTTCAAACTGCACCATATTGTCATTAAATACATTTGAGAAGTTGAGAATGTTCCTGGATTTGGGTGATTACGGGGTGATGGTGGGTCCCAGAGCCAGACCAGCTGAGAACCACTGAGTTAAAGGACACATCGGGATTCTTTACGGTGCTACTGGTTATCAGAGTAATTCCATCCAGAGACTATGGTCACATGTCAGTAGAGCACGGTCACATGATGGTAGACCACACCCAGCTGGTCACATGATGGTAGACCACACCCAGCTGGTCACATGATGGTAGACCACACCCACCTGGTCATTGACTGTAAAGCAGACTCACCTGGTCCCATGATTGTGTTAAAGCTCCTTTCAAATACATTATTTCATGTTAAAATTTCGATGAAATGTGTTTGATAATTCGTTTTGTCTCCAGCTGCAGGAACATCTGCCTCAGAAGGTTCTTCCTCTGGTGTCCAGTGGCATGAAGCCTCAGGCGTACCTGAGTCAGAACACACTAGTAGAGATGACTCTCGGGTGAGCGCTGTACTCACTCTTCATCACTTAAAACCCTTTTAAATCCGTCTGTTACCATTGAAGCAATAATTATTCATCTTAGTTGGGTGAAAACGTATTTTACTATTTAAAAGGATTGTTTAAACCGCCTGCCTGACCTCGTTGATGTTCTCCAGGATGAAGAAGCTGAAGGAGGAGATGGACGAAGTCAGCAAGGAGCTGGCAGAGAACAACCACTTCCTCGAGAGGTCAGCACCCCCACACCGGGTTAGCTTAGCTTAGCACAAAGACTGGAAGCGGAGGGGAGCTGTTAGCCTGAACATTGGGTAGCTAATGAATAATAGTTTCTCTTTTCTGAACGGATTAAGGAGTACAGCTCAATTAAGGCACCGGAAATGCTTAAATTAGTTAAATTAAGTCTTTTTAAATGTAGTTTTTCAGATAAATAAATCAAATAAAAGTGTGTTTTCTTAAAAGGTTAAAAATCAGATTATTATTATTATTTTTAAATACTGGAGGTATATGTGCATATATATATACTGTATATATATATTTTAAATATATTATTATTCTATTAATAATGAAGTTATGAAAATAACCTTGAAACAGCAGATATTCACAGGTTTATAATGTGTTCATATCCTAGTTTCCATCTGATCCCGGTGTTTGTGCTAAGCTAGGCTAACCGCATCATGTGACTGTCTCTCCTTCAGGTTTGGGTCCCTGACGCTGGACGGAGGACTGAGGGGATAAGGGTCCGAGACTCTTCTTCTCTGGTTTTGTACATACTGTGGCCCATCTGGTGTAAATAGTTTTAAGCTGTGAGTCTCCTGATGATTGTTGTCTAACCTGAAGATCAGTGAACAAACCCCTTAAAACCAACACTTGATCCCTGATGGACCCTGAAAGCAGCTTTAATGTGTCGTGAGGAAAGAAGAAATGCCTCAAAAAACACCGGTTAGCAGATTTAAACGCATATTCAAACATATCTGTTAATGATCAGTGTGATACGTGTTTGATAAGTGTTTACTCATTCAATATTATTATAATTCATTTCTTAATTATAGAGGCTGTTTGGATTTAAAGGAATCTTAAATCATTAAGATTATGATATATTACGGTCCTTATATCAGTTTGTCATAATTTTGAAAGTCTGGTTAACCTGTTAAATATCTAAAGAATCCCTGGAAACATCCTTTAGTCTTTAAACCAGGATGAAGTCATCATCAATTCATAAAACATTTATTTTTTATTAAGGTGTTTTTCGGGGATTTCCCTTTTGGAGGTAAGGAAATATTAAAGTGGTTTGTCCTTTTAATGAGTAATTTTGGGATTAATTTGTTGTATTTTAGGAGGTATTAAGGGCTTTTTCTGCATTGTTCCCGAATAAAAGGAGCAAAAGGGAACCATAAATAATTAATGAATAATAACAAGAATTGAAATGAAAATTAAAAAATGAAATTTGTCTTTTTTTTTTCAATGAAAAATTGAAATATTAAAATATTAAAAATTGATAACTTTCATTTAAAAGTATCCACTTTAAGGGGGTTTGAATCCCTTCAAAAGCAAATAACCCCCCTTAGTAATCCCTTAGCATACAAGCAGCTAATTACTTCATTCTTTGGATAAACTGGTGGCATTTTGAAGTGAGAATAATATGGGATGAAGTTAAAGAATGCTGATTATATTATTCATTGTTCTTGAGGCCGGTCGCTAATGAATCGAGTCCCGTATCAAAAAGAAGACTTTTCTCCACCTTTTGTTGGCTCTTCCTTAGCTTTTACTCACAAACATGTGTTGTCAATTGTCTGCATTCAAAATGCTCAAAAAGTGTTTAAAAAATGTGTAAATAAATGAATATCTTGAAGTCGTATAAATGTTTTTCAATGTCTTTGAAACAGAAATATCGAAAACAGCATTGTAGGGTTTTCAATTTGATTTATTAAGTCAAAACTGATTTAGATGAAAATGAATAATCAAAACTACAATATTTTCATCTGGATTTAAGAGGTATAGATTAGGAAATATTCACTATTTGACTCATTAAGGAAAGTAAAACGTTTCAACCCTAAACTGGCTAACCGTAATTGCTAATAATAGCGTGAGCTAATGTTAACATGTTAATTTTAACATTAGTTCCCCATACTGTTAGCATGCTGTTAGCTGCATTGTTAGCAGAGCTCGTTAGCACTATTGGCATTGTGTCAAAATAGTTGTGAAGAAAAAAAAGAACATTTTTTAAGCTACAGCATTTGATTTGATTTGAACTGGAAATAAAGGAAAGGGGGTCCGCGGAGGACATGCAGGAGGGTTGAGACATTTTTGACAATTTTAATTGTTTTTAATTTTTTTCCAGAAATTTAAATGTCTTCAGAATCAGCATCAGAATTGTATTTATCGTCTTTAAATACACATGAACATGAATCCAACATATCGTAGCTAACAGATAAATTGATGGAGAAGACGTTATCTTTTAGTCCCCCCAGCAACCATAATTCATGCTGATACGACATCACAGGCACCAGCCAATCAGATCCATTCATGCTGATACGACATCACAGGCACCAGCCAATCAGATCCATTCATGCTCACGTCTAAAGAGCGCCAAGCTCAAAAATAAAAGATGGCGGACCAAACTCCGTAGAATAGGGGGTCCCTGCTCCATCTCGCCATCAGTTTGGGGGATCTTGGCCGGAAAAACGTTGAAGACCCCTGGATTAATAATATTTATATTTTGATGATTTTCCAGACAGAAAGTTAATGATCTAAAACAGACGAGTCTTTACAAGTTTTGTTTGGAATGGAAATACATCAAAATCCATGTGACAAATATTACAAATAAATACTTTCACATCTAAAACGACAAGTCGGCTGCTCAAACTGAGGAATCCTCTTAATCCTCTGATACCAACATCTATAAAACTATGTTTATGTAGGCGAAAAGCAACAACAACATGTAGAAGAAGGGCGAGGTTGAGTACCAACAAGATTTCACTTAGTCGAAGTTTAACTAAGTTATTAAACTGTGTAATGCTAAGCGGTGTATGCTAACTAGTCCGTGCGTGCTAGCTGAGCTGTATGTGCTAACCGGCCTGTGTGCTAGGTAACCTGTGTGTGCTAACTAGCCTGCATGTGCTAACTAACCTATATGCTAGCTCCCCTGTGTTTGCTAACCAGCCTGTGTATGCTAACTAACCCGTGTGCTAGTTTATCTGCCTGTGATAACTAGCCTGTATGCCAACTTACTTGTGTGTGCTAGCTAACCTGCAAGTGCTAACCGAAATATCACATGTCCATTTTTCCTGTCAAAGGCAAAAGCACTGTGAACAGGATGAAATCTACACACCTAAATTAACATAACTCATCAGCTACTTGATTAATATGCTGATAAACAGAAATAAAATATAACCTCACTGTTGACTCGTGAATGTTTTCAATCACGTTTCCAGCTTGTATCATATCAACTTTTCTTCATGTCGGACCTCACAATTAACATTCAGTAATGTTTTTTATGTAGGAGGCATTGCTGCATTCATCTATTGAAACAGAATTTGAACCAAGATGTTTTCTGGCCGGAATTTACCTCAACAGTCAAGTTAAATATTCTATTATGAATAAATATCTTTCGAGTCACTGTTTATGACTGTATTGCATTATAATAACATCAAATATTAATTACAGACCCTTCAGATCGACCTAGACCTGCTTCAAATCCACATTCACCTGCTTCAGATCAACGTTGACCTCCTTCAGATCGATGATCATCGCCTTCATTATAAAATTATTTTCTGTGCCCTCTTTATTCCTCTTTAATCTGGAGGACTACCAGTCCAACTCTTTTGTCTCTTGCTGTTTACGTCCTCTGGCTTCTTCTACCTTTAACCTTTCATTAATGAACCAGAGTTTCACCTCCGACGGAGGGTTGGAGTTGTTTGAACTTGCGTTTATGTCGACAATTCTCCACTTGTAGCTCCTCCAATTTCACAACTCTATAGAGCCTTCGATTGGAGTACAAATTAGATCTAGAGGTTTGTTAGCGAGGCAACAAGAGTTCTCTCAATGTAGCATAGCGCAGAACTAACGTTAGCTCCACCCAAATATGTTACTGCAACAAACCCAGATGTTTAGCTAGATAACAAGCTATTATTACAAAAAAACAGATTCTGATGCATTGATCACAGAAATAAATAATGTTTAAATTTGTAAGTATAAAAAAAGTCCAAGGCTGCTGAGGTCCATGAACATGGCCGTCAGAAGGCATGTTACATCTTTGTGTCTGAACTCATTCTGTTAGCGTTAGCTCGCCATTGAAGAAAGAGGACCAGAAGTCTCGCAAATTGTCCTTAAACTCTCGCTTAGACAAAAGTGTTGGGGGGGGGGGCGGTGGAAGTCCACGCCACCTTCTTGTCCTTGGCCTCCCGGCCGAACGCATCATGGGCCGAGTTCTTGGCCGCGGCCTTGTCCTGCGCGGGGATCTCCACCACCCCGACATAGTTATTTTTGGCCACGCGGGAGCTTGCCGTGATGGTGTACGCATTGCTGCGGTAGCACTTCATGGAGGACATGCAGAAGGTCTCCCGCATGCCCCGCCTGAAGTTGGCGTTGTAGACGGAGTACATGGTTGGCTTGGACGCCGTAGAGCTGAAGGAGATCCAGGCGATGGCCGTGAAGAACAGCAGTCCCCGCCTGCTGGGTCCGTCGGACTCCCTGGGGTGCCACAACTGGGCCACATAAAAGGGCATCCAGGTGAAGAAGAACACCGAGTTGAGAACTAGGAACATTTTGATGGTCTTGACTTTTGTCCGCGGGACGATGTTCATTGTGCGACGCACCGCGTGGCCGTCTGCGCTGATCCTCCAGATGTAGCGGACCACCCGTTGGTAGAATGACACGATCAACGCCACCGGCACCAGGAAGCCCAACAGCAGGTGAACTGCAGAGTAGGCAATGCTGCCCCAGCTATCCGGGAGAAAGAAGTCACAGTGGTCCCCGCCGGATGTGGAGCCATAGAAGAAGAGGCAGGGCGACACGAAGGCCGCGTCGAACAGCCACGAAGCCGCGATCATCTTCTTGGCTTTCTCCCGGGACACCTTGAAGCTGAGCGGGTAAACAATGGTGTAGAATCGGTCTACAGAGATGGAGAGCAGCACATAGACCTGTACACCAGGGCAGAGGTGCTGCAGGTAGCGCACTGCCCTGCAGGCTGCTGCGCTGAGCGGCCATCGCCCGGAGGCCACCTGCAGGACGATGAAGGGGGCCCAGCCCAGGCTCATGAGCAGGTCCGCGCACGCCATTGACACAACAAAGTAGTTGGTGGTGGACTGAGTCCGCCGGCTCCGGTGAATGACTAGGCAGACCAGGGCATTTCCCAGGATGGAGACCAACCAGAGGACCGCAAACACCAAGCCCAGTACGGCCACCTCCCTGGGCGTCAGCTCGTAAGAGGCCAAGGTCCTGTTGGGCCGGCCGGAGGCTTGACCCTCAAGGCTGCACAGGGGAGTGGCGGGTGAGGCTGGAAGGAAAGTTGAGTTCTCCCTCTCAGAATAGTTAAAGGACATCTGATATGTGAAGGATGGGTAGTGAAGGGAGGGATTGACACCAGCTGAGTGTGACGACTGGGCAAACACCATGATTATGAAGCTGCACAGGAGAGAGGCTGTGGACACAAGGACACATCATCATTTGCAAAACCACTCTCATTTGGTTAGTTGTTAGTCTGGTTCTAGTAGGTTTGGTTTGGTAGGTGGTTGATTAGGTGGTTGGTTGTCTAGTTAATTGTTTAATTGGTTATTGGTAGGTAGGTAGATGCTTCTAGTCGGTTGGAAGTCTGGTTTCTGTAGTTGGTTCTAGTAGTCTTGTTCTAGGGGCCAGGTTCTAGTAGTCTGGTTAGTAGTCTGCTTGTTGGTTGGTATGTACTTGGGTAGATTCGTTAATTGGTCCAAGTCAGTTGCTAGTCTGGTTCTAGTAGTCTGGTTAGCAGTCCTGTTCCAGGAGTCTGGTTGTCGATAGGTAGGTAGATTGGTTAATTGTGAGACGACTGATGGGATGCTTCTCATAAAGAGAGGTTCCTCTTCAGAAACCACACAGGGGGGATCTGACTTTCTACATTTCCATTAATTTCTCAAACATCAGAGACACAAAATAATAAACCTGGTCCCTAAACGGATGGTTTCATTAGTCCTTCAGTCTGCAGAGATCCAGATCTCCTCTGGGAGATGGATCCCATTAAGGTCTGTGTTTATAGACACCTGGTGGTTATGATGGGAATCTGTGGGACCATATGCAAGTAGAGGAACACTTGCAACCATATATGCACCAGTAACCACACTTTTGGGGCTTGCAAGTTTTTCAATCGACCAAGTGATGACAATCTGCCGAGGACCGGCGGTGGTAGCAGCAGTCAAATGGAAGAACAACGCTAGAGAGAATAAGTAAAGGAAGAAGTCTCTGACCATGAATCATCAAATGGACAGAATGATAATAAGAAAATAATATTATGTTTTATAAAAATATTTATATATCATCAGACAAGTGGAAGTATAATGTGCAAATTTAAACCCTAAAGTACCTTGTCTGTATATAAATGCACTGCAGTAAAAGTACAACGTTGTGTGTTAGGTTGTGAATGAAGTGCTTTGAATGTGTACTTATTAGCAGTGTTTCATTCTTTTAGTACCGCGTATAGTACATATATTTTATGTTTTAATAGTTTCATGTAGGGATTTGTGGATGTATTATTATCAGTCTGGTTATTTATATTGAGCTGCTTTGTTTGTTTACTTTGTTTACAGAACATGACATCACAGCCTCTGAACTCCTTGTGGAAAAACACAAGCTCCAACATCTTCATCATCTTCATCTTTTGCAGCGGAATGCTTCGTATTTAAATGTTATTATTTTTTGTTGTTGAGCATTTGATATTCTGCAGCTGACGATCGATTAGATATTATTAAACAATCTTCATCCTCATCTTCACCATCATCATGAAACATGTCTGATTCACCGCGGTGGACGAAGATGATGAAGATGAAGATGATGAAGCAGCGGGAACATTAATCACACATATCAAAATAATAAAGATGATGATGAAGAGGATCCGGGATCCGCAGCGGATCGATCCGTCTCCAGACGCCCGGAATCGGCCTCCTCTGTGTCGTCGTGTTATCGCGTGAGATGTCGGTTCTTTAGCGACTCACCGGTTTGCAGCAGCGCGGAGACAAACGCTTCATTCTGCTGGATTCAGACGGAGGACACGAGGAGAGGAAGAGGAGGAGGAAGAGGGGAGAAGGGGAAAGCAGAGGAGCGAGGAGGAGGAAGAAGAGAGAAGGAGGAGACGAGGAGGTCCGGGAGGGCAGCGGACATCGTGTCTGTCTGTCTGTCTGTCTGTACTCTCCACTAAGCAGCAGGAGGATGAAGGACAGGGGCGGAGGGACGGGTTCTGACCCCCCCTCTTATTAATACACCTAAATATATAGAAACAAGTATCTTTACATCAAATTATCATATTTATAAAAGCCCAAATCCCAACTTGATATCATTCAATGACCAAAATATTTAAATGTCATAACTTAAACTAAACATCTTGACTTCATATCTATATACTGATGATGTCATATCTTAGATGATATTATTTTTTCAGCTTTTACTTATTTCTGAAATGGTTAATGCATTATTTTATTTATGTTATTTCTGGTCTTTATTTATTGATGATATTTAACTTATCTATTTATTGTGGTTATTTGAAGCAGATATAAGAATGAAACATTTGAATGATTAGATGTGGGTGTCTTGGAGAGTTCATATTCAATTTAATTTTTGCTCTTCTCTCTTCTCCTTTATTCTCTTAATTTCTATTTTGATACATTTACAAACAAACCAATCATTATTATTATTATTTATCATGTATGTTAACCTAATTACCTAACAGAAAGTGTATCCTTGAGATAAAAGAATTATTATTATTATATAAAATAATAGCAATTGTTATTCTTATTTATAGTTAAATGTCAATGACGTTAATAACCACGTTGATCAGAGTTTAGAGACTAAATGATGAACTGACGGTTTTTGGGACTGATGATAGATTGATTATCATTTTAAAGTGTCCCTGTGACAATCGGATCCTATAAAAGGAAACCATCTACAAATAAAGGGGGTAATGCTGACGCAGCGCATCACCATGGCAACTAACAGGCCTGTTGCTATGGGAACCCGACAATGACGCTGATGGGAGGGGGGAGAGAGGGAGAAGGACGAAGTGGAGGAGGGGCCGACCAGCGAATACTTGTTTGTCAACCAATAGAAACAATTAGAAGTTATAATTCAAACAAGCAACAGAAATCATGACATTTTTAAATGAAAACACAAAACTTCTGCTGTTTACTTGTTTTTCAGTTGTTAAGTTGTCTGCGTGCCAGCAGACCCCGCTCTACCCATTTCCGGTCCCGGGGTGGTGGTGTGCAGAAGAAGAAGAGCTGACGTCACCACGCAACGTCAACAGGAAACACGATGTAAACAATGCTAAACCCAAATAAATATCCCGCTAACTGTCTCCGTTAGCTTCCGTCCGTTTGGTTCACGTGAACGCGGACTTCCCTTCACTGTTTTCATCATCATTTTCTCATCATTTATTGTTTATTACCTCCGCAGTTTGATCTGATAGTTGAGCTGTTAGCTGACCGGAGCTAACGCGAGCTAAGCTCGCAGCGCGTTAGCTTTCACCAACATGGATGATAACAAGGTAAGAAGCTGAGGGCCAACAGGCAAACATACTCTAACCAACGTTTACGTGTCAACCTCTAAAGTGATGTTTAATAAAGCTGTGACGTCTGCCATGTAGCTGCGATGCCATAGGTGCTTGAAGAGATGCTAACGTTAGCTGACTGTGACAAAGTTAGCTGCTGACTTAACGTTAATACATGAACATTGTGATCGCTATATCAGCAGTTTATTGACTACTCCATAAAGTAACTAGAGCGGTCATACATATCACTAACTAATGAGAATATCGGATAAGATGAACAGTCTGCATGTAAACTAAACTATAATAAAAGCAGGATCAATGAATAACAATGACGTCAGAAATAAAAAAGCAAGCATTGAACCTCTTTTCTATAACGTCAACCATCAATGTATCATGTACAGTATGATCTGATGATGAAGTATGACTGATTCAGTGTACATCTGACGTTATATTAAGTACTGTTCAAACATTGACGGTTTAGTGTTCATTTATCTTCTATTTATTATACTCGTATGACATTTACAGAGAGATCTTCCTCATACTAAGTTGAACGTGCAGTATTTAGATCTGTGATGACTTGAAGTAGTACCTCCGAGTTGTACTGGTTGGTTTACTCTTAGTAAAGAGTACTCTTAGGTCTGAGCAGCTGTATGTGATTATTGGTGTCCAATCCATAACAGATATTATGATGTGATTATCAGATGGTGGCTGGCAAAGTGAAAAAACCGGGGAAACGGGGCCGTAAACCGGCCAAGATCGACTTGAAGGCCAAACTGGAGCGCAGCCGGCAGAGCGCCAGAGAGTGCCGGGCCCGCAAGAAGCTGCGGTACCAGTACCTGGAGGAGCTGGTCTCCAGCAAGGAGAGAGCCATCTGCGCCCTGAGGGAGGAGCTGGAGATGGTGAGCCCTGATCCAGTCCTCATCAGCGACATCACTATCATTATTTAAGTTTAGTGACTGGTGAAACGTTATAGTTTCACAAGTAGAAGCAGCTGGTAATTGATATTCGGAGAGGAAAAGATATAAGAAGTTCTAAAATATTAAGAGAGAGACTGAAAGCTGCACGCTTTGATTAGCATGTAGCTTAGCATGACTAAGCGGTCTGTCTGATTAGCGTGCAGCTTAGCATGACTCAGTGGTCTGGCTGATTAGCGTGCAGCTTAGCATGACTCAGTGGTCTGGCTGATTAGCATGTAGCTTAGCATGACTCAGTGGTCTGTCTGATTAGCATGTAGCTTAGCATGACTCAGTGGTCTGTCTGATTAGCATGTAGCTTAGCAGGACTCAGTGGTCTGTCTGATTAGCATGTAGCTTAGCATGACTCAATGGTCTGGCTGATTAGCGTGCAGCTTTGCGTGACTCAGCGGAATCTTTCTGTGGTCCCAGTACAAGCAGTGGTGCTCGGCCATGGACCAGGGGAAGATCCCCTCAGAGATCAAAGCCCTGCTGACCGGAGACGAGCAGAAGAATCCTCAAGGAGGAAGCAGCACCAAGCCTTCCCGGGGAAGCAAGAACAACAACAACAACAACAACAACAGCAGCTAGATGGGGCCATCTGAGGGGAGGCTGACCTAAAGACCCAAACTACCATCCACCCAGCTACCATACCTACCCTGAAACACATGAAACGGTATCTCTTAAAGTCTGCAGATCAGAGGAAACTTCAGAAAGAACCTTTTGTGTCTCCTTCATTCAGTCATGTGATTTAACATCAATACTTATTTTTTATTTTGCTCCTCGAACGTGAGGAAAAATAATTAATAAGAATGTTAACTGTTAATAAATGAATGTCAACCGATAACAACATCATTAGGAACATGACAAAATTTGTCTCAAACTTTAATTAATAGAAAGTCTTTTAGTGCAGTGAGAGGAAGGTCATTAGCTGTCAGCTGCTGAGGGGGCGGGGCCAACAAACTATTTAATCAACCATGAAGAGTCCTTCATTGCATTGTTTTAAGAAGAAAAGGATTGAAATCGTCTTTCTCATTCTTCTACATTCACAATATTAAAGTCTTGTTAAAACATTTATAGATCAAATCTTTCAAACTTTTTAAATGAACATCATTCTACTTCGTTAATCTCTCGTCGTTATTCTTCATCTTGAAGTGGCTCCTTTGATCCAGAGTTATTATTTATTGATGAGTAGGTCACATGACTAATGGGTTAAGTGTGAGCACAATAATTGTACAGTGATGCCGCAGTGTGTTGGATATATTTTTGTATTTGTATATTTTATATTTGAGCTCATAGGAGGAAACCATTGTGACGCTTCTCCTTATTTCACTTTCATTAATAAACTTTGTGCACTTTGTTCTTTTTCTGCTGAAAAACTTTGTCAGGTGATTTTAGTTTTGCGTCTTTGCAACAATAACTGTCTGGAAATAAAGAGTTCCTGTGTAAAGTCCCCTAAGCTCCGCAGATGGATTATTGATCCTAGTTACAGAGACTAAACTTCAGTTTAAGAAGTTCTAAAGAAAATAAAGTGCCATATAACTTTTTATTTATTTGATTTAATAATCAGGTGACACAACTGCAATCAACGAGCGAATCGGAGTGTAACAAACATTTATGTTTTCATGCTCAAGTCGATTTTATACTTTAAAGGGTTTACTAACAATGCTTCATTACTTTTACAAATGTATTGATGTGGTTGGATTTATAAATGTTGCTATTCTATTAAATAGCGGTGTGTGTATATATAAAAACACATGTTTATATATTCATATATAAAATGCAGAGCTGGAGGCTTCAAAACATCTACAAAGCAACAACAGACGTCACCATCCACTCTTATACAGTCTGTTGTTCATATGCTTATCCTTCATAACTATTGTAACAAATAATTATTGTATGTAATAAGTGAACCCATCACATGTAACGTAACCGTCAGTGCGCTCATAACAACGACAGGTGATTTAGTTAAGAAGTCAGTGAAGCTGACGCTCTGAGCCCCTTTAAGCCCCTTTAAGGCGGTCACGGGGTTTCTGTCGGCTCAGTCTTTTCTCGCACAGCGCATGCGCATTTCGAAACCTGTTGAGTTCATCCGGCTGGCGCTCCGATGACGACATGCTCTTATTTTTACCGCAGTGACCTCATCTCTTATGGCATCGGGAGGACTTCGCCGAGCGTCGTCGTCTTCTTCTTCACCCTCTTCTCCTCCTCCTTTAAACCTCGCAATGGCCGCTCCAAGCCGGGCGGACCGCTGAGGAGCCGTCGGGACGTTTTCAATCGGTCAGTGAGCCGTTACCCGTCCGGTAAAGTTCCGTCAAACTTGAGTCGGTGTGTCCGTTGCTCGTTAGCACCGTGTGTCCGTCACCGTGTGACGGCAGAACACGACGGGGGGAAATGTCGCCGGTTGTTTTTGTTGTTCGGTTGTTTTTACAGGAGTCGGCTAACGGTTAGCATGCTAGCTAACGTAACGTCTGAAACACGTCATCACGTCCACACAAGCTCTCACGCATTTAGTTACTCACTAAGAAGTGACGTCACTACGTATTACACGCTGTTAATCAACGTTAAATACGTAACTTTCTGATGTATTAAACTATGATAAAATGTCGGGGGGGTCAGGGGTGTAAGTCAGTAAGTGACTCTGTCCCATACTGGGATGACCTTTGGCCGGGTTTCCTGCTCCCCAGCAGATGAACCTTTTATAGACAAGTCCTGAGAAGAGCTCCGGTTAATATGTGGTGAAAACATTCTAAAAATAACTATTGATGTGTCAGTGATTAGAAGCGCTATCACAACCACACTTTTAAAGGTGGTTGCTAAGCAACCCGAGGTGACATCTTGATTGTCTCTTTGTCCCACAGAGAGGAACCAGTTAAGCATGAAGACCAGGATCAGATTCTTCAGGACTCAGTCCAGGTGGAGACTCCAAACCCCCCCCACCAGGCCCGCCAACTCTCTTTAGACAGTCACTGGAACAGTGAGGGGAGGGGGGCAGAGTAGGGGGAGGGTCCGTCTCCTTGTCTCTCTGCCTGTCTGTCTGTCCATCAGGATGACATTATACCTGGCTGACACATTGCTGTTCTTCATCCTCTGAGCTTCCTCCTCAGGTCGTGAGGGGGGGGGGGGGGGGTGACATGTCTGTCATGTCAAGGTCTGGGTCGCGGCCCATAGGAGCGCAGGCTCTGGTGGTCCTGCTGGAGGGGGGGCTGGACCGCGTGCTGCTGATTGACAGCCGGCCCTTCGTGGACTTCAACGCGGCCCACATCCTGGAGGCCGTGAACGTGAACTGTTCCAAGCTGATGAAGAGGAGGCTGCAGCAGGACAAGGTCCAGATCCACGAGCTCCTGCAGCACTCGGCCAAGAACAAGGTTAGCTGGAGGAACCCAAAGACCTGAATCAGAGGGTCTAAGGTTCCTCTGACCTCATCATGACCTGGTGATTACACAACGTGACATCCGAAGGCTGACTTGTGACCACACTTGTCTGTCGTAGTTGGAGCTGCAGGAGGATCAGGAGGTCGTAGTTTACGATCACAGTTCTTCAGATCCGTCTTCCCTCAGCTCAGAGTCCTTCCTCAGCGTGCTGCTGCTGAAACTGGAGAAGAGCTTCCCCTCAGTGCACCTGCTCTCAGGTCAGTCCCAGGCAGGTCAGAATCTTCCTACTAAATGTTTCTTTTCCCTGCATCTTCCTTCCTACATATGAGCTCAGATTTTCAGTCTTTATTAGCACTTTATTAGTTTGACGTTTATGACGTAACATGACGAATCCACCCAAAGTCACTGTGCTACACAACAACAGCACCTTTTGTTAGAAAAATATTTTTATTGTTTTCTCCACATTACTCAAATAAACAAGACAAAGCATCAGAAAGTACATATGAGTGTAAAGTGAACTATTAAATAATAAGCGTAATAATACAACAGAAGAAGAACAAGTTGACATTTTTGTCTCTGCCTGTCTCTCTTCCTGTCAGGTGGGTTCTCTGAGTTCTCCCAGCTGTTCCCAGGTCTGTGTGAGGGGAAGTCCTCTGTGGTTCCCTCCTGCATGTCTCAGCCGTGTCTGCCGGTGAGCAGCACCGGGCCGACCCGCATCCTGCCTCACCTCTACCTGGGCTGCCAGCGGGACGTCCTCAACAAGGTGCCATAGCAACCGCTGCTCGCTGGTCTGTGGTCAGCTGATGGCTGACCAGCTGCTCGCTGGTCTGTGGTCAGCTGATGGCTGACCAGCTGCTCGCTGGTCATTTACCTTCAATCCTTTAGTGTTTGCTTTGGAAGTCAGTGGTATAACACAATATAATCTAATTTAGCATGATGTCAATAGGATAGATAGATAATGTTGCTCTGCGTTTTGTCTCGCATGTAAAAACTGAAATAAAACTAAGATGAATAAGAACAACTTTAAATATATAGTTTACAATAAAACAACAAAGACAAACTAAGAAAAGAGTTAAACCCAGAGAACATAAAAATAAAACATTTTCTTGTTTTTAATACACTGATCAATGACGAGAGGATTGAATCACATGGGGTCCCTCGGCCAATCGGAAGCGAGCTGCTGTCTGATCTTTGTCTCCAGGATCTGATGCAGCAGAACGACATCGTCTACGTGCTGAACGCCAGCAACACCTGCCCCAAGCCCGACTTCATCCCGGAGTCCCACTTCCTCCGGGTCCCCGTCAACGACTCCTTCTGCGAGAAGATCCTGCCCTGGCTGGACCGCTCCATGGACTTCATAGGTCAGAGGTCGGGTGGGGGGGCCCTTTTCCTATTGGACCAACCGCAGCCGCTCTTCTTCACTGTCAAACCTCTTGTGTGTTTCAGAGAAGGCCAAAGCCTCCAACGCTCGGGTCCTGGTCCACTGCCTGGCCGGGATCTCCCGCTCCGCCACCATCGCCATCGCCTACATCATGAAGAGGATGGACATGCCGCTGGACGAGGCCTACAGGTGGGCGTTCCCCTGACAACCAGCCTCATAGCCTCACAACACCAGAAAGCTGAATTACCCAAAGACTCTGAATCCAACATTTCCCACAATGCAACATTGTTAGAGCCTCCCAGGAGCAACGCCCTGAACTCTAGTCGGCTGTGTGTTGCTGAAGCTCCTCCTCCTCTGTGTCCAGGTTCGTCAAGGAGAAGAGACCAACCATCTCTCCCAACTTCAACTTCCTGGGTCAGCTGCTGGACTTTGAGAGGAGGATCAAGGGGCCACCGGGCCCTGAGTCCAGACTGAAGGCTCACGGCGGTGAGGCCCCCCCTCAGCAGGAGCACAGGGATCCTCCGGCCCCCGCGGACCCAGAGCCGGCCTTCAGGGTGCCCCTCACCCTGCCTCCAGAGGAGCGCCGCCTGGCCGAGGCGCTGAGCGGCCTGCAGCTGGCCGACGCCCCCGAGGACAGCGTCCGCCTGAAGCGCTCCTTCTCCCTGGACATCAAGTCCTACGGTGAGCCGGGGGGGGAAAGCGCCCCCCACTGCGTCTTCGCTCCTCACGGAACGCCGGGAGATGCGGATTTCTTCAAAGCGCCGGGCTTCAAGGAAGCCGCCAGTAAGCCGTGCCAGTTCTCCCCGGTGGAGGAGGTGTCGGAGCAGAGCCCCGACCAGGAGGCTCCGCCCCGCTCCTCCACCAAACTCCGCCCCGCCGCCCCAGGCTGCTTCCGGCGGAGCGGCAGCATGGAGGAGAACGCTGCCAGCTTCCTGTTGGGCCTGTCCCGCAGCCAGCAGCACCTGGCGCGCCCCGGGGAGGCCCTGAAGGGCTGGCACTCCGACATCCTGCTGGGACCCGTCTCCTCCTCCTCTCTGGCTGGCGGCTGGTACCTCTCCTCCGCCGTCCTGGGCGGGTGCGGCGGCGGCCTGGAGGCGGTGAGGAGGCGCAGCCGGCAGAGGCCGGGGGACCGAGGGGACTCGAGGAGGAGCTGGCACGAGGAGAGCAGCTTCGAGAAGCAGCTGAAGAGACGCAGCTGTCAGATGGAGTTTGGAGACCAGAGGGTGGACAGCAGGTCCAGAGAGGACATGACTGGGGGGGGACAGTCCAGCTTCTCTGGGAGCATGGAGGTCATCCAGGTCTCCTGATCCTGGGACCAGTGGTTCGGAGTAACGTCCAACAGACAGGAAGTGACCTCCCAACTGTTACCTGTGACGAGTGTTGCATTCTGGGACTGCTTGTTAGCACTGCTATGCTAACGGTCGTTGTTGTTTTTATGTTTCTGAAGTTCTTCACTCTAACACCTGAATTACAAATCTGCACGTCATCAGAACTTTGTTTACCTTCAGTTGATGCTTTGATTTAAATAAACTATTGTTCATGATGAGTAAATATAATGAAAGCTCACCTGTGATGAAGAGGAGGAGGAGGAGGAGGAGGATGTGGCTCAGTTCAGCGCTCACAGAGCAGAACCTGATAATTAAATGTGTTTGAACCAAAAGCCTCAGTTTGTTTTACAGGAACATTAGAAGGAAGTTGTCTCTGTGTCTCTGCCGGTCGGCCTGAACACATTTCCTCACAGAACCCGTATTTTAATCATATATTTGTCTGTTGGAGGTGAACTTTCGATTTGTTAATTTAGTTGTTTTGAAGCTCCAAACAACCAGAGAAGAGAAGCAAGTTGTTCAGGTGGGACTTAAAAAGCTTTGAGAGAAATATGTCTAGATAAATCTGATAAAATACAAAATGAAACAAGCAAACATGAAGTCAATCACATAAATGAAACATTCAGACTAGAAAGTAAAGTAACTTCCAAACGTCCTCTTTCACCCTGAAGTCCGCTGAGACGAGCAGGACAAAGACAGGAGTCTTTCGTCTTCACCACCTTCTACTATTTTCAATGTGTTTGACCTCTTTACCTGTTTGAGTCTCATCCCGCAGACACTTCAGCTCCTCCACCTTCTCCTTCAGCCCCACCCAGGCCCACTGGCAGGGTGGTGGCACCGGTCTACTCATCTCACCCAAATGGAGCTTTTCCCTCTACCCTCTTCCACCGTCCACCACACAGTCTTTGGAATTCTACCCTGTAACAGTTACTCACCCGGTGCACTTAACTATCGTTGTCCTCTATCGTCCACCAGGCTCCTTGGGTCATTTCTTGGAAGAACTGGACATTCTCCTGTCCAACTTCCCTGAAAATGTCCCTCCGCTCGTCCTCCTGGGTGACTTCAACATCCAGACAGACGTCGTCTGACCTCCTACACCTACTTTCTTCTTTCGCTCTGTCACTCAGTCCCTCTCCTCCTACTCACAAAGTTTATGTCCAAAACCCTTTAACGCTCACTATCTTTAACCAACTCTCCTCCTGTCTCCACCGTAACAACCTCCTGGACCTCCACCAGTCAGGCTTCAAGGCCGTTCCACAGAGACTGCTCTCCTCGCTGTCTCAGAGCAGCTCCACACTGCTAGAGCTCCTCTCTCTCCTCTGTCCTCGTCCTTCTGGACCTCTCTGCTGCATTTGACACAGTCAACCACCAGATCCTTGTCTCCTCCCTTCAGGAACTTGGTGTCTCAGGCTCTGCTCTCTCCCTTCTCTCGTCCTACCTCGACGGACGCACCTACCGGGTAACCTGGAGAGGATCTGTGTCGGAACCTTGTCCTCTTACTACGGGAGTTCCTCAGGGTTCCGTCCTGGGTCCCCTCCTCTTCTCGCTCTACACCAACTCTCTCTGCGCTCGCATGGTGACAACACCATCCTGTAGATACTCGCTGTACAACATGAGGAGAACACGTCCTCTTCTCACTCAGAAGGAGGTACTGATTCAGGCTCTTGTCGTCTCCCTCCTGGACTACTGTAACTCTCTCCTGCAGGTCTCCTGCTACCACCATTCCACCTCTGCAGCTCATCCAGAATGCAGCAGCTCCACTGGTCTTTAACCTTCCTAAGTTCTCCCTCACTCCTCCACTCCTCCGCTCTCTTCACTGGTACCGGTGGCTCATCCAGTTCTAAACATGGTGCTCACGTACCATGCTGTGAATGGATGGGGTCCAGCTTACATCCAGGACCTGGTCCAACCCGACATCCCGACCCGCACTCTCCGCTCTGCATGTGATAAACTGCTTGTTCCTCCTCACTGAGAGCAAAACACTCGACTAGATCTCCACTCTTTGCTGTCCTGCTCCTAAATGGTGGAACGAGGTCTCTGAAGACATCAGGACCACAGAGAGCCTTCACATCTTCAGACTAGAGACACACCTCTTCACACTCTACCTCCACTAACACACTAACTGTAGCACTCACATTGGACTTATAACGGCTCTTATCTACAGCAAGTTGTAAATTGGCTGATTTGATGAAATCACACTTTCTTGTTTCTTGTTCTTCTGAGTTTGTTTCCTTATGGTTGAAATGTTCTTATTGTAAGTCGCTTTGGATAAAAGCGTCAGATAAATGACGTGTGATGTAATTGATCTTCGGTCACCAGTTATGGGATCCACCAGTAGGGGGCGCAGTATTTCTTCATGGGTTTAAATCCGTGAGTGAAGACTGAAGGGACCTCTTTGGTTGTCTGTTCGTTTCAAATAGTCAGATAGTTTCCTCAAACCACTGAAAGGCTTTGGACCCAAATTCCATTTATTCTGCAACAAACATTCAAACAATTTGTTTCCTTATGTTTTTTTGTAAAACATTAAGTGAAGTATTAAATGGTTCAATATGAAATAAAACAAGCTATTTGAAAAATACATGTTTCATAAAAAAGAAAACTTTATTTTAACTAAACTCTTTGTTCTTCAAATGTATTAATTAAATTTGATTGATTTAATTGGACAGCTATCGAACGGGAAATCCTTCCCAACAAAATAAAATATGTATTATATGAACAGTCCATCATTAGTTAATCATCAAAACAAGCTGCAACATTAAAGTGATATAACAAATATGAAATCATTAGGGTGTGTTTCTTTAATCACTTTGAATGCAGGACGAAGACGGTTAACTCTGTATTATCACTACGTTGCACTTCTGTCTTTAACGAGCGTACCAGCAGAAAGGGGCGCGGCTTGAGAAGGGGCGGGGCTTCCTGCCAGCCCTCGCGCAGGGTCCACCCCCCCCGCGCAGGGTCCACCCCCCTCGCGCAGGGTCCACCCCCCCCCGCGCAGGGTCCACCCCCCCGCGCAAGGTTCACCCCCCCCGCGCAGGGTCCACCCCACCCGCGCGGGGCGGGAAAGTGGAAGTGCTCCAACGGGCGCTTCATTCGTGTGCCCCGATTACAGCTCAGGCTGTCGGATACAACGAAGCCGAAGGGACCGCTGGGAGGAAGGCATGTTGTTTTAACAGAACACCGGGATTTACCCCGAGGAGAGCTCGTCTTTTTCCCCTTGAGAGGATATTTTAGTTTAATGGGGATTTCAAACCGAAGCAACTGGATCTGCCCGGAGGAGAGACGGCACCAGACTCCTTTGGAAAAGATCAATATTAAATGATTCCATCATCTTTTTAATCAACTACACATGGACTCATACCATCGGACGAAGTGGTCAGATAACCGCATCGTTTCGGCATGCGACCCGCCACACAAAACTCTATAATATAGTTCTATTATATCAATTAAAGTTCTGGCAGAAGGTCGGCGGAGAGTAACGTTCTACAGCGATGAATCACTATCGGGTCGTAAACACGAGGGCCGATGCTTCGCGCAGCGAGCCGAACTTTATCCCCAAAATGAGTAAAACCACATGAATAAAAGCCGAGCCGAGCCGAGCCGAGCCACCGTGCAGGTAACCGGGCAACAGGCGGCCGGTCCCCGGGCTCTGTGCCCGGGTTAAACTGGAAAACAGACGGATTATCTTCATCATTCTTGTTGCTGTTATTATACAGTTTACATTAAAGTCCAGAAACATTACACATAAACAACCGCGAAGATCTTTGATAACGATTAAGGAGACTTGACAGATGTGACAACTGACGAACATCAGGAGGAACATTTACGTTTTTTACTTTTTGTAGATGTAGAAACGGTTCCTATTGGCCCTAAACTGGCGTGTAGGAGGAGCAGGTCCTCTACAAGGTCCAATCACATGCAATGAGTGGTCTCCTGACATGTGAACGTACCATCAGACTGCGTCTGCCTGGGGGCCACTTCTGCTTTGCCCCCTGACCTCTGACCTCTCACTCCTCCTCCAGGACGAGACAGTCACTTACATTATTACAACATTTATTTCCAAATGATGTCATATGACATACAAGGAACTCGACTTGGTGGTTGGTGCACAACATCAGACAGGAAGTCAAAGGACGAGAAGACAAGACAATGTCAGTCAGTCAGTGGAGGACCCGTCTGTTGATGAGCAAGGAACTGTTGGTGTGGTCTTAGTCCTGATGGACCTCAGCCTCCTGCCACATGGAAGGGACACAGACCGGTTCTGTCGGGGTGCGAGGGGTCGGCTACCATCTTTTTAGCTGCTTCAGGGTCCTGGAAGCGAACAAGTCCTGCAGGGACGGCAGGTTGCAGCCGATCAGCCTCTCTGCAGAGCGGAGGACACGCTCGTTTACTTGTTGGTTGTTTATTGTTCGCTCCGTTAGCTGGTTGTTGACTCTCTGTGAGCTGCTTCCTGTGGAGGTCAAAGGTCACAGGCGCTCAGAGAGCGCCATGTGCTGTCTCTGAACACTTGTTGTACCTTTTTGAGCTCAGCGTTGTGTAATCTGAACTCATTTGTCCCAGTTTAAGATAAAGAGAAGGATTAAAGTTCACAGCTGGTCCCGGATCAGTTCTCTGCTGGTGTTCCTGGGACACCTCCTCCAGCTGTTTAGAGACTCTATTTCTGGACGTGTCCCTGAAGGTTTTGTCTGAACTGGAGAAGCAAGTCCATGTCAAATCAACCTCCGCTCTCCGTATTCTCACTATTACTATTATTATCCAGACGGAACATTTTGGGATTTGATGAACAAACACAAACCTGCGTTTACTTAAGCTGTAATTGTTCAGATAAAATATACTAAAGTTGAACACAAAATATATGAAAATAACATTAACATAGTTTCAAATATATAAATGTGAGATGAACAAAACAAGTCAACATTGTCTTTTAAAAATAAAGCAAAAAGTTATAACTTAAAAACATCAAAAACCATAAACAATACATTGTGTGTCGCAATGTCATGGAAAAAAAGACAAAAATATTATGTCAAAAATTAAAGTTAAATAAAAGTTAAAATATACTTTGTTATAACATTCATAACATTAGAAATCAGGAGTTGGTTCATTAATTATTAGCAGTAGATTTTTTTAACTTCTACCGATGATGTCACTGACTGTTGCCGTGGGCGTCTCCAAGGAGAGCCCAACTTGTTTGTGTGTGCGTGTGTGTGTGTGTGTGTGTGTGTGCGTGTGTGCGCGTGTGTGTGTAGTCGGTTGCTGAGTTGTAACCGTACCTGCCGGCCAGGTGTGTTGCAGAGAATCGAGTTCCTCGGCGTGACACTGTGTTTATTGATTAAACGGTACATTCACTTCAATGGGATGAGTCGATCAACAGCTTCTGATCTGAAAATGTTTACATTTCTACATTCTATTTGAAAGAATTCAATGATATTTTTCACGGATCAATTTGTTGGGGAAAGTATCATCAGATAAATACAACTTTGATTTATACTTTTTAAATTTTTTTAGAGTTTAACTTTGAAAACAAAACTGCAATTGAAGACACATTAATTATTAAAATAATAGAAACTGATTAACTTTGGCTTTACAAAGTGGACTCTGGAACAAACCGTCACAGAGGAGCTCCTCATCAGCCGTTAGCTCAGACTTCCTGTTTCTCTGGGACACCTGAACTCCCAGAGTGCACCTGTGCTGTAACTGCAGAACAAAGAGTAGACATCAATGAGTTATTAAATTAAGAGCCGCTGATATAGAATCATCAAGACTCATCATGTTTATGGTGATGACTTAACATGAATTATTCATCTAATCATGTTTATCATTGGACATTAAAATCATAGTTATCAGTAGTGAAGCCTGAAGATATGAAAGGTGTGAACAGAGATACAATATGTCTGATTATGTGGAACGTTGTCAGGTTATACCTAAGCCCCTCCCCCACCTGTCAGTAGCCCGTCATTAATTAGAGGCTTAAGTCCTGAGACCTGGATCCTCTGTAATCCGTCCCACACGAAGCGCAGAGACGTCGGTTTGGAACCTGCGGAACTCACCTGTGGACCGGCTCAGGTAGGCTCTCTGTGCTCAGGTCGGTTCTGGTCTCTCCGGGTCCCTTGAGGCCTCAGAGGAAGTGGGCCAGGATGTTTCCAGTAGACCTTGACCCAGTGTGTGTGTGTGTGTGTGTGTGTGTGTGTGTGTGCGCCAACTCGACCTCTTTTTAGTTCCCCTCGTCTCTTATTTTTAGTTCCTTGCTGCGTCTGTTTGTGGCTTCAGGTCTGACATCTCTATGTGTCGGCTGATATCGCATGTATGTGTGTGTGTGTGTATGTATGTGTTTATATATGTTCATCTTTATTTAACAGAGTGTTTCCCGCTGTGCAAATCATTGTAGTTCATTTTCCTGAAAATATAATGAAGATCTGTCACGTTCAGATCCAGTCTTGTGTCCCTATATACAAAGCTACAGCTTAGCATGAATACAGGAAATGGCTAAACTTATGATTCATGGCAAGAAAGATTTTACTTGTATAGCACATTTCAACAACAAGGCAATTTAAAGTACTTCAGATAAAACCATTAAAAACATCCAAACACAAAGCGAGGAGATTTACAAACAGTTAAGAACATTGATACAAAAGAAAAAACGTCATTAAAAGATGTTAAAAGATTTGAAAAATAAAACAGTGTAATTTTAAGAATACTAATAATGTTGTAGATTGGAGCACTGTTAATGATATTAATTCTAAAATCACAGATACTGTTTAAATATTTTTAAAATTTGAAATGATAATTTCTCAATACACAAAGTCTAAATATATGTTGTGTTGCATATTTTCCAAATTCCTCTTGAAACGTCTTAATAATTTCGTGAGGTTTGTGCAATGGTCGTCGTAGTGGTTGGTGTTGTAGTGGTGGTCGGTTGGCGCGGTGTCGTAGTGGTTGGTTGGCACAGTTTTGCGGTGGTTGGCTGGCGCAGTGTCGTGGTGGTTGGTTGGCGGGGTTGGTTGTCGTAGTGGTTGGTTGGCGCAGTTTTGCGGTGGTTGGCTGTCGCAGTGTCCTAGTGGTTGGTTGGCGGGGTTGGTTGTCGTGGTGGTTGGTTGTCGTAGTGGTCGGTTGGCGCGGAGTCGCAGTGGTTGGTTGGCGCAGTGTCGTAGAAGTTGGTTGTCGTGGTGGTTGGTTGCCGCGGTGTCATAGTAGTTGGTTATTGTGGTGGTTGGTTGTCGTAGTGGTCGGTTGGCGCGGAGTCGCAGTGGTTGGTTGGCGCAGTGTCGCAGTGGTTGGTTGTCGCAGTGGATGGTTGTCGTGGTGGTTGGTTGTCATAGTGGTTGTTTGCCGCGGTGTCGTAGTAGTTGGTTGTCGTGGTGTTTGGTGTTGTGATGGTGGTTAGTTGGCGCGGTGGTTGGTTGGCGCAGTGTCGTAGTGGTTGGTTGGCGCGCTGTTGTAGTGGTTAGTTGGCGCGGTGGTTGGTTGGCAGGGTTGGTTGGCGCAGTGTCGTAGTGGTTGATTGGTGCAGTGTCGTAGTGGTTGGTTGGCGCGCTGTTGTAGTGGTTAGTTAGCGTAGTGGTTAGTTGGCGCGTTGGTTGGCTGGGTTGGTTGCGCAGTGTCGTAGTGGTTGGTTGGCGGGGTTGATTGGCGCAGTGTCGTTGTGGTTGGTCGTCGTAGTGGTTAGTCGGCGAGGTGTCGTAGTGGTTAGTTGGCGCGATGGTTGGTTGTCGGGGTGGGTTGCCGCCGTGTCGTAGTGGTTGGTTGGTGCGGTGTCGTAGTAGTTGGTCGTAGTGGTTGGTTGCCGCGGTGGTTGGTTTGTGAGGCGTCGTAGTGGTTGGTTGGCGCAGTGTCGTAGTGGTTTGTTGGCGCGGTGGTTGGTTGGCGGGGTTGGTTGGCGCAGTGTCGTAGTGGTTTGTTGGCGCGGTGGTTGGCTGGCGGGGTTGGTTGGCGCAGTGTCGTAGTGGTTGGTTGGCGCAGTGTCGTAGTGGTTGGTTGGCGCAGTGTCGTAGTGGTTGGTCGGCGCGGTGTCGTAGTAGTTGGTCGTAGTGGTTGGTTGGCGCGGTGTCGTAATAGTTGGTCCTAGTGGTTGGTTGGCGCGGTTTCGTAGTGGTTGGTTGGCGCGGTGTCGTAGTAGTTGGTCGTAGTGGTTGGTTGGCGCAGGGTCGTAGTGGTTGGTTGGCGCGGTGTTGTAGTAGTTGATTAGCGCGATGTCGTAGTGGTTGGTTGCCGCGGTGTCGTAGTAGTTGGTCTTAGTGGTTGGTTGGCACGGTGTCGTAGTGGTTGGTTGGCGCGGTGTCGTAGTGGTTTGTTGCCGCGGTGTCGTAGTAGTTGGTCGTAGTGGTTGGTTGGCACGGTGTCGTAGTAGTTGGTTGGCGCGGTGGTTGTTTGGCGAGGTTGGTTGGTGAGGTGTCGTAGTGGTTGGTTGGTGAGGTGTCGTAGTGGTTGGTGGCGCGGTGGTTGGCGCGGTGGTTGTTTGGCGAGGTTGGTTGGCGCGGTGTCGTAGTGGTTGGTGCGGTGGTTAGCACTGGGTTAAAACCCCCAGCACCTTTTCTGGCTGTAGTCTGCATTTTCTCCACGTGTCGGCCTGTGTTGTCTCCGGTACCCCTCCAGTCCAGAGACATGGGGATTGATGGTGACTGTAAATGTCCCGTAGGTGTGTGAATGTGACCATGATGGTTGTGTGTCTCTAAGTGACTGGAGACCGGTCCAGTGGACGCCGCCTGTCACCCGATATTAGTGAGGATTGACTCCCCCGACTCAGCCGATCACACTTGTAAACTAGTTAAGAGTGGATGACGACCACGTCAGCAGTCTGAGGATTATAATAATGATATTGTTGGTATTAGCCTTTCGTAACCGTCTCCCTCACACCAGGTGTGACGAGACGGTCTGAGGTGAACGATTCCAGGGACACAGATGGTGGATTAAAGTCGATACACACTAGATGGATATGGATTAAACGCAGAAACTCAGTAATCTGGATTAGATCTCCGCGGCTCTGAGGCCTGTAGAAGGATCTGGTTTGCTTAGTTTAGCATACGAGTGAAAGTAGGAGGAAACTGCTAACCCAGCTTAGCATAGCATTTTACAACTTTTTCCTGTGTTCATGTTGTGATCTTTATAAAGTTAGACGTTAATCTTTGTTCCACTCACCACAGAAACAGGAACATTAACCAACCAGGAAGTGTCCATGTTTACTTCTCCTTACTGACCTTGTGTTTGACTTCTTCACGTCACAGACAAACATCCATGATGATCAGATATTAAACATTAACCGTGGTTACACTATTTGGTTGGTTCTGCCGTCTCAGTGGTCCGTGTACTTCATCAGCTGATATTTGTCTCCTTGTAAACAAACACAACTTGTCCTCTGCTTTGTTCGCTCTCTATAACATCAGAGGTGAACCACGTCACATGACCCCCCCCCCCACTCCCTTTCATATTATATGGAACCCTTTATATATAATCTCACGTCGACTCTCACTCGCTTCTCTCCTCAGTGCCGTTGCCGTGGAAACGCCTCACAGCCCGTGTCTCGCAAACACAGCTGTCTGGCATCGTCATGGCGACCGGCGTCCGTGTGTGGGCTGCGTTCTGATTGGAGGAGATGTGACATTTAAATGCTGCAGTAATGTCTCCTTCCTTTCATAGCGGAGAACTGCTTTTATCACACGGAGACGCTTCTGAAACTGTAAACATGAATATGCAACAGGAACGATGGTTTAGATCAGCGTGCGCCGCCAGAGGTCCTTTACAATAAATAAATAAAATGGTTTTAATTTTCAAAGTTTGAAATTAATATAAAATTATTTATATTATTTGAACAATTCTAGCGGCACATTAGTGTGATGTGAAACATTAATTGATGAAGCACAAACAATTTAGACGAACAGGTTAATAAAACAAACGGCTCCGCCTGTCGTAGCCAAACCAAACAATGTCAAATAGTATTAAAGTAAATATATATGAGCTCCGGAGGAAATGGTTTACAAAACATACATTGTCGGTTATTACATTCTTAATCGGTTAAATTCTTAAGGTCATTTAATCATCCCTAGTTCATGTTTTGATTTTCAGATTCCGAAGTGGGCCGCGGCATTCTGGAGTTTGGGAAGCGCTGGTTTAGATAATATAAACCTGACATGAGCTCTCTCAGGGAGGCCTCGCCGGTTCCTCTCACAGAGGCCTCTTGTTGTCATGGATACAGGCTCCAAAATGGGGTCCGGCTTGAGATTAAACGTGAAGTCCTGAGAAAAGTAATCACAGGGGTCAGCAGCAGTGTCCTTACAGTGAGAGAATTATAATACGTAGGAGTCAACTCTTCATTGCGTTCAGTGGAGCTTAGTTTTTATCACGAGAACACCGTCATAATAAAATATCTGTGCTTTTTATTCATTAAATAGTGATGTCATAAATAAGAACGGAGGACATGCAAAACGTTTCCTGTATTTTATTTTAAAACAAATGTGGTTCATTAACCGCAATGAATTATTATATCCTAATGATCTTACTACAGATCCCATCTGCTGGACGCTAACGTTAGCATGCAGGACTGCAGCTAAAAAGATGGTGGCCGACCCCTCTCACCCCGGTCCCCCATTCCCCATACATTCCTTGTATGTGACATATTTTGGCAATAAATGTTTCCTGATTCTTGACATGGATTTCTGCTCTGAGACCAACTGCATGATGGGAAACTGTGTTCTAACGTTGTCACTGATGGGATTGTGTGTTTGTTGCTGCAGGATGAATGGACATGAAGGCTCCGGCGTCTTCGGCTCCTACGGCTCTCAGACCAAGTCAGTGATGTCACCAGTTAGCACGTTAGCTCGTCTGTTAGCCTCTCTCACAGCAACCCGCCGCTCAAAGGTCAAAGGTTAAACTTCAGAATGTGGAGTTGAAGTTAAGCGGTAAAGAGATCAGAGCTGATCCAGGAAGCTCAAACACATTTGAGTGTTTTCATTTCTAAACCGTTTACTGCAGTTATGAGTTAAAGATAAAAGTATGAAAGAGAAACATGCTGCCAAAAAAATAACATTTAACAAAATAACAACTACAGCGTTTGAAAAAGAAATGTTTTTAAATGTATTATAGTACATTTATATGATCAAATAAAATCTAATAAATCCATAACATTTGAATCCAAAGTAAAAAAGATGGATATTTAATTTACTTTTTGTGTAGAGAGAAATAATTGTAATATCCAATTATATATTTAATTCATTATTAATATATTCATTTAGTTGGATTTTATTGCTCTTTGTTGTGTTAATATCTAAACGAACAGAATGAAGATCAGTCAGTCAGCCAGGAGGAGGCGGGGCCTGCGGCCTCAATCATCAATCGTTAATTATTGATCGTATGAATGAATAAACTTTAGTTTTGCCGTCGCTGTGACAGGAAACGTGTAGAGAGCAATGAGGACACTGGTCTGAGGTCAGCTAACAGGAAGTGGACAAACCGATCAATGATCGATCGGTTGTGTTTGGCCTCCAATCTCACTCCTCAACGGAAATAAACCAATCGCATGTGTTGGAAGATTAATAGATAAATTACATCTATTAAATTAAATCAAATAAAACAAAGAAAAAATAGTTATAATTGTACAAATATATTAAACTCTTTGGTTGATATTAGATATTAAAATATGAATATTGTAAATTATAAATTCGAATTTACAATATTCACATTTTAATATTTAATATCAACCAAAGTGTTTTTTATATGTTAGAAAATAAATCTAAATCGCTTGAACTCCGTTAATTGTTCTATAATGATTTTGAAGTAATAATAAATATAATCACATTGCCTCTTTTTTGAATTATGATTATTCTTTTTAATTTAATTGAAAACTAAACATTTAAACGGTTTTAAAATATAAAACGAGCAGCCTTGACCAATCATATAAACACACACAGACCTTTGATGTCAAGCATCAGTGTGGTTGCTATGGTAACATCCTGTCCTGTTTGTGGACAAGAAAAGAGTAGTATAGTAATAATGATATAAATACATGATACACCGTGTATCTATATTCTGATATACATAGTAACTCCTGTATGTATACATATATATCTCACATATAAATGGATATTTCTGTGTATTCCAGTGGCCGTGGCTCTCGCTCTCCTGAGCCTCCTCAGAATAAAGCTCAGTCAGTTGCCAAAGCTCTGTACGGTGAGTTCATGTCATGTTAACGTCATCCATAAACATACATCTCCATTGACTTACAGTGGGTTTGATTCACTGCCGATTTAGCAGGTTTTCCCACTTACAAAGATGTAGGAGTCTGAGTGACTGTGAGTGACGGAATCTAAAACAAACCAGAAAATCACATTGTAGGTTTCAAAAGTTCAGTAAGAATTCTCACAGACCGGTTAGCTTGTCTTTAGGAAGCCCTGTTCTCCACTCATCACCTGTATTATACCTGTATAAAAGACACGTGTCCACACACTCAGTCTGACTCCAACCTCCCCACAACGGCCCAGACCAGAGAGCTGTAAGGACGTCAGGGACAGAGCTGTAGACCTGCACACGGCCGTGATGGACTACGGGACAACAGCTTGCTGAGAAGACAACAACTATTAGAAAATGGAAGTTCAAGATGACTGTAAATCTCCCTCGGTGTGAGGCTCCATGTAAGATCTCACCTCGTGGGGCGTCAATGTTCATGAGGAGGGTGAGGGATCAGCCCAGAACTACACGGCAGGACCTGCTCAATGACCTGAAACATAAATAGAGCTTTTTGGTCTAAACTCCACTCGCTGTGTTTGGAGGAAGAAGGACGAGTAGAACCCCAAGAACAGCATCCCAGCCGTGACCCATGGAGGTGGAAACCTCATTCCTGCAAAGGGGACAGGCCTCGCCCGTCTCCAGACCCGAACCCAATAGAAACTCTCTGGAGGGAGCTGATGGTCCGTGTTGCCCAGCGACGGCCCCGAACCCTGGAGGATCTGGAGAAGGTCTGTATGGAGGAGGGGCCCAGAATCCCTGCTGCAGTGTGCAAACCTGCTCAAGAACTACAGGAAACGTGTGATTGCAAACAAGGTTTCTGTTCCAAATATGAGGAAACATTTATTGCCATAACATGTCAGACCTACAAGGAATGTTGGTGCGTAACAGCAGACAGGACGACAAGACAACAGCGCACGAGGAATAAAATAAAATATAAGACTATGGGTTAGTTTCAAAATAAAGGAATAAAAGTTAGTTAAAGTTTCAAATGTTTAAAAATAAAGTGCCCCAGCGAACAGAAAGTGACGTGTGTATTAAGGTTGGCTTTTCAAACGTATCAAATACTTTTGTCATCAATAAACTGAAATATATTTTTTAAATCCTACAATGTGATTTCTTTTAGATTCCGTCACTCACAGTTGAAGAGTTTCTATGATACACTTACAAAGCATGTCGGAGTCGAATTTGTATCAGCTACTTCCTCATTAAATGTCTCCTCATTAACATATCTCCTCATTAAATGTCTCCTCATTAAATGTCTCCTCATTAGATGTCTCCTCATTAACATATCTCCTCATTAAATGTCTCCTCATTAACATATCTCCTCATTAACATATCCCCTCATTAAATGTCTCCTCATTAACATGTCTCCTCATTAAATGTCTCCTCATTAACATATCCCCTCATTAACATGTCTCCTCATTAAATGTCTCCTCATTAACATGTCTCCTCATTAAATGTCCCCTCATTAACATGTATCCTCATTAACATATCCCCTCATTAACATGTCTCCTCATTAAATGTCTCCTCATTAACATATCCCCTCATTAACATGTCTCCTCATTAAATGTCTCCTCATTAACATGTATCCTCATTAACATATCCCCTCATTAACATGTCTCCTCATTAAATGTCTCCTCATTAACATATCGTCAACAGGTTCAGATGAAATCTATTTCCTTCGTTCGTCTGCCAAACATAAAAAGAAAAGTCAAAGTGAGCAAAGTGTGAAATGTTTCTGTGTGTTTTCATTTGAATAACGTGGCACACAAACACAAACCTCGTGACGCAGTAAGCGACAAAATGACACATTTACATCTAAATGAACGTCACCAACATTTGAAGGCTGCTGCGTGTTTCTGCGTCTTTACGCATAATGTGAAGTTTTCTATGGAGTTTGTTTTGTTCTTTGAGGATCAGACGGTTTTGAGGCGATATCGGATCAATAATAATCAATAAAGTCTTCTGTTCAAGAACAAAGGAAAAGCTTCACCAGAACGAGCATCAACAGCCTGACGGACACGTCCCAGTACCACGTGGAGGTTCGACTCAATCTTTATTCCTACACGTCAGAATCAAGCAAACCGCGTGCTTCGTAAAGTCAGGATTCACAACAGGACACTTCAGAAGGTTCACTTTCAGTTAGAAATATTGGATTTAACGGTTAATGAAAACAGAAATAAATCCTGAAATGAGTTAATTCATGGTTAAATTTCAGCGGATTGACACATTAATTTGTCAACACCAGAATCTGAAAATAGCCAGAGACATCTGCTCTGAATAAAGTCAGTTTGTGGTGATTTATGAAACATGTGATCGATCTTCAGCACCTGACCACCTTCGTGCTGGACCGCAAGGATGGACTGGTAACTGTGGATGACGGCGTGCGGCGCCTCCGTCTGCTGGACGCCAAGGGGAAGGTCTGGACTCAGGAGATGCTGCTGCAGGTGGAGGAGAAGTCGGTCAGCCTCATCGACCAGGAGACCAAGGTGAGACCATCAGGACATCTGGAGCATGTGGCCTCGAGGGTAGAGGGTTCTCTCTAAAGAGTTCCGGCTTGTTCTCTTCAGAAGGAGCTGGAGAACTTCCCCGTCGGGTCCATCCTGCTCTGCCAGGCTGTGATGAACGCCTGCAGCTTCGACTCCATCTTGGCTCTGGTGTGTCGGGAGTCGGGTCAGAGCAAGCCGGACCTGCACCTGTTCCAGTGTGACGACATTAAGGTGGGCGGCCTGTGATTGGTCCTTCTAGTCCACAGAGTAAAAGTATGGAAGCCCATTACTGACAGAAAGGATGGAAGTTAATGGAGGAAAATCGATTGCTATCATGATTTCCAACTATTGTTGTGACCCAACATTTACAAATAATACAAAATCTCAAAGAAATTACTTCTCAAAATAATGACTTAACCCCAAATCATTTTCTAGTATCTCTAAATAATTCATTGATCCCAAATAATTACTTTATCTCAAAATGATTACATAATACTCTACTAAAATAACTGCTTAGTATTAAACAAAAAAATTGTCTGGCAAGATAAAATGTCCGACATCTTCACATTTGTATTGAACTGAAATTAAATTAATGTAATTTACGACGTTTATGGTAAAAAGTATTTCTGTCATTTCGACACAAAGTCAGTCATCCAATCAATAAAACCATTAATATCAATAAAAGGGATATCAATCGGGAATTAAAACCCAAGTGGAAGGAAAGACTGTGACTTAAAAGATGCTGGTAGAATGTGAATATCAGAGGACCCACGATGGAGCCCTGTGGAACGCCACCACATTAAAGAGTTCAGTCTTTTACCTTCACGTTGGTTGCTTATTATTTCCATTCAGGCAAATCTGATCCACGTGGATGTCGAAAGCGCCATGACGGACGCCAAAGCCGGCAAAGTCAAGAGGAGGCCGGAGGCGTTAAAGTAAGAACCAATCACCAAGCTTGTGAGTGAATACTGGCCGATGATTGGCTGATCTGTGCATCCGTCTATCTGCAGGATGATCCTAAAGAGTGACGGGGTCATCCCCCCACCCCCTGCCTCTCCCGCCCCCGCACCTCCAACCCCGTTGTCCAATCAAGTGGACGCAAGGAGCCGAGCGGCCGCGTGGTCGGCGTGGACCAATGAGCAGCACGACTGTGAGTGACATCACATCATAGGATAAAACATCACAGCTGAGCCTTTAACTTGTTTTTATTAAATATGAATCATTTATATATTGATGTTGTTTGTTTTCCAACGAAGTTAAACACACATTATTGATCTACGTAAACCTGTTTACTAGTAAAGTAACTAATAATAATATTAATGATAATAAGATAAAAAAGGAGAATTTTAAGAAGTTAAAATTAAGAAGTTAGAAGTTAGAAGTTAGAAATGGTTTTAAGCTTTGAAGAGCAGAAGTTAGTTGTTTAATTTCACATACCCAATGGGATGTAAAATGATATTTGATCAAATATAATAATACATACATATACAAAGCTATTATTCCATTTCTGACACATTAAAATAGAGAAGGTTCTTTGTAGTTTTGTGGAGATTTAATTCACATTTGAAATACCTACCATGAAATGTGTTAATTGAGAAAATACTTGTCTAACATACTGCTGGTAAATGAATCTTAAAATAAAAACATAATGATGTATTATAGAGTAATAATCCGAATCCGTCAGTGAAGATGCAAATGATAAAACATGTGCACGTGTTAATTGTCAGACAGATTTGATTGGTTATTGTGGCTTATTGATGACTGCAGATGAGAAGCAGCGACGCACCTCATTGGACGAGGGGCCGGCGGAGATCTCTGCGCTCCGAGTGGACCGAGACGTTGTGAGTCCTCGATCTGATCTGAGAGCAGCTGAGCGGCCGGGGAGGTCACAAGTGATCAAATGATTTGAGGACAGAAACGCGTGAGGAGGCTGACCTCAGGTCTGTTGGCTTACGGTTAATCATTACACTGACCTTTGTTCTGGCAGCAAATCCTCAACCACATCCTGGACGACATCGAGCGCTTCGTCAACAAGCTGCAGAAGGCGGCCGAGGCCTTCGGCCAGCTCTCCAAGAGGAAGAAGGTGAAGAAGGGCAAGAAGAACGGTCCGGGAGGTGAGCAGCGCTGCTGGTTAGAAATACACAACTAAGATGAAACGACTCAAATGAAGCCTCGTGATGAAAAACAACTCATCGCTGAGTTTTCACACAAATGTTCATTTAAATATGAATTGTCTCTGTAATGATCATGTTTCTGTTAATGGACGTCCACACTAACAGAACAACTCCCTCTTTTACTCGAAACGAGCAGATGATCCACTGAAGAGTTTTCATATTTATATGAAGGAATAGAAATAATTGTTTAAAGGAATAAAACAGGATTTTACTTTTTGGTGTCCCTTTTTGTGTCTCGTTTGTCCACTAGAGGGCGTCCTCACGCTGCGCTCCAGACCTCCGGCGGAGGACGAGTTCGTTGACTGTTTGCAGAAGTTCAAACACGCCTTCAACCAGCTGGTAGGATCCTCGTGGTGACCTCGTGGTGACCTCGTGGTGACCTCCTGGTAACCTCCTGGTGACCTTCTGGTGACCTCGTGGTGACCTCCTGGCTCCTCGTGGTCAGAGTGCCGGTAGCAAAGCGTGGCTCAGGAAATGTTTGTGACCTTCAGGGGAAGCTGGCGGATCTGATCCAGAACCCGAGTGCTGAGGAGCTGCTTCACTTCCTCTTCTCTCCTCTCCGGATGGTGAGTGTCCCACTTCACGTTCTCCACGAAGGGAGAACTTTGATCTTCTGTTCTCAAACTCTCTCACTGGTATCCAGATTAAACACATCATAAACACCTCCAGGTGATCCAGGCGTCCGGCAGTGTGGATCTGGCTCGCAGCGTCGTGGTTCCTCTTCTGACCCGAGACGCCATCGACTTCCTCCACACCACGGGGACGCCGGAGGAGAGACACCTGTGGGTCGCCCTGGGAGACGGCTGGACCAAATGCAGGTGAGACACTCTTCACAGGAGACACTCCTCACTGGAGACACTCCTCACTGGGGAGACACTCCTCACTGGAGACACTCCTCACTGGGGAGACACTCCTCACTGGAGACATTCCTCACTGGAGACACTCCTCACTAGGGAGACACTCCTCACTGGAGACACTCCTCACTGGAGACACTCCTCACAGGAGACACTCCTCACTGGAGACACTCCTCACTGGAGACACTCCTCACTGGGGAGACACTCCTCACTGGAGACACTCTTCACTGCAGACACTCCTCACTGGAGACACTCCTCACTGGGGACACTCCTCACAGGAGACACTCCTCACTGGGGAGACACTCCTCACTGGAGACACTCCTCACTGGGGACACTCCTCACTGGAGACACTCCTCACTGGGGAGACACTCCTCACTGGAGACACTCCTCACTGGGGACACTCCTCACTGGAGACACTCCTCACTGGGAAGACTCTTCACTGGGGACACTCCTCACAGAAGACACTCCTCACTGGAGACATTCCTCACTGGAGACACTCCTCACTGCAGACACTCCTCACTGGAGACACACGAACACAGGAGACACTCCTCACTGGGGAGACTCTTCACTGGGGACACTCCTCACAGAAGACACTCCTCACTGCAGACACTCCTCACTGGAGACACTCCTCACTGGAGACACACGAACACAGGAGACACTCCTCACAGGAGACACACTAACACAGGAGACACTGTTTCTTGCCTCAGATGTATCCAGACGCATATTTTAGTTTGTGTTCAGATGACGCAACTCTGCCAACTAAGCCCCGCCCACAATCTGCACAGAGATCAATATATTGATTGCCGTGTCTGTGTCCCGCTCAGGTTGGAGTGGCCGAAGCACCACTACTTCCCCCCCTGTGCACTGACTTTCCACGACGGCTGGGAGCCGCTGCCTAGAGATCAGGATGTTACCCAGCATGCCGAGGGGCTCACTGACGCCAGGATCCAGAGACAAGAAGACCCGAGGATCGGCCTGGAGGTCAATGTTACATGATCAATACCTCCTGTGTGTGTGTCACGTGATCACATGATCGATACTTCCTGTCTGTGTGTCACGTGATCACATGATCGATACTTCCTGTGTGTGTGTCACGTGATCACATGATCGATACTTCCTGTCTGTGTGTCACGTGATCACATGATCGATACTTCCTGTCTGTGTGTAACGTGATCACATGATCGATACTTCCTGTCTGTGTGTCACGTGATCACATGATCGATACTTCCTGTCTGTGTGTCACGTGATCACATGATCGATACTTCCTGTCTGTGTGTCACGTGATCACATGATCGATACTTCCTGTCTGTGTGTAACGTGATCACATGATCGATACTTCCTGTCTGTGTGTCACGTGATCACATGATCGATACTTCCTGTCTGTGTGTCACGTGATCACATGATTGATACTTCCTGTCTGTGTGTCACGTGATCACATGATCGATACTTCCTGTCTGTGTGTCACGTGATCACATGATCGATACTTCCTGTCTGTGTGTCACGTGATCACATGATCGATACTTCCTGTCTGTGTGTCACGTGATCACATGATCGATACTTCCTGTCTGTGTGTCACGTGATCACATGATCGATACTTCCTGTCTGTGTGTCACGTGATCACATGATCGATACTTCCTGTCTGTGTGTCACGTGATCACATGATTGATACTTCCTGTCTGTGTGTAACGTGATCACATGATCGATACTTCCTGTCTGTGTGTAACGTGATCACATGATTGATACTTCCTGTCTGTGTGTAACGTGATCACATGATCGATACTTCCTGTCTGTGTGTAACGTGATCACATGATCGATACTTCCTGTCTGTGTGTAACGTGATCACATGATCGATACTTCCTGTCTGTGTTGCAGTCGGCGGTTCAGAACTTCCCCCTCGCAGACGGATCCTCCTCCTGTGGATCCTCCAGAGGAATGCAGATCCCGGATCAGGACGCGGCCGCGGCGGCCTTCGAACAGGCCGTCAGCCGTCGCACAGACGGGTAACCGTGAGGTCACATGACGTCCTGCAGAACTGACCTCAGATCTGCTCTTTACTGCTCTTCATTCATCAATAATAAACTAAACTCCTCTAGAATAGATTCGTTAGAATGAATCAGGACTTATTTGTCATTCAGTATTCATACTTTTCTTCTCTTTATGAATTTCATTAATATGAGAAAAACTAAACTATTATTTTGTTTATTTCAGTATTTACTAAATATTTATTGCTGAATAAAACCTGTCTGACACGTTTATTCATGATAATCTCATATTGATTTAATCTTTCTCATTCATACTTTTTCCACTTGAAGAACTGAATTCATTTAGTTAAATATCATTTTTTCTCTGACTGAAGTTTTGACGTTTCTTCCTCAAACAAACAAATCAGTCACATTGTTAAGATATAAAATTCATCATTCACTCACTATTATTTAGTCATTCAAATTATTTAGTTATCACATACATGCAGAATTTATATGTAATATCACTGTAAACCTTCCGTATTAATTAATTCTTGGTGTATTTCAGGAGTTTTGAAGCCGACAGCAGAATTCAACCAAAACTTTTTGCCAAATGTAAATACGACTTTGTGGCGAGGAACAGCTCGGAGCTGTCGGTGCTCCGGGACGAGGTCCTGGAGGTTTGTTCCTGATCAATAAGCCATTACAAGCATCATGGTCACAATCGTTTACTATCTCTGAAGATTAAAAAGTGCAATATGTCAATATGTCACCTTTTCTTCATTTCAAAAATGAAATGTATCCACAAAACAGTTGAATATTCCTGTTGCGTTTTAATGAAAGCGAACACCTGCTCAGGTAAATGCGTTCATTGGAAGCAGAAGCAGGCGTTGATGCCGGCGTTCTGATGCCCGTCAGGTGCTGGACGACAGGAAGCAGTGGTGGAAGGTGGGGAACGGCGCCGGGGCGTCCGGCTACGTGCCCAACAACATCCTGGAGATCAGCGGCGGCGTGGAGGGGCGAGGGGAGCCCGTCTACAGCCACACCATACAGGTATGTACCTGAACGCATCATCAGCACCTTCATGGCCACCTGCATCACCTTCATCACCAGCCTGCTTCTGCTTTGTTGTTCACTGTTGAAGCTGATGATGCCAAAGAAGGAGTTTGAGTTGTTTAAGGTAAAACTCCGTGTTTTGCTGTGGAGGTTCTTATTTTTCTTTTAAAGGAACAGTCTCACGTTTTGGTCAAATGTTTCATTTGCTTGCTTGTTTGTCAATAGCTCAGATGCTAACACGTGCTAAACCAACAACGTCTGCTTTTTTACATTAAACCTTTCAAAACCTATTTCTGCTGCTGTTCAATAACCAACATTATAATACGGTGGATGAAATGTGATTGGTTGAGAGTCACAGGGTTTATTATTCAGCGATAATAAGTAGCAGGTTAGTTCACAAATGATCAGGTGGACGTCATGAGCCCTGTGAATCAATGAGGCCCAATGCTGTTCACATATCATTCTCTGCACTACTGAATGAGATGCACAACGTTCAGGCAGCGATTTACTTACTATCTGTAATTTTGCTTCGTATTATAAAAGCAGTAAGATAATTGAAGTAGTACTTTATCCTCAATAATGTGACTTCTCTTTAGCCTTAAATGAGCTGTGAATTAGAAGTGGTTGTTTGACGCAGCTAGGCTAACGGTTTCCCTTTTGACTCCAGTGTTTGTGCTAAGCTAGGCTATGTCCCACTCAAATATAATAGCTGTCATCAGAAACCTCAAGAGAAACTTCTAACCGCTTCTATAATGTTTGTATCTTGTGTAGCTTCCACAACAGCAACTAGCTTTAAACAAGTAGCATTTGTGGTTGCCTTAGCTAGCAGTGTCCCTTTGCTCCCGCTGTTTGTGCTAAGCTAGGCTAGCTACGTTGTTGGGAGGCAGGTTAAGTGGTGTCATTCTCTGAATGTAAGACTGTTCCTTTAAGTGTTTGTGAGTTTGATCTTTGCGTTTTAGTTTTATAATGTGTAGAACTGTTTGTGTAGAACTGTTTGTCTTCATGTTTTTATGTTTTTCATTTCACACATTTTCCAAGCAATTACTGGGAGAGTTGAACGAGGTAAATAAACAATACAAATATTTGGGCAGTAAGATTTTTGTGTTTTAAGTGTTTTTAAATTGTCAGAAAATCAAACATTACAATAAGTGGTATTTTCAGAATAAAGACTCTTCTGGTCCTCTTTCAGAAGCAGACCACCAGGACCGACCCCGTCCCCGATAAACCGCTGGTGACTCCCATGCCTCCGCCTCCGACGCCGCCTCCTCCGGCACCCGCTAGGCTCCCCACGCCGCCGCTGCCTCCGCCCGCCACCGTCAGCCGCCAGAACAGCACCACCTCCAGCGAGAGCGGTGGTGTCGCCATGCGGGACCACAGAGGCCAGAAAGACCAGAAAGACCAGAAAGACCAGAGGGACCAGAGGCCTCCACCCGTCACGCGTGAGTCTGAATGTTTAAATATGTGAGATGTTTAAATCTGACCAGTAAACACTCGCTGAGGCCGGTCCAGGTGTTTTCATGCTCCTCTTCCTGCAGGGAGGAAGTCCAACATGGAGGAGGTCCAGGACGAGCTGATGCACAGACTCACGCTGGGTCGCAGCGCCCAGAAGAAGTTTCCGGTTTCTACTCGTGGAGGTTTGCCCTCAAACAGCATCACCTACGACTCGTCACCTGAGGACGTGAAGGCCTGGCTGGAGGCCAAAGGCTTCAGTCCAGTGTGAGTCTCTGGGTGCACGTGTGTGTGTGTGTGTGTGTGTGTGTGTGTCCAGGTGTGTCCTGACTGTGTGTCTCCTGCTGCAGCACCATCACCAGCCTCGGCGTGCTGACGGGGGCTCAGCTCTTCTCCCTCAACAAGGAGGAGCTGAGAACCGTTTGTCCCGACGACGGCGCTCGAGTCTTCAGCCAGGTGACGGTCCAGAAGGCGGCGCTGGAGGTGAGTGTCACAGGTCAACACTTTAAACTGTGTTCTTCTCCACAACTTGTTTTTCTTGTTTGAGAAGTTACTTTATTCTTTAATTGTCCCGTGATTTACTTAATCAATCAATGTACAATCAAAAGAAAACTGTAAAGTAACTAAGTTTAAAAAAGGGGAATCGTCAAAAATATGACCTCCTCACATCTAACCCTGACCACTGTTCCTTGACCTCTGCGGAAGAGGTCATGGGGTCAAGGAAAGGAGGTTAGGAGAGTTCATGAGGAGGAGGAAAGGACACTGAGCTGCGTAGTTGTTATGAGGCGCCGTTTGTAAAATGTTCTAAAATCCTGCGCAGTTTTGCCACATTTAGAATTATCACGTGAACAAAAAGCACGACAGTATTCATATGTCACTTTTTCAAACATTTAGAGAGAAATTCATAGTCAAGTTGTTAAATAATATGATAATGTTATAATAAAATGATAAATCTAATTTGACCGTGAAGGGGGGGGCACGGATGGTCTCGGTCAACGGGGGAAATCTAATTTACATTTAACATTTAGATACAACATTTACATTTAACATTTAGATATAACATTTACATTTAACATTTAGATAACACATTTACATTTAACATTTAGATATAACATTTACATTTAGATTTAACATGTATATTATTTAACAACTTTGTGTTAAGGCCAAACATTATCCTTAGAAAAGTTATTGCATGAATTGACATGAATTTCTCTCTAAATGTTTGAAAAAGTGACATATGAATACTGTCGTGCTTTTTTGTTCACGTGATAATTGTAAATGTGGCAAAACTGCGCAGGATCTTAGAACGTGCCACATTTTACAAACGGCGGCCACAGCTTGTCGGTGACGTCCGTCTGCAGCGTCTCAGGTGCTTCATGTGTTGTTACAGTGAGTCATGCAGACTCACAAACATAAATTATGCGGTTTCGGTTACTCACATGATCTGTGTTTCTACGTCATGATCATTATTGCTCATATGGCCCAATGACACGGCACTATTTAAATATTGTGGGTCGGAATAATCTCCTTTCCTTTGCTAAAGGACGGTCCAGCGGTTCCTTTGCTAAAGGAGCCAAGTAAGGAAGCATTGAAGCTCCTTTCCTTAGCGTCAGAGAATAGAACAGCTCTCATCATGACGCCACTTCCACTACTTCACTCAGTGAGGAACTTTCCTAAGAACATTTGACAATTCAAATCTAGCCCTAATATTTCCAGAATACAGTCCTAATATTTCCAGAGTAAAGTCCTAATATTTCCAGAGTAAAGTCCTAATATTTTCAGAATAAAGTCCTGATATTTTCAGAGTAAAGTTGTTGCTGATGATATTCTACGAAGCAGAAGTAGCGGCTGCCTTAGTAGAAGAATGTCTGATCTGAAGTGTGTTTCTATTATCAGGTCTTTATCTCAGGAAACTCCGTCTCGGCTGCAGTGTGTTTGTGTCTCTGAGCTTTCTGTCCCCAAACTCGTCCACGCTCTGCTGTTTCCTGTCTATTTCCTCCTGCAGGTCTTCTTCTGAGCCTCCTTTGATCTTCTCAATCTGTTACCACATTCATTCAGGTATTATTCAGGTGTCTTCACAAACGGAAGCTTCCGTCTGCTCGACAGATTTAAGAGTTGGTTTTTAACTAGTTGGTTTTAACTTGGGACTGACTGGTCTTTATCTGGGACTAGTTGATCTTTAGACTCTGTCCCTGTAAAAATGTACTTCTCCAACTTCTACATTAATATGTTCATTGATCAACTAAAGACTAAACTAAACCACCAACAAACAAATGGTTTTGTCGTCTTTAATCTTGTTCAAACCCCACTTCAGGCGTTTATTAGGTTTTGATATAAATCACTAAATTATGTAAATATAACTTGATTCTGTCGGTCAGAACAAAGCTCTGACGTTTTAAGGTTGTATTTCTCTCCCAGAGCCCGTAGAGACCAGGATGTAGATCTCTCAACGCTGTGCTAGCTTAGCTTCAATTAGCATCATAAAGTTGGCTGCCCTGTGATGTCAAACAATTATTATTAAATCTGTGGTCTCACAGAGAATGAGAACAAAAGTCACGTCATTAATAATAAATACAATGAATACATATATAAATAAATGAATGCGTAATTGAATAGATTATAATATTGATCAACTTTCTACAGTATACTATTTTTACTTTCCCTTTAGCAATAAACGTATTTTAAAAAATACATATTTGTTTGTCCAAATGTCAATTTTTATTTTGTTTTGCTTACTGTGGAAAGAATTTAAGTTAATAGAAGTATTTTATTTTATTACTGTTAATTTCAGCAACTTTTTCTACTAAAATTAATTCAAATATTTGAATTCTAATATATAAGAATTATTTATCTGTAATGCATTCATTTGAATATATGTATCTGTATGAATATCTGTAAATACAAAGTATATACATACATACACTCACATTTATTTATGTATTTATTTCTCAGTATTTTGATGAGTCTCACTAATCCTGCTTTAAACACAATCCAACCATTTTAATACTCATTTGCTTTTTGTTTGGTGTAACAGAACTTTACAAAGTACTCTGTTACCCAGCATGCACCCTTCCTCAACCAGCTCACTCCCTCTGTATCTCCATGCTCCTGCTCGTCAATGCGCCCAGCGGCTTCCTGAGCTTCTTCACCTGCAGAGACGCTCAGTAGAAACATCTTCCACTTCCTGTTTAGAGTCTACGTCTAACCAGATGTTTGTTTCCTCCCCCGTTGCCTCACCTCTCTCTCCTCTCCCCCCGTTCCCTCCTTGGCCTCCTCCCCTCTCCTGCTCCTGTCTGTGTCTCCAGAGGGGCTCAAGCTCTGAGCTCCAGGAGATCATGAGGAGGCGACAGGAGAAGCTGGCGTCCATCACCTGTGACTCGGGCGTGGAGTCTTTGGACGAATGCAGCGCCCGCTGACCTCCACACGGCTTCCTTCCTTCCTTCCCTCTCCTTCTCACTCCCTCACCTCCTTCCCCCTCCCTCTATACTTTTCTTTTACTTCTTTCAAACTGCATCCTGCTGTTTTCTCGCCCTCTCCGTCTCCAGGCGGCGGCGGAGCACGCCGACTTCGTGGAGATTATGCGGCGCCGGCAGAAACTTCTCGTCTCATCTCCGTAGCAACGATGTTCAAAAAGAATAAGAGCGTTGGATCAAAAATACACTGAGAGAATATTCTGCATGTTTGCCTGAAGCTCTCCTGGACGTTTGGTGTTTAGGAGGTGAGGAGAAGCCGCTCAGTAGTTTTTCTGTATTTAAGAACTGGACGTTGTCATGACGACGTGTCTTGGGAGTTCAGCAATTGTTGCCCGTCGCCACCAGTGGACAGGAAGTACACATTTTGCCTCTGGTCGAGACCTGTCAATCAGTATATAGCCCTAAAGCATTCAAGACATACAATAAATCCACAGAGAAATGGGATGGGATGAGAGGAGTCGCCCCCTGCTGGTCACTACAGAGAATGCAACTTTAACACGTGAAGATTTAAGAAATAAAAATCTGATTAATCTTTTACTATCTAGAGATAAAAAAACTGACAAGTAGATAACAAGCTTCTTCCATAAAAAATCATCCAAGTGAAACGTAATAAAATAATTCATCACAATAGCTTGTTTGAGAACTGAGAACGTTCTGTGACTTCAATGTAAAGAAGATAGACAAGAAGAAAGAACTCAGGCTCGTTTGCCCAGAAGAATAAAATGTTCATCTATCCATCTTCACACGGCTCATCCTGCACACGGGGTCGCGGGGGGGCTGGAGTCCATCCCAGCCAACTTCAGGCGATAGACGGGTTCATCCTGGACTGGTCACCAGCCAATCGCAGGGCTACACAGAGACACACAACCATCCACACTCACATCCACACATCTACGGGCAATTTAGAGTCCCCATCAACCTGGTCCCCAGAGCAGGTCTCTGGACTGTGGGAGGAACCCGGAGAACCCGGAGAGAACCCACGGAGACACGGGGAGAACATGCAGACTCCACACAGAAAGGGTTCTGGGCGGAGTGGAACCAGGACCTTCTTGCTGTGAGGCGTTGACCACCACGCCACCGTGCCCCTCCAGACTAAAATAAATAATAGGCTAAATTGTATTAGAATAAATTGATCATGAAAACATAACAATAGACTAATAAATATAATTGTACATTTCTGACGAGAGCACTATATCCATAGTATGTCATCTATTTGTTTCATGGTAGTATGAAGAGTTTCAAATAGTTGATTTTGGAACTGATAAAGTAAATGAGGAAACATCCTCTTATGATTTAGATGTTATTGGATTTGTCGATTTGTTGCTGAAAAATCAAAACGGCTGAATGTTTCTATGTAAATGTCTCTGCAGACATTTTCTATCCAAACACTGAAATGATTGTTAGTCAGCTGACTCAGCAAAGGGACGACCTTTAACATGAGGAATGTTTTCTTCAGACTCCGCCCACAATAACAGAAAAGTGCCGTTAGCATTGGACACCATCATGTGTGGCGACAGGAAGCAGAGTGACAGACGGTCTTTTCAATAAGTTACAAGCTGAGTGATGTGAATACGACTCGTAGAACTTTGAGAACCATGGTAACTTTGTTCTTATGGAACCAACTTCTCATGTTGTATGAAGTTTTGTCAGCAGCGACTCTCCACATGAACGGAACCGACAACTAAACATTTCTATAACTCTTCTATAACTTAAATTCAGACGCAGATCTTTTCCTCAACACTTCCTCCATGTTTGTTTGTATGTATCTGATTCCTTCAGTCTGAGTGGCGTCAATACAACGACAACAACAATAACAGACACACAACTCAATACTGCTTCACTCTGACTTAAAAACAATATTTATGTACAGAGAATATTTTGTATATTTTGAAGAATTTTTACTCTGTGATCTAGAGACAGAAAAACTTTCAAAAGGGAAGTTAGAACATAAACCACTTTTATATTATTTTATACTAAAATACTGTAAAAAATAATTTGGGTATGAATTATTGTGTGTGTGTGTATATATATGTATATATGTATGTGTATATATATAATATATGTGTGTGCGTGTGTGAATATATGTGTATACAGTATATATATAAAAAAATTAGTGCTGTCAAACGATTAAAATATTTAATCACATTTATGTCATAGTTAACTCAAAATGAATCACAATTAATCGCAAATTTGTATTTATTTTAAATATCCCTCCATTTATTTTATTCCCCATTTATTTGAATGCTCTTATCAACATGGAAAAGTGGATTGGGTTGCTTTACGCAAATGTTTTATTTTATTGAAAAACTACATTGCCAAACAGAGCGTTACAAAATAAAATTATAAAGTGCACATTTCAGGTAAAGGGTTTTGTATGAAATGATTTGCTTGAAAAAAACGATTTACATGTTAAGGTGTAAATCAGTTTAATATATGATCATATGTTGGTATGCTGTCTTGCTGGAGTTGTTTTCTTTCCTACATGTTTTGTGAGTGACATTTATAGGACTGTCCCTCAAACAGGGTCGAGTAGCTGGGTCACAACATGTAAAGTTAAACTCGCTAGAAAAAAATTGACGATGATGTGTGTGCATGTATGTATGTATATACATATGTATATATGTGTGTGTGTGTGTGTGTATATACATGTATGTATGTATATATATATATGTATACATATATGTATGTGTATGTATACATATAGGTATGTGTATATATATATACATACACACATATATAGTGTATGTATGTGTATATGTATCTACATATACACATATATTTATACATACACACACGTATCTAGAAGCCAACAAAACAAATTTCTATGTATGTAGTTAACATTGTGCCTTTTTATATATAAATCTGCTCATTCTGCAATAAAAGATTTTTTTCTTCTCCATGTTCCTTTTTGTTACTTTACATGTTTGGTTTATAACAAATTAAAACAATATGTAAGAGAGTATAACTGAAGTTACTTTTTTTTACTTCATCATAGTGATTAAGATACCAAAGAGACACATTAAAGAGTTGGAGGATCGAGTTAAATGCTCAAAGAGATTTTAAGAGAGAGAATTTAAACCGAGAGTTTGAGCTTTTATGCGAATGAAGACTAACACGTGATCCAAGATATTGGTCAAACCTTAAAGATGAAGTCAAGAGTTTCCTCAACGATAACAAGAAATTGTCCTAAAGGGTTTTTTATCAGAATAATATGAATACACATAAATATATAGATGAGAAAATAGTTGAATGTGTACAAAATCAACACATTTTAAATCCTCTTTAAAGCAAAGTGAACAAAGATAACTGGAACTTTTTTTTATTTCATTGCGACACGAAAACATTAAATCTCCATGACAACAGTCGACCTTCAAACGTTGTGACACAAATGCACGAGAACGAGTCGCCTGGACGATGATTCACAATCACGACAACTTAAAAAAGCAACAACAAGAACCTCAAAAGCAACAAATCCACGAGAAGCTCTTTGTAGTGACGACAAACACAAGTGGGTACAAGTGTACAAGTATGTACAGTACGTCTGATACCGGGGAGGGGAGGGGGGAGGCAAAAGGCCTCGCCTCCCTTTTCACACATTCAGTGATTTCTTCCATTTGATTTATTTTACAAATTGGACACATTGTTTTTTAAAATTAGATTTTAGAGTTTAAGGTGTCGATATATTTAGAAAAAAAGATTTAGGTTCATAAAGTAATTGTGGTGTTTTATTTAGAGATAAGCACAAAGATAAAAGACTTCAGAAGAAAAGGCAGCTTTTCGCACAAATCTTTCTTTAAAATCATCTTTACTTACTTACTAGTTAAAATTTGTAGTCAAACTGTTTCTAATAGTTGAATAGAATTTATTCTTTGAAATCTCATTTTATTTCTAATTCAATTTAGCTAACTCTTATAGCCTACTGTTGAAAAGATTAGAAACTAATCTTTTAATTAACGTGTAGTCATTTTGAATTAAACTATTGCGATGATGTGTATTTAGATTCAGTAAAGTCATCTTACTTACTTTGCAGAGTATATACACAGCAGTGTTTTAATAAGGAACTAAATATCTACTTAAACATATTGAACATAAACTTAAACTGTAGGGACTTTTAGAAAGTTGACCTTATAACATGGAACTCTCCTAGTTTGGCAACACTTGAAATCTCTGCTCTTATTTTGGCGACACCTGAACTTCCTGTTGGCTAAACATTCTCTACAGTCATCAAGGAAGTGAGAAATGTGGAGTAGAAATATGAGAAATGACTGAAGAAGTGTAAATAAATGGATCTCGAAAGAAAACAACTTGACAACTACTATTGGTACAATATTCCTGCTTTTAAGACAAATATTCTGCCCGAATATGTGATTCTTTGTTCATTTTATACCATTAACATTCACTGATTTATGAAATCACTAGAGAGCCTTCTTTATCCAGAAACATTGCTGCAGCATTTTGGTGGAATTTTCAAATCAACTCAAATGAAAATACACCAAATATTGGCGGTAATTAAAGAAAAAATAATAATACACGACAAAATCTGCTTTTTACATCATTAACACATTTTTTTAAATTACAAATTTAGTTGCACAACCCAATTTTTTGGTATTTGGAGCATTAAACTAATTTGTTGGTGTTAAGGTTTCGGAAGCTCTCGAGGGAGGACTCATCAAAACTAAATTGGACTAAATTTGGCGGTATCCAATTCTAAGGATAAAATAACATTTGGGGTATTAACGCATATTTGAGTATCGCAATGATGCGTACCCCAATTATGGTTCAGTACAAAAAGTCACCTTAACGTTAAATTATGATGGGAACACTTTTTATTCAAGCATTGTTATATGTACGTTATAAATGTTATTTGTAATTTGTAAAGTGAGTTGACACAATTGTCTCTATTTTTCGGAGCAATTCCACAAATTTCTAAATTTAAAATCTCAAATTTACAGGGGCTGAAAAAGCAAAATAATTTCTCACTAAAGTTTAGTATTTTGGTGATTTTTAAACTTTTGAGCCGGGAACAGTAGGAATCAAACCTTAAGAATCCGGAAACCAATTTTATCTTTATGATTTAAAGTTCACATTTACACCTTTTTATATTTCAATAATTCGATAGAAGAAAGGTTTTGGCAGAAGAGAAGCAGAACATTTAGATTTTTAATTTCTCTGGGGTTTTGGCCGTTTGTCCAAATGAATCACGTCTTCAGCTGTGATCCAGATGTGATCCAGATGTGATCCACTGTGTGTTTGTTTGTTGTTGTTTTCTCTCCCTCTGAGGAACCAGCGTCTCCACACGAAAAGCGTTTGTTTCCTCGACTCTCTCTCTTGTTGTCATGACGACCCAGCAAACATTCAGCGGGTTGGATTTGACGGACGGAATAAAAAGTCGAGAAGCATTTTGTGAAATCTGTACCAAAATACTTCATTGATTGACTGGAAAATTGTCTTCAAATGACAAATTCTACATTTTAGTTTACAAACGTCGAAGCCTTCGTTAATGTTGTTAATGTTGAATGAAAAAAGCGAAATCGATGGTTCAACTTAGTGCTTAGTGTGTTTGTAGTTTTCCCTCCTCGTGGGACGCTCGTGTGGTCGTGGCAGTTTGTTAGCGTGTCGGAGCAGATTACAGCAGATTAGAGTCGCGAGAAGGTCATCGACTATCAGATGAAATAAAAGTATCCAATGAAGAGGTTCGAGAAGAGTGTGCTCGCTGGGTTCCTATCAACTACTCCTGAGATTTAAAAAAAAATCTAAGAACAGAAAGAAGTCGGTGGCTGCGCCGCCTGCAAGGCGTCCGCGAGGACGGACCCGGTGTAGACGTCCAATCACGAACATGTCGGTTGGCTCCATCACGGCGCTCCAAACAGATTCTGAACTAAACTGGATCCTTTTCATTACTTTAGTTGATGTTCTGCTCCATCTCTGTGATTGTGATGATGAAGCGTATCTGCTGCTGCAGAGGGTGGAGGCCCGGAGCTCCGGAGGTGACGTCGCAGCCTGCAGCGCGCGGAGAAGAGATCTTCAGAAACGTCTTTTCAGACTTCTTTCCAGATGCTGACCTTTTAGGATTTTTTGGCTATATATTTTATTATATGTCATGAACTCATAAATTACCTTTTAAAATGTTTTGACATACTTTACTACGACTTTTTTCAACGTTTCAACAGGCTATGCTACGACTTCCTTTTTTATCTGATATATTCTTACTTTTTAAACTTTTTTTAGCATATTGAAAATGGGAAAAAGATCATAGTATATATATATATAATATATGTTGAATAAGGTCATAGTGTCTCTTATGCAATTCATCCCAGAATTCCAGAAGTCCTGATAACCAAATATGTTGATCTAACCAAACCTCAAATCAAGGCACATCAAAATAAACATAAAAGCCCAATTGGATCATAACTCATGAAGTCACTGCCAAACAACGACGTTAACAGAGGAAAACTATCTGAAACAAGCACTTTAATAAAAACAGAAACAGCCTGAAGATGTGACTCAGAAGACGAGAAGGACGAACACCAACGGATGACATCACCTCGGGTAAGCTCTCGTCTGGAGGAGCCTCCACCATTATGTCTTGCTGGCGTTCTCGTAGACCATGTCGGAGGAGACGGACTGCTGCTTCTTCTTTTGCCACATTAGCAGAACACACTGATGGATGAACACGTACTGCTCCTGCAGAGACCACAACAGACCCTCAAGACCTCTGAAGACCTCAGACCCCTCAGATCTCCGGACCCCTGAAGCTCACGGTACTTTCAGGGGGTTCGCAAAGACCTCACCTCGGTTTGGACCATGGACAGGCGATGGGATCTCATCTCCGACACCATCCCCAGAATGTCAGCGAACTCGTGTTCCCTGATGTGCTGCATGAGGCGGTCCAGAGCAATGAAGGTCCCGGTCCGGCCCACTCCAGCGCTGAAGCAGAGACACGGATATAAAACATCATTGTCTATGACGTCATCAGATATAACGTAACGGTGTGCTGACCCGGCAGCCAACTGTCCAGTAAAACTGTTGACACCATACACACTATATTTGTGTACATCTACAGACTTAGATCATCGGCATGTGTGAAATTGGCCACATATAATAATCCGGGTATCTCCTGAAGGTCCTGACCTGCAGTGGACCACCACGGGGTCTCTGGTCCGGCTGGCCTGCTGACGGACGATGTGGACAAACTGCAGGATGCTCTCGATGGCGTTGACCGTGGGGACGCCGTGGTCGGGCCACGAGGTGTAGTTCAGGTGTAGGACGTCCTGGGACTGGTCGGCCTGCAAAGGGACACAGAGAGAAACCGGGCGCTCACATGCTGACGTGCCGTGACCCCAAGAAGAGCCCCGACCCGGAGGTTGAGGAACTCACATATCCCAGTCTGAACTTCCTGATGGTCCACTCCGGAGACTCTGACTCAGAGAGCATCTCCACGCTGATCTCTCCGTACATCACGGGTTCATCCGTGAAGGGCCAGTAGTGATCACACTTCACCTGGGAACAAAGCGTGTTATATGAACATGTTACCACATGTATGCTATGTTATATATTATGAATAAATATTAGGACTGTCAACATTAATGCATTAATCTATGCGATTAATGTGGCCTAGATTAATGCAACAAAATATTTTAACATAGTTAACGTACGTTTGTTTAGTTACAGTTTACTTCGGGAAGACGAGCCGCAGTGAGATGGAGAACTTTTTGCATTGGAACTAAAACAAACTGAACTGAGCAGAGCACTTAAATCACAGCTGTGCTAAGCTAGCTGCTAGGCTAAGCTAGCTGCTAGGCTACTACCATCTCAACATCGAATGTTACCCTGCACAGCAAACAGCCTGCAGAGGTTGGACTTCAAACACGTCAAATGATGGACAGCTGAGAGCAAAGTGCACGAGGACGACAGGAACATGTTCCACCTCCAACACGATCACATGTGTGTAGTTTTGTGTTTAAAATAACATTAACAATTAGACAACAGTGTCTAAAGTACACACTTTCTAAAGTGATTACTTGTAAGATTTTCATTTTAGAAGAAAAAAAAACATTCATTAAAAACAACATTGTAACAACAACAACACTCATTAATCGAGATTAATGAATTTCAAAATGTGCGATTTATTATTTCATTTTTTTAATCTATTGACAGCCCTAATAAATACATACGATATCATATGAATAAATATATCCTGTTTAATTATAATAAATGTATAATATGTGTAAAATAATATACAGTATATATCAGTGTTTCCCCACCCACATGGAATAGTAATACTATATGAAAGTATATGAAATCACCCCCCTGCCCACCTAAAAGTCTGGAACCTTTTTTTTGCCCAGGCAGTTCCGCCCCTACACGTGCCCCTCCTCCCTATTGCCCCCTCTGCCCCCCCTGGTATATTATATCATATGAATGAATAAATAAATGTATAACAGATATGAAATAATATACATATATTATACGGTAATCATAAATATTGGATGTATCTTAAATAATACAAATATATATATAAATGTTATATATTAATAGTTATATTCATTTTACGTTGAACAACAAATCAATTACTGACTTAATTGATTCATGAACAAACTGATAAATAATAATGAACTGAACTGATTAGCAAAATAATGTATAATGTTTGAAAGTTGACTTTATAATCAAACATCGGATCTTATAAACTCTTGGTATTTTTGTGTCAGATGAAGGAAATGAAGTACCTGAGGCGTGTACTTGCTGTACTAGGTAGGTGTACTCACCCTGCGCCGCTCGGTGCACTGAGTCAACATGACCACCAGGGGACATTTCTCCTGAAGAACCATCTTCCAGAATTCATTGCGAGTCTCTGGCAGCGGACCCTGAGTGGCAATATACTCGTTTGCGTTTTTGTATCCCTGAAGGTAAAAAAAACACTTCCTTTTACTCTCAAAGAACGTCACTCATCAAAGCACAAGAAGGGATTCAGAGAAAACGTAAAACACGGACTGCAAGACGAGAAAATAAAAAGAATTAAACTGAGAGGAAAAAGTACAGTTTGAAATTGTATTACTTTGCTTGAGTCATTTTTGTTTCTAGCTAATACTTTCTACATATACTTCTCCTGTAAAGAGGAGAAATGTTGTACTCTTGTGTCGATGTTGTCTTGTCAACCTTCCTCTCGTTTCAGGAAACTTGCTCCTTCGTCCCGTGTGCCGTCCGATTGTTTCCACCGGCGTTATTAATCTCTGTGTGTCTTTACTGTCTGCGCCTGTCGGGCCCCGGGTCCCAAGCCCCAAGCCTCAGGCCCCGGTCCCCAGGCCCCAAGTCCCAGGCTCCAAGCCCCGGTCCCCAAGTCCCAGGCCCCAAGTCCCAGGCTCCAAGTCCCAGGCTCCAAGCCCCGGTCCCCAAGTCCCAAGCTCCGGTCCCCAAGCCCCGGTCCCCAAGTCCCAAGCTCCGGGCCACAAGCCCCGGGCCCCAAGTCCCAGGCTCCAAGCCCCGGTCCCCAAGTCCCAAGCCCCGGGCCCCAAGCCCCAAGCCCCAGGTCCCGGGCCCCAAGCCCATTACCAAGTCTTGTTAATTTTTCGTACTTTGTTCAGTCTCGATTTCTGTTGATTCTTTTTTCAACCTAGCATTTATTTTCCAGGTCATTGTTGTTCTTCGGTTCAGTAAAGGTTTTCCTCTAATTTTCATTTTTGGCCTTTTGTAATAAACTTTTGATTTTGAACTTCTGGAGTCGTGCATGTGGGTTCAGGGCGGTGACATTATGTACACGGGACCATTTTACTATGAATACTTTTGAACTTTTACTAAATAATATTCTGAATATAGATATATAACCCTAGATATTTGTATAATAAAGTGGCTCACAGGAACGTAGTTGGCGTTGATGTAGTCTGAACCTTCATCGTTGTGCATCGACATCAACTTCACGCGGCTGAAGTCGTCTGCAGGGAAAAGATTTAAATGTTTAAATGTCACAGAAACAGTCTTCACATGTTACAGCGTGACATGTGAATCCAGTCTTTAGTGTCACGTGATCTTCAGTTAACATTTCACCCATTGTGTCTCTTCATAATAAATATTGTTTCCCATGATGCTTTGCGGTGGGCGACTCACATGGCAGGATGTTGGTGTATCTGTTCTTGGGCCTGTTGACGGGCAGGTCTGCTGCATCATGGGAAAGATCCAGACCGACGCTCTTCAGCTCCTGTGAGTGAGTCAGTGGAGGTTAACGGGAACACACCAGGTGTGAAGGACGTTAACGGAAAGCCGCCGTACCTCAAACTGCAGAGAGAACTTGTAGGCGGAGTCTTTGCTCATCTCTCTGAAATACGCATCGAAGTCGTCCAGCTGCACAGGACTGAAGCAACACATCAGCCAATAAAGTCACACATGTTAAACACACCCAACGGTCAAAATACAAGCTGTATTATCCATAGAATCACATATCAGCCTGATTGATTTGGGCTGACGGATAATATTCAATCCCTTAACGAGGACCAACCTGCTTCTAGTAGTAATTCTGCTTTAATTCTCACTTCTTACATTTATTAATCCATCTTTCCTCCTTTGTCTCAATGTTAATCTGTTGTGTTTCCGGCTGCAGGTTGTTATTAGTGGGACAGCAGCAAACACACAACGTGAATACAGAAATAAATACACAATGAGCCACATGAGGTGTTTAGTCGTGTTACCTTGTTAGCTTCCGTTTCTTTAAAGCTGTCTTGCTCCTAAAAGAATACAAACGTGTGATGATGTTTCATGATACGAGCCGGTGTAATATTTAGACAGTTTGACCACTGACGGTTTGTTCATTACTCATCAAATATAATATTCTGGGATGGAATTTGCTTTTGAAATACAAATTAAATGGTTGTGTCTTTGGTTCATGAGGGAGTTCATGTGAGCAGGAAATGTGTGGAAGTCAACGTCCATCAACAACAAAATGAATTCAATTCTATTCATTTTCGGGAGTTTGGTCCATTTCGTTCCAAGAGAAACTTTTAAATGATTCATTTAATAAGGGAAAAAAATACCCAAAATAGGCATAATTCATTATTTTTAGTGGCAACTATGAATATGAATAAGGATATTTACAAATGAAGGTTTCACAAACAGAAAAGGGAAAGTTCTAGATTATTAGTTATCGTTCTTTTCCAACATAAAATGGAGATTTTAAATCAATTGAAAATTAAAATGTTGTACAAACTGGATTAATTTGATTATTGGCAGCCATAAACTTCCATAAAAAGGCAGAATGGAACCGTCCGTCGGTCAAACCCTCCCAAGCAGCTTGGACTTGCTCACCGGTTGGTTTGCACCAACAAACACAACAAACATGCAGCTTTCTACCTTTTTACATTTCATGCTTCTGTAAAGAATCGTCATCGGTGCCACAGTCTCCAAACCTCAACACGCCAGAGCTTCATCCCGCAGCATGCACATACACAACACGTAGCTCTATGCTATGTGCAGGAGACGAATGCTACGCTAACGGCAGCGCTACGTACTGAAAGGCTAAATGTTGAGTGACAACAGACCAGAAGAAAAGGACAGACAGCATGCAGACACCAAACAAAGAAGCTAGCAGGTATCATCAGCGGTTTGCATGGGCAGTTAGCATCATGCTACATGCGACATGTGAGGCCTACAGAGATAAACCAGACACAACGTTCCAGGTTCATCACAAATCATTTGCTGAATCAAACTGGACTTTATAGGGTTTGTATTTCAAACGCAGTGTCTGTGGTACAACGAAAAGAATCCCACGTTCGGAATAAAACCAACAATTACTTCATCTACTTGTATCTTCTTACTATTTGCAATAGAGATCCAAAAACAAAGCAAAGCTCCAATAAAGATAATTCATGAAAATATTAAGAACGGACGCCAGTATTTTTATTTGTCAGAATAACTCAAACTCCAACTAAACTCAAAGAATTTGGTGTCCACCTAGGCTCAGTTTCAGGGCCCTGTTTGTTATTTATTGGCATATATCGGGTGGAATTTACATAATGGTTGTAAATTGGATATATTGTACAACATGGATACACTGCATTGATGCATTTTTATATAAAAGTGTTTAATGTTTGAGGGCAGGAATACTGATTCCAAAATGTAAAACTCATCAGGTGACAAAATAAAAGGATGAATATCTAATATGTTGTTGAGTCAATAGCCCAAAACAACACGTGTTGTGTTCATGACACTAAGCGCCAGAGAACGTTGACCACGTGACTGAAAAGAGCCCTGGAGGTCCAAAGGTCGCACAAACGGATCCAGACGAGTGACCTCTGCATAATTATGAACCTCTATAGAAGAGAAGAGGCCCCAGAATGAACCTGGCGGTTCACCATACGTGTCAACATTGTTGGTTTTGCTCTTTTCGTGGCGTAAAACCCTTGTCTAGTTTCCGGAGGAGACCCGCTGGCTCCACACTGAGGTGGCCCATGTGGAACCATGGTCCCAACCGACAGCGAGGCCCGCGGGTCTCCTCGGGCGCCCCGGAGGTGTTTTGACTTACTTACCAGGGATTAATATAAAAAGCCAAAAGATAGTCAGTCCAAAGGCAGGATGGCAGTAGGGTAAGGAAGGCAAAGAGGCTTCTTCGCCTGAAGGGGATTGAAATAAATACAAATAAAAAAGACAAACAAGTGAAACAAAGGAGGCGACAGGTTGGCGCCCCGTTAGAGACGAAGCGGCGCTTCACGTTAGTGCTGAACAGTCGATGCAGCCTGCAGCCTTCACACAGCGGCCCGGTGTCCCCCCCCGAGGACAACAGGCGCCTGTACACCGGCCGACCTCAATGGACCCTCTGTCTCAACCCTCCAGCCCTGTGACATCACAGCATCCCCCCGGCCCACAATGCAACGCTCAGCCGCCTGGACATCCAGGATCTATGCAGAGTTTAAGCTGCGTTTAACCTTTTATTCAAGTTCAAACTCATCTGAGTGGTTTTAATTCATTCATTCGCTGAGAGCTGATGACTGAATGACTCAACGCATCAAATCCAATATCAAACCTAACTGACTCGTCATCTTGTTGACTTCTTTCATGTAAATTGTTTGTTAGGAAGAAGTTAGACAACAATAATGACCCTGATCCCACGTAATCACACCTACAAACTACCCACTACTGCTATTTGTTTGACCACCATTATTCCTGCATCGCGAGGGACGAGTGTCTCTCGTCAAACTGGTCTGCCGGCACGGAGCCAAACCGTCGTCATGGCGACACCAACACAGTGAGATGACACAAGTATGTTTACGGATGGAAGGTCAAACACAACAGCAGATGGAAGCTGAGTTTCTGCCTTAACTGACCGTCTTTCAGCCGTTATATTAATCACAAATCAATCAGGGCCGAGACCTTTGAACTGGAAAAGTCCTACTTTTGACCAATGTGGCGTTAAATGTTCTGTTTGGTTCTGGATTAAGTGACATCGTGAGCAAACGCCCTGTTTCAGCTGGTCCAACCACAGCGGGGGGGCCGAGGCCGCGAGCTCTAAACTCAGATACCTAATCTGCCTCCTGGGGGTCCGGAGGGGCCGGGTGGTGTGAACGAGCCGAGGAGGCGGAGCCTACCAGTTATACGGAAGCTTCCCGTCTCTTTCAAACGAGGCAAAATTCACGAAAGTCTCCGCGCCGCAATCTCTGAAAGAAAAAACACCGAGAAGAGAAACAGCGGTGAAAAAAGTCTGTGAGTTAACTGAAAACAAACCAAATATAAAAACACACGAATCATCCTTTTTATGCAGAAATGAAATCCTACATTACATGAGATGTTTACTGTTGGGACAACTACAGAGTTGAAATTAAGAAGAATATTTTGTTTCAATAAACAGATCAGAATTAAATAATAATACTAATAATAAATAATAATGCCATAATTCACATTCATTCGTCCAGTTGTTGTGATGATGGTTCTGTAAAGTAGATAAATGATGAAGAACTGATTTTCGGTGTCGTCTTTGTGTAACTGTTTCTAGGAATGAAATCTGACGTGTGAAGAAGTCGTTGTTCGAATTGTAACCCCACTGCTACGTAAAGGTACCTGGTCATCTGGAGGTGCTTCCTCCGGAGGACCAGCAGGAACAGAAGCAGGAGGCTGAGGACGAGGACGCTGAGGACAGCCAGAGCCGAGATGGCGGCTACGCTCGGGTTCATCTCCTTAGCTACAAACACAACACATTACATTAAAAGCCCCTTTGCTTACAAATCATCTTGTTTACTTGTTGTTCACTTCTACTTTCTATGGTTTTAAACTACTATCGATAAATGTGTTACTTCCACAATAGAAGTCTTTCTATTTCTAAAAACACATTCATATCTTCATCAAGTTCCATTAACTCCTCCAGGAAGAGCAAGATCATTTAAAAGGTCTCTGAGAGATAATTAACTGTAATACACCCACTTGCTAAATATAATTATGTAAAATAATAAATGTCAGCTGAATGTATTACAGTAACAATATCTATGTAATAAGGAGCTAGATCAGTAAAGCGAGTGGGGCCCACCGGCCGTGCTGATGGTGACGTGGGCCGGCTTGCTCGCGGTACTGTAGCTGAAGCTGGTGATGGTGCAGTTGTAGGTGGAGGAGGGCGTCAGGCCAGAGACGGTGATGACGTGGGAGGTGGAGGTCTGAGGCTCGGGGGTCTGAGAGAGAGACGGATTTAATTACATGTAATTAATAATTACACCCAAATGGCAGATGATACTTTTTGTCTACTTACTGTCTTTACTTTGAATGAATACAATAGTTTTATTCTCATTATTGTCATTATATGTCACGTTGCCATGGAGACGGCGGACGGAGACGGGTCCTTACCTTCGCCCTCCGCCCCGGCCCTGTGGCTCTACAGAGCACCTGGAAGTAGTCCACCACCCCCTCCTCGCTCCACAGCAGCGTCACCGCAGAGTGGGTGGTGTTCACAGCCAGCACCGCCCGCGGGGCAGCCGGCTCTGGAGAGGGTTCAGAGATACACACGTCAACACACAGGTACACACACGTCAACACACAGGTACACACACGTCAACACAGGTACACACGTCAACACACAGGTACACACACGTCAACACAGGTACACACGTCAACACACAGGTACACACACGTCAACACAGGTACACACGTCAACACACAGGGTACACACACGTCAACACAGGTACACACGTCAACACACAGGTACACACACGTCAACACACAGTACACACACGTCAACACAGGTACACACGTCAACACACAGGTACACACACGTCAACACAGGTACACACGTCAACACAGCTGTACACACACGTCAACACAGGTACACACGTCAACACACAGGTACACACATGTCAACAAAACGGTACACACACGTCAACAAAACAGTACACACACGTCAACACACAGGTACACACATGTCAACACACACGTCAACACAGGTACACACACGTCAACACACAGGTACACACGTCAACACAAAGGTACACACACGTCAACACACACGTCAACACAGGTACACACACGTCAACACACAGGTACACACGTCAACACACAGGTACACACACGTCAACACACAGGTACACACACGTCAACACACAGGTACACACACGTCAACACAGGTACACACGTCAACACACAGGTACACACACGTCAACAAAACGGTACACACACGTCAACAAAACAGTACACACACATCAACACACAGGTACACACACGTCAACACACAGGTACACACACGTCAACACAGGTACACACGTCAACACAAAGGTACACACACGTCAACACACACGTCAACACAGGTACACACACGTCAACACACAGGTACACACGTCAACACACAGGTACACACACGTCAACACACAGGTACACACACGTCAACACAGGTACACACACGTCAACACACAGGTACACACGTCAACACACACGTCAAACACAGGCACACACACGCCGACACACAGGTACACACGTCAAACACACAGGTACACACACGTCAAACCCACAGGTACACACACGTCAACCACACAGGTAGACACACGTCAACACACAGGTAGACACACGTCAACACACAGGTACACACGTCAACACACAGGTACACATCACTGTCTGTGTGTCTGTGTGTGCTGACCCAGCTTGATGATGGAGGGGGTGGAGGTGTTGCTGCTGCGCTCCGTGCAGGCCGTCACCGTCAGGTTATAGATGTCACCTGGCGGCAGCGGGAGGCTGGCATGCATCACGTTACGAGTCACCTGCCGACACAAACCAGCCCATTCATTCATTCATTCATTCACTACTCACCATGATTGAAATAATGACGATTTAGGGAAATAATTCAAATGAATGGCGTAGATGAGAGGGTGAGTGTGTGGGTGAATGGCGTAGATGAGAGGGTGAGTGGTGTAAATGAGTGTGTGGGTGAATGGTGTAAATGAGTGTTTGGGTGAGTGGTGTAAATGAGAGGGTGAATGGTGTAAATGAGTGCGTGGGTGAATGGCGTAGATGAGAGGGTGAGTGTGTGGGTGAATGGCGTAGATGAGAGGGTGAGTGGCTCACGTCCATGGAGTAGCTCCTCTCGGCCCCCTTCTTGCCGATAGCGACCACCGTCCAGTGCAGCATCCTGGAGTGCGAGAGGTCGATGAAGAGCTCTCCGTAGGTCCAGCGCACCAACAGGAGGCCGTGAGAGTAATCCACAGAGGAGATGTGAGGGGCCTCTGGTGCTGGATCAATAACACAGCACATTGATCAGCTTTATTTTGATATTGATAATCAACATTCCAGCTAAATACAGTACATTTCAATATTTGTTTTCTGCTGCATTGTGAATGATACACAAATGTACATTTGTTACAGAAAATAAATGTACAAGTGTACGTGCAAAGAATGTACACATAAGAGCAGAAAGTTCCTTTCACATTAAAAGCCTTTCAGGATATGGAAGGCTTTTATTGTGAAATATCTGCAAGGTTTTGAGCTTCACTGTCGTAGTATCAATTAAAACAGAATGGGAAAGCAGAAGGCTGCAGAGGGGGAGGACGGCTGATCCACTGTGCTGTAAACGATAGAGCAAACATTCCTGGTGGAAGGTAATAATCCTTCAGTACCTGTAACGAAGCTGACCGTCGAGCTGTCGCAGCAGCTGAGCGGCGGGTCGCCCCACGTCACCATGGCAACGCGGAAGTTGTAGTACCACGCCGGCAGCAGATCCGTGACCCTCTGGAGAAAAAAAGGTTCCTCAGATCAGCTACATGATTAAGTCTGTGTGTGTCTGTGTGTGTGTGTGTCTCTGTGTGCGTCTGTGTGTTACCACGGAGGCGATGACGGAGGCCGTGGCGGCGATCTCGTAGTAGGTGCTCCACTCGGACGTCAGGGTGACGGGGTTGAAGAAGAAGGTCTGCAGGACGTACTTCCTGAAGGTCACATGGTACGGACGCTGCCAGCTGAGCACCACGGCCGAGGGGCCCAGAGGGTACACGACCAGCTGCAGCACCCCGGTGGGCTCTGTGCAGATGATGTCACCACCAGAGGAAACTTCAAATACGAATTCTCTATTAAATAATAATGAAAAACTACATATATATATATATATATATATATATATATATATATATAGACATCTCACCAATGTCGATGATGACGGGTTCGGAGGGGGGGCTCGTCAGGGGGCCGTTGCTGTGATAGACCACCACCCGGTACTGCGCCCCAGGGGTCAGGTGACTGATGATGTCACTGGTGGAGTTCTCCTGTAGAAACATTTTTAATGTTTTTCATTAAAAACAATAAAAACATAATATTTCTTAATGTGCGGATTGGACTGCGAGGGCACCGAACCATCATTGTCCAGTTTATGTATTATTATACAAAAATGTAGCTTTCTTTTAGCAAAAGTTAGCTTTCGTCTGGAAACCAAGGGAAACGTACAGTTCACGAGAGTATGTTTCTAAACTCCTACTAAAGAAAGCATAAATATTCTAGTACAAGATGTACTAGCGGTGGTATTAGTGGGACAGGTACTTGTTCTCCAGTAAAACGTGAGAACGCAGCCCGTTGGTCCTCGGGGGCGTCAGAAGCACCATGAGACAAAGTCGGTGTTGGTAACTTTAATAAAGCAATAAGGTACGAGAGGCTGTACTCTAAGGGTTCGGGGTGTTGTTAGGCCCGACGCTTTGAAAATAAAGTACTGCCTCAAGTACCTTATTGCTAAATAATACGGTTACCATGAATAGTATGTAAACAACACTGAAGGCTGCGTGTCTCATTTCAGTAGTCTGGAGGAAAATCGTCCCCGTACGTGACGTAAACAGCATCGTGTCTCACACCATCTCATTCATTCACGTCGCTCATGACCTCCACCTGAATTGGTTGCGGTTACGAAAGCTCGCATTGCCCCAAACCGATCAAACTGATCATTTGTGGGATTCGCCACCGAGCTGAAAGCTGAAATAACAACTAACTAAACCTAAGCTGCTACTTTGGGAGCGCAGTGATACGGAACAATCAGGTCAATGTGAACAGCGACTGTACATTATCGCTGAGTAATGCACCGTGACTCACGCTCAACCAATCAGAGCGCTGGATTTCATCTGCCCGTGTTATGATATCCATTAATTCATTGGTGCATTGATAAATAAAGAGTTGAAGCGTATTCCTACTTCATTACATGTTATTTATACTGTGTTTATCCTCGCCGTCTCCACCTCTCTACGACTCCACTACTGATGGTGTCACCTCGCTGCAGTACGTGCTCTCCATCCTCTGGGTGGGGCTCGGGCGGAGGCAGGTGGTCGAGACCACCGACACCACGCTGCCGTTGTGCTCCTCCGAGGACGGAGCCCAAGAGACCACCGCGGTGCTGGAGTCCAGCAGCCTGACGGAGACGGCCTGAGGGCGCTGACGGAGCTCCTCCATTAGTTCGCCTGCAGGACCTGGAACACAGCACCGGGTTACCAAAGTGGTATGGACTGGTTTATTAAGGTGGAACTGGTTTATTAAGGTGGTATGGACTGGGTTACTGAGGTGGTATGGACTGGTTTATTAAGGTGGTATTGACCATTTGATTCAGGAGGAACTGCTTTATTAGGATTCTATAAACTAGGTTATTATGGTACTATAAACTGGATTTGACTGGTTTATTATGGTTCATTACAAATAAACTGAACTCAAGGTTCTATCTGGGTCCTGATCTACTGGTCTAGGTGTCGAGGAAGGAGGTGAAGCCGGTTACGATCTATCTGGGTCGTGGTCTACGTACCCACTTAGGAGGTGAAGCAGGTTAGGCTCTATCTGGGTCCTGGTCTATGTACCGAGGTAGGAGGTGAAGCAGGTTAGGGTCTATCTGGGTCCTGGTCTACGTACCCACATAGGAGGTGAAGCTGGTTAGGGTCTATCTGGGTCCTGGTCTATGTACCGAGGTAGGAGGTGAAGCAGGTTAGGCTCTATCTGGGTCCTGGTCTATGTACCGAGGTAGGAGGTGAAGCAGGTTAGGCTCTATCTGGGTCCTGGTCTACGTACCCACATAGGAGGTGAAGCTGGTTAGGGTCTATCTGGGTCCTGGTCTACGTACCCACTTAGGAGGTGAAGCAGGTTAGGGTCTATCTGGGTCCTGGTCTATGTACCGAGGTAGGAGGTGAAGCAGGTTAGGCTCTATCTGGGTCCTGGTCTACGTACCCACATAGGAGGTGAAGCAGGTTAGGGTCTATCTGGGTCCTGGTCTACGTACCGAGATAGAAGGTGAAGCCGCTGTCGGCGGTGCTTTCCCGGGCCTCACAGTCCCCGGTGGAGCTAAACGTGGTTACCAGGACACGGTATGTTCCCTGCTCTGTGAGCTCGGTGAAAAAGTCATGCGTGTTTTCATCCACTGTGGCTGTTTCTGTGGAGTTACCTGAGAGACAGAGGACAGGTGAGCACGAACCCAACTCAATATTTAATAACTTTCACTAATTTTTAGAAAAGGCAGAGATGAAACTAACAATTGTTTTTATTTCAGAGTTGTATTTTTACACCTTAATAATAAAGCATTATTTAATAAATAACAAGTTTTATGTCTGAAAACGTCTGAATGTCTGAGACATTCACATTTCGGAACCTGGAAATTACGTTTTCAAGAAATTAAGTTGAATTATTTGACATTGCAAAAAGCATTGCAGATTAATGGTTGAATAAATAGATGACTCAATTGAATATAACTGTACCTGAAAAATATTTATGAACAATTTTTTTTTGGTTAGGCTCACTTTTTTTATTTATTTCATGTCGTGTTCATTAATTTCTTTATATTATTTACTATGTATTTATTTCATTCCTTTATTGTCTTAATGATTTAAAGAGCTCTTTTCAAGGAAATCATTCTATTATTATCATTATCAATAGAATTATTTATATTTTATTATGAATAATATAAATATTGTTAATATGATCATTTTTCATCATTATTGTAAAGAGGATGATTACTATTTTTATTACTGTTATTATTATGATTTATTGTTTTTATTATTCCAGTTGTTTTCATTACTATACTAGTACTACTATCATTATTATCATTTTTATTATAATTCTAACTATTATCATTATTATTACTACTACTACTATTATTTATTATTATTATAATTCGAACTATTATCATTATTATTACTACTACTACTACTATTATTTATTATTATTATAATTCTAACTATTACCATTATTATTACTACTACTACTATTATTTATTATTATTATAATTCGAACTATTATCATTATTATTACTACTACTACTACTATTATTTATTATTATTATAATTCTAACTATTACCATTATTATTACTACTACTACTACTATTATTTATTATTATTATAATTCTAACTATTACCATTATTATTACTACTACTACTACTACTATTATATATTATTATTATAATTCTAACTATTATCATTATTATTACTACTACTACTACTATTATTTATTATTATTATAATTCTAACTATTACCATTATTACTACTATTGTTATTATTATTACTACTATTACTATTTATCATTTGGAATCATTTTATTATCCCCTCCGGTACCTTCTCTGTAGATGTACACGTTGAACCCATCATAGCTGGTGGGGGCTCTGGGCGGCAGCCAGCGCAGCTCGAGCAGGACAGGGGGAAGCGCTGTGGGCCGGACGGAGGCTTCGGGGAGGAGGCCCATCGCCGAGCCGGACTCATTGGAGTCCTCGTACTCCGGCACCACCGCGTTCACAAACTCCTCCTCCCCGTCGAGGGGGGCTGTCGGGTCCGGCCAGGAGCTCGGCGTGCCCGTCGTCTGGTTTAGCGTTGGGCTGAAGGGAAGACGCGTAGCCGGCCGCAGCTCCTCCTGCTCCTCCTGCTGCTCCTGCTGCTCCTCCATCAGCGGGACGTCCCGGCCCTGACGGAAGGCTCTTTTCCCCCAACTTTCCCCCTCAGGAGGGGCCGCGTCAGCGGCTTCACCTGTCCTCTGCGTTAGGTGGACAATCTTATGGGAAATGTTGAGGGGGGGGTAGGGCACTGCAACAGAGACAGAGAGGGACACGTATGACCGGGACAGACGGGACATTTGATATGAAACGTGAGCGTGGGACGTTGCTGCTTCTCACCTGTCCGGTGGTGCACAGGTGAGTGTGTGATGTCACTGTGTGTCACCAGGGCCGTCTGGTACACCGTGACCTCCGAGACCAGCTGGAAGGTGATGTTACGGTAACACACGCCCGGTAACCAGTGCTTGAACACCGTCTTTCCTTTGTAGAAATCTGAGACGACGATCAAATAACATTTACGACCTGCACGTAAAATGCCTTCACATCTAAGTGCATTTAGGTTATGAATTAAAATGCTCATTAAAGGAATCAGGCTCCCAAATATCTGATTGACTATAAACATGTAATAACAGGTTAGTAACACGTAAATGTTTTATAATGCATTTCTGATTAATGAACTGATAGTGAATCGTACCTTTGTAGAGCATGGAGCGCCGCTCCGCGCCCTCCGTGTAGCCGATGTTTACTCTGCTGAAGACGTTTCCTGCTGGAGACTCGATGTGGAACACCACGCCGGTCTCTGGAGACTCCTTGAGGTCTGAGATGTCGACCGTGTGGACAGGAAGTGGCTCTGAGGAGAGAAGAAACACAAATTAATTCAAAATAATTCAAGGCTTCAACACGAATTATGGGGTTCAATATATATATATATATATATATATATATATATATATATGTTGTCCGATAATGTTAATAATAAGCCGATGGCTCTAAACCGCATAGCTAATTACAGAAGAATAAATGTTAAATTAATAATGTTTAAAGTTTATATTGTAGCAACATGATTGTAGGTAGAGTTTGATGAAGGTGCAACCATGGAATGGTCACGTATGTGTATATACGTGTAGATGTACACACACGTGCACATAGTGGACTGGGAGGCCCCGGTTCTTACTGGTGAGCACCGGCACCGTCCTGATGGGTCGGGACCAGCTCTGTCCCAGGCGGACCAGCAGTCCCACCACGTAGCACAACCCGTGGAGGGAGGTGTTGAACCTCAGCGGCTCGCTGACGTTCACGAACTGACCCAGGATCAGCCGCGGCTCCCCGGACAGCTGAACGCCGTACGCCGACACGTTGGCCCGCAGGTCGGAGTGCTCGAGCCGAGCCACGATCAGACCCTCCTGGTCCAGAGAGGCCTGAAAGGCCCAGGAGCTCTGAAACATGGAGAGGGACTTTATTATTCACCATAGAATGTTGGAATGCTGATTCCGTTTGGCCAAGTGGTCCACTGGGATCAGACCTCCTGTGTGCCTGGTCCATTCGGGACAATGTATCCTCCATTTGTGAATCTCTGGCTCTCAACCCTCTTGAGCAGGACGAGGCTTTTGACCGGATTGAGCACCTTTACCTCTGGAAGGAGTTTTGGCCTCAGCCTGGGACTCACAGCCATTATCACAGTGTTGTACGGGGACATCCAGAGTGGACTGAGGACTAATGGGGCTCCGCTACCAGAAGGGTGACGCCTCGAGGTGTCAGTGGCTGAACCCGTGTCAGGAGGCCAAGCTGGTCATCTATGGAGGTCGGGACGCACTTCCTGTCTCGTTGAGACGTTGGTGGTGGTAGACATGGCCGGAGGCTCCATGTCACTTTCTTTAAAGGCGTCAACAACATTGTTCCCTCAGACATAAACGTACTACGTTACCTTTCCTCTAGAGAAGAACTGAAGTGGGACCGGGGGGCCGGGGGGCCGGGGGCCTGTTGGCTATTAGCAGTGGCTGATATTTCTCTGTGACTTTCCTTTCGTGTGAAGCACACAGACACATAATCACTGCACATCCACACCTTCAGTAAGAAGACTGGAATCACATCGTCTGACTGTTGGGTTTCATTCCCAAAAGTAATGGAACACGTTAATGAAATAGTATAAAAGTATAATAAATGTGTCATTTTACATTACATTACATGTCATTTAGCTGACGCTTTTATCCAAAGCGACGTACAATAAGTGCATTCAACCATAGGGTACAAACTCAGGAGAACAAGAAACAAGAAAGTGCAATTTCCTCAAATAAGCGAATTTACAATTTGCTATAGATGAGTGACGTTACAAGTACAATTTAAGTGCTACAATTTGTTAGTCTTTAGTCGAGGTAGAGTTTGAGTTGAAGTGTTGCCTGTTCAAGGGATTCATCAACATCAAGTGTTATTTACCACATATAAAAATATGAAGACCGTTTATTTACACAATGTGCATGTTTTTATGTTTCACAATGACAAATTACCATTAACAAACAAACTATTTATTTTCCACCAACACATGTAGCATATATACAAACAAAAGAGGAACAACAAACTGGTTGTTCTGTTATAGTGATATCACGTTGTTTTCAGTAAATAAACACCCATGAATCAGTGAAGCGATCACTGTCTCTTCTCTCCGAGCTGCAGGGACACAAACGTTGTGTTTAACTCGAGTCGGTGGAGACGAGGACGCCAACGAACTCTCTCCGTCCCTCACTGGATCTCCGCCTGTCTGACTGACGTCTCAGTGGATCCGCTCATCGTCTGAAGATCAACCCGACTGACGCAACTGCTTCTGTTTCCAGGGGAAGATTCTCCTTCACAGGATGTTCACGCCCACTTTGACTGCAGGAACCTCGGCGTGACGTCGACAGCCGACTCTCCGACTCCCAACATCACTGACACCACCATCCTGTAGATACTCGCTGTACAACATGAGGAGAACACGTCCTCTTCTCACTCAGAAGGAGGTACTGATTCAGGCTCTTGTCGTCTCCCTCCTGGACCACTGTAACTCTCTCCTGCAGGTCTCCTGCTACCACCATTCCACCTCTGCAGCTCATCCAGAACGCAGCAGCTCCACTGGTCTTTAACCTTCCTAAGTTCTCCCTCACTCCTCCACTCCTCTGCTCTCTTCACTGGTACCGGTGGCTCATCCAGTTCTAAACATGGTGCTCACGTACCAGGCTGTGAATGGATGGGGTCCAGCTTCCATCCAGGACCTGGTCCAACACGACATCCCGACCCGCACTCTCCGCTCTGCATGTGATAAACTGCTTGTTCCTCCTCACTGAGAGCAAAACACTCGACTAGATCTCCACTCTCTGCTGTCCTGCTCCTAAATGGTGGAAGGAGGTCTCTGAAGACATCAGGACCACAGAGAGCCTTCACATCTTCAGACTAAAGACACACCTCTTCACACTCTACCTCCACTAACACACTAACTAACTGTAGCACTTATTGGACTTATAATGGTTCTTATCTACAGCAAGTTGTACATCGGCTTATTTGAGGAAATCACACTTTCTTGTTTCTTGTTCTTCTGAGTTTGTGTCCTTAGCAGCTAAGGACAGCTGTCCGTGTGCAGGTAGTATTTGGTGTCTCTGGGGAGGCGAGTACACTACCCCTCTGCCTTTGGGGAATATATAATATGTGTATAACAGTATTTTGTTTCTGTATAAATGCAGTAAACACATTAACAAGAGACTCATTCATTCGTCTCTGCACTGCAGGCGCTCGGATGGTTTCACAGAGCAGATGATTCCACCACAGCTGAGGAAGACCAAGGACGAAGGTCCTTTGAGGACATTCTAAATGTCATCGCCATCAAATGTGTCTTTTGGTGTAGATGAGCTCTGGTAACAACTAAAGGACCAAAGCATCACAACACCTGCTGGAAGTACTCTCTGAGGTAGAACCACAAAGTACAACGAGGTACTACGTATCTTCATAGGACGACAAAATATTCAACTCGAGAACCTTAAAACTTCCTCCAGTACTTCAGTGAATGTACTTTATTTCCTGCCCCTGGAATCATTGTTCATTGAAACTGAAAACCAACATTATCCGCACACACACACACACACACACACACACACACACACACACACACACAGACACACACACACACACACACACACACACACAGCTCTGTTCAGAATGAAGGGAGGATTTGACCCTGGGAATGAGCAGAGACAGTGTGTGTGTGTGTGTGTGTGTGTGTGTGTGTGTGTGTGTGTGTGTGTGTGTGTGTGTGTGTGTCTGTGTGTGTGTGTGTGTGTGGGGGGGGGGTCCTCAGGCAGCTGCCAACATTATCATGCAAACCTCCAACTCCTTGTTTCTTTGGGGGGGGTCATTAGACTATGAATGAAGTGCAGCTAAACGTGCACTTTTCTCCATGAGGTCTGGTGGCAGCAGAACGAGCCGTCAATCATCAGACAAATACTCAAATAACCGTCAATCAAATAACAAATAGTCAAATCAACCAAATCAAGTTAGCAACTTCTGCCAGAGAGCCCCCCCCCACACACACACACGTATGGTCCTGAACATCATACTTTAAATGCAGTGAACGTCAGTGTGAAGATGAGTCATTGGGTCAAAGGTCACAGGTGTGTTCAGGCGCATCACGGTGAAAACTAAACGAATTATTAAGGATATTAAACACTACAAGTACAAATACTATCATAAATACTGTGGTACTGTCAAAACATGTTTCTCACACAGACAAGGTTTCTCTACTATGTGTGTGTGTGCGTGCGTGTGCATGTGATCCTCAGTCATGAAGAACGTGCACTCTGAGAATGCAGCCGACTGACCCACTTTCTCTGAGACTGAGCTGCTGCTTAAACACACACACACACACACACACACACACACACCATGCAGAGATACACACACCTTTCATGCACACAAACCTCATCCACCAACAAACACACTTTATGAACAGATGCACACATACAACTCATCTACCACAGACACACAAACCCTTCATCCACAGACACGCACCCTTCGTGCACAGAAAAAGACACAAAACGCACACTTCGCACACGTGCCTCGTACACAGACAGACGCACAAACCTAATACACGCAAACAAAGCCTCCATGCACGGACACACACACACACACACACTGGACCCTCCGCTCCCGGGGACACAAAGCCTTTCGGTCCGCCGCCGCTTCGCCTCCAGCGGCTGCAGCAGAGGCCGTTAATCCTCTAAATGCACCCGAAAACCAGCCTCCTTACCCGGGTGAGGCCGAGCATCCAGAGGGCGAGGAGCAGCGGGGGAAGCATGGTGTCCGACGCGGCGAACGAAGGCTCTAATCCGGGCTCTCGGTCTCAGTCTGCTGCGCATCCAAACAATGGCGACTCTCCTGCTGCATCGGAGCGCGATGCTCCGCGGCTCTTAGCTGCTCACAGTCCTCATCTTCATCCTCTTCATCCTCTTCCTCCTCCGCGGTATTATCTTCGTTCGCTCCGCTCGAGACGGAGCCGCGGGGATTCAGAGGAACGAGGCCGGGCTCCGGCGTCCGTGCCTGGATACGAGCAGGAGGTCGGTGTCGGTCAGCGGGATGAAGCTGCTGCTGCGTCGCCCCGCCCTGGTCTCCTCCTCCCTCCTCCCTCATCTCCTCCTCCCTCCTCCCTCATCTCCTCCTGTCTCACCGCCTATTCCCTCATCTCCTCCTCCCTCATCTCCTCCTCCCTCATCTCCTATTCCTTCATCTCCTCCTCCCTCCTCCTGTCCTCCTCCCTCATCTCCTCCTGTCTCACCGCCTATTCCCTCATCTCCTCCTCCCTCATCTCCTCCTCCCTCATCTCCTATTCCTTCATCTCCTCCTCCCTCCTCCTGTCCTCCTCCCTCATCTCCTCCTGTCTCATCGCCTATTCCCTCATCTCCTCCTCCCTCATTTCCTATTCCCTCATCTCCTCTTGTCTCATTGCTTATTCCCTCATCTCCCTCCCCCACATCTCCTCCTGTCTCATCGCCTATTCCTTCATCTCCTCCTCCCTCCTCCCTCATCTCCTCCTGTCCTCCTCCCTCATCTCCTCCTGTCTCATCGCCTATTCCTTCATCTCCTCCTCCCTCCTCCCTCATCTCCTCCTGTCCTCCTCCCTCATCTCCTCCTGTCTCATCGCCTATTCCCTCATCTCCTCCTCCCTCATCTCCTCCCTCATCTCCTCCTCCCTCACAACTTCTCTGTCACCAACATCCCTCCAGTTCAATTGAATTCATTTTGTTGCAACCCAGTCTCCCAGCAGAATGTGTCATAATAAGAAAATACCAAATGACACATTAGGCTCGGGGGGCTTTACACCCTCACACCCGCACAGGAAAATGTAAAACTCTTCTATGGGGAAAAGGGAAGAAACCTCAGTGAGAACGGTTGTGGAATATTTCACTAAAACTAGTTTGGGAGAAGAGAACTATTCGTTTCTAGGTTTAATAAAAACAGTCTTGATGAATGATGAAACATTTGCAGCTGTGATATGATTAATATCTAAAATAATAATAATATGATGATGATGATGATGGCAGCAGCAGGCGTCAGCAGGGCCACGGCAGGTGTCAGGACCAGAGTCCAGAAGGAACCAGGATCTACGGAGACCTGATAGGGGAGAAAGCACAAAAAACTCCCGGAAAGAAGCTGAATTAGTGATGTGCATTAATAAAACGTGAGTTATGGTAGAACGAGAGCGTGAGAGAGGAGCTCGGTGTGTCCTAAGAAGTCCCCCGGCAGTCTAAGCCTGTAGCAGCTTAACTAAGGGCTGGTCCGGACTAACCTGAGCCAGCCCTAACTATAGGCACAATCAAAGAGGAACGTTTTAAGTTTTACTTTAAAAGAGCTGACCGAATCTGCCCCCCGGACTGAAAGTGGAACCTGGTTCCACAAAAGAGGAGCTTGATAACTGAAGGCTCTGCCCCCAGCCTACTGTTTAAAACCATAGGAACAACAAGTAACCAGCATCTATGGAGCGCAGCTCCTTGTAGGGCAATAAGGTGTCCACTTTCTCCTCTCTTCTCCTCCTTCTAGTCCACAATCCCACCTCCTTACCCACCTCCTTACCCATGTCTTCCTCCCCCATAACCTCACAGAGCTTTCCTCCATCCTTAACTGCGCCTCATCGTTCTCCTTCTCCTCTTCCTCATATTCTTAATCATCATTCTCCTCTTCCTCTTGTTCCTCCTCCTCTTCTTCCTACTCTCTTCCTCATCTTCGACCTCCTCTTCCTCATCCTCCCGTCCTCCTCTTTGAAAATGTATATTTACGTATTCATGCATGTTATGGGGTGTTTATTTATTCATCTGTGTGTGGCTGATCTGACGTCACGTCGATTTTTTGCTGTTGGTTCAGGACATCCATGACGTCATACCGCCCCCCTGCTGGCTGTAAGCGACAATGATTATTGATTACGAAGAGGAACTACTATTTATATCAGAGTTGTATTGATCACTACTTATTTCATAAACATTGTATTTAATGTTTCAGATTCTCATATTTACATGAATGTGTAACCTGTTACTCTCATGGAGGATGTAAGTGTGTGTGAATGTTTTTCAAAATCAACTTTTTTTAACAATGTAACCTCTTTTTTCATAGTTTTACTTATTATTACAACTATATTAATAATATCACTTTTATTAACACACACATACAATGAATATATAAATAAAATATAAAACTGTGTTTATTAAATAGCTGATTTTAATTCCATACATTCATATATATATATATATATATATATATATATATATATATATATATATATATATATTCCTAAATTTACCCTTTTGATCTGAGATCATTCTGCTTTTTAGTCTCATATGAATCATATTATTGTAAATCAACAGTTGAGGCTGAAAAAGACCTTAACGGGTTAGAAAGTGAAACTATTGAACTACACCGTAAACGTCATTATATTGAAGAAGAAATAACATTTAAGAACATATTAAGAAAGTAAAGTTACTTAAATTCACAAAAAGATAATTACATTTAAATCTTCAGACAAAAACCTCAAAACTGATTTTCAGCAGCTGTTGAGTCATGACGTCACAAAGTCAAGACATTAAATTAAAAGAAAGTTTTATTCTAAAATAAAAATGAACTAAACTTTATCAAATACTATGTTATATAATAAACTGATAGTCCATCACGGGTCACAGCAGAACTTCCTCCAGGACGGACGGATGGACGCCGGCCTCCTGCAGACTCTTGGCGAGTCTTTGGACCGTGGCCGTCTTCCCCCCACATCGTCTCCACTGAACCAGACCGGCCAGAACCGCTGCGTGAGTACTGAGGCGGTGGTCGGACCGACACCGGAACAAGTCCTCAGCAGACAAACCAAGATCCATCAGGACCAACTCCCACTCGGAGCCGAGCCGGGACGCCAGCCGGGACAAGACCCGGTCCGAAGGAACCTCCTGCAGAACTGAGTCCGGGAGCCGGAGGTCTGCAGAGACAAGGAGGACATTTAGTGGATTCAGAGGGCTTCGAAGTGACCTCCAGCTCACGTTTAAAGCTCCTCCTCCTAAATATCATTATTATTATTGTTATATGATCAAAGCTCCTCCTCCTAAATATCATTATTATTATTGTTATATGATCAAAGCTACTCCTCAGAAATATCATTATTATTATTGTTATATGATCAAAGCTACTCCTCAGAAATATCATTATTATTATTGTTATATGATCAAAGCTACTCCTCAGAAATATCATTATTATTATTGTTATATGATCAAAGCTACTCCTCAGAAATATCATTATTATTATTGTTATATGATCAAAGCTCCTCCTCCTAAATATCATTATTATTATTGTTATATGATCAAAGCTCCTCCTCCTAAATATCATTATTATTATTGTTATATGATCAAAGCTCCTCCTCCTAAATATCATTATTATTATTGTTATATGATCAAAGCTCCTCCTCCTAAATATCATTATTATTATTGTTATATGATCAAAGCTCCTCCTCCTAAATATCATTATTATTATTGTTATATGATCAAAGCTCCTCCTCCTAAATATCATTATTATTATTGTTATATGATCAAAGCTCCTCCTCCTAAATATCATTATTATTATTGTTATATGATCAAAGCTCCTCCTCCTAAATATCATTATTATTATTGTTATATGATCAAAGCTCCGGCTCCTAAATATCGTTATTATTATTGTTATATGATCAAAGCGCCTCCTCCGAGATATCAGTATTATTATTGTTATATGATCAAAGCTCGTCCTCGTGGAGATCGGTATGATTAATTGGGATATGAGCAAGCTACCTGCTCCTAAATATCATTATTAAGTATGTTAGGTGGTCAAGGCTAGTGCTGCCTAAATAGCAGTTATTATTAGTGTAGTGGTGAGTGGGAGTGGCCGCTTG